TTTTGTAGGAAATATATTTCCTTGCAATTTTTCAATATAAATCATTTCGAAAACTACCCAAATTTCCGAAATATTTCGAATATTTTCGAAAAAATTAAACAACTTTTTATTACAACTACAAAAAAAACCCAAATATCTCAAAAACCAATCAAGAAAAAAAAACAAAATTTTTACCATTTTGTAGGAAAATGATTTCCTTACAATTTTTCAATATAAATCATTTCGAAAAACACCCAAATTTTCCAAATATTTCAAGATCTAAAAAAAATAAACAACTCTTCCTTAACAAACACAAACAAAAAACCCCCAATTATCGAAAACCACCAATTTTTCAAACCACCCAAAAACCTTCAAGGATAACAAAACCTTTTCGAAAATCGCAGGATATTCGGCGTGAAATGCTCCCGATGCGGGGACAGGCTCCTGCCCCACGAGATGGTGATGAGGGCCCAGCAGCACGTCTTCCATTTGCAGTGCTTCGCCTGCATCGCCTGCGGGCAGCCGTTGCAGAAAGGCGAGCAATTCGTGCTCAGGGCGGGCCAATTATTCTGCCGCGGGGACTTCGAGAAGGAACTGTACCTGCTGCAGCAGGCTAGCTCAGGAGATGATGATTTGTTGGATGAAAATAGGTAAGGAAATAGTGAGTTTTCTTCGTTGTGGTAGGAGATAGGAATGTGCGGTTTGGTTTGTTTTGTAGAAGAAAGGTTGCTGGATGATTTTTGAAGAATGGGATATTTTCGAAAATTTGTTAGTTTTCGAGTTATTTGGAGTTTTAAAGGAGGTGCAAATTTTAGTGTGTGCCGTTGGAAAATCGTAATTATCTCGAAAACTAGGCGAGATATGAATGTCGAGTTTATTTTGTTTTGTAGTAAAAACGTCGCTCTACAATTTTTGAAGAATGAAAAATTTTCGAAAATAGTCGAGATTTCGAGTTATTTTGAGTTTTATTGGATCAAATCAAAATTACCAATTTCCAATGCAATTCGTTCAAATCTCGAAAATATCTCTAAAACCACATAATATAGAAACATCCCGGCTATGTCATCTTATAGAAAAAACCATCCTCTACAATTTCTAAAGACCACAAAAGTCTCAAAAACCCCTTAATTTTCGAGATATTTCAACTTTTCTATACCTCAACAGAACCTCATTTTTCTTTGCGTTTCCATCCTTTGCATTTTATGGAAATTCGTTGAAAATCGGAATTATCTCGAAAACTAAATGAGATGTTAACTTTATATTGTAGAAAAAACGTCTTTCTACACTTTTTGAAGAATGAAAAAATTTTGAAAATCGCTGACATTTCGAGTTATTTTAAGTGTTTTATTGGATCAAATCAAAATTACCAATTTCCAATGCAATTCGTTCAAATCTCGAAAATATCTCTAAAACCACATAATATAGAAACATCCCGACTATGTCATCTTATAGAAAAAACCATCCTCTACAATTCTTAAAGAACACAAAATTCCAAAGAACCCCTAATTTTTGATATATTTCTAATTTTTTTGGATCGAATCAAAATTACAAATTTTAATGCAATCCTTTCAAAAAACCAAAATATCTCGAAAACCACTTAACATAAAAACACCCCGACTATGTCATCTTATAGAAAAACCCACCCTCTACAATTTCCAAAGAGCACAAAATTCCCAAAAACCCCGTAATTTTCGAGATATTTCCACTTTTTATAGATCGATTCAAAATTATAAATTTCCAATGCAATTCGTTCAAAAATCGAACATATCTCGAAAACCACTTAACATAGAAACACCCCGACTATGTCATCTTATAGAAAACCCCATCCTCTACAATTTCCAAAGAGCACAAAATTCCCAAAAACCCCGTAATTTTTGAGATATTTCTACTTTTTACGAATCGACTCAAAACTACTAATTTCAATACAATCCATCCAAAAACCCAAAATATCTCAAAAACCACTCAACATAAAAACACCCCGACTATATCACCTCATAGAAAAACCCATCCTCTACAATTTCCAAAGAGCACAAAAATCCCCAAAAACCCCTTAATTTTCGAGATATTTCTACTTTTTACGAATCGACTCAAAACTACTAATTTCAATACAATCCATCCAAAAACCCAAAATATCTCAAAAACCACTTAACATAAAAACATCCCGACTGTATCACCTCATAGAAAAACCCATCCTCTACAACTTCCAAAGACCACAAAATTCCCAAAAACTCCTTAATTTTCGAGATATTTCTACTTTTTATTGATCGAATCAAAATTACTAATTTCAATGCAATCCATTCAAAAATCGAACATATCTCAAAAACCACTCAACGTAGAAACACCTCGACTATGTCATCTTACAGAAAAAACCATCCTCTACAATTTCCAAAGAGCACAAAATTCTCAAAAACCCCTTAATTTTCGAGATATTTCTACTTTTTATTGATCGAATCAAAATTACCAATTTCAATGCAATCCATTCATAAATCGAACATATCTCAAAAACCACTCAACGTAGAAACACCCCGACTATGTCATCTTATAGAAAAAACCTTCCTCTACAACTTCCAAAGACCACAAAATCCCCAAAAACCCCTTAATTTTCGAGATATTCCAACTTTTCCCGCATCGAAACCTCATAACCGCTTGCTCGTGTTCCAGCCGACCCCGCGACGGCCGACGCGGCCCCAAAAGGCCCCGCACCATCCTCACATCGGCCCAACGCCGACAATTCAAAGCCTCCTTCGAGGTGTCCCCGAAGCCCTGCAGGAAAGTCCGCGAGGCGCTCGCCAAGGAAACGGGCCTCAGCGTTCGCGTCGTCCAAGTCTGGTTCCAAAACCAGCGGGCCAAAATGAAGAAAATCCAACGAAAAGCGAAACAGGACGACGGGAAATCCTCGAGCGACAAGGAAAAAGGTGATAAGGATGATAAGATTATTAAGCAGGAATCGCCGAGTAGCGAACACGGACATTATATGGGTTTGGGGAATTATCAGGGTGCTTCTACTCGACCGATTAATCCTAATGTTCCTTACTCGCCCGATGGTAAATATGAATACCTCATTTTTTTTTTGTATTTAGTTAATTAATTTTTGCGATATACAGGGTGTTTCTAAATATCGTGTACATACATCCGAAAGGGGATGATTCTTTGGATTATTTTATGACTAAAAGTGTATATAAACGCTTCGTTAGCAGTGTTGGTAAGTAATTAATTACAAGTAATTGAAAAAGTAATTGAATTACTTTTATTGTAATTGAGGCGGTAATTAATTACAAGCTCCTCAATTGTAATTCATTTGTAATTCAATTACTCCTTTCGTTACAATTACAATTACATTTTTCAATTACATTTTTCAATTACATTTTAATTACATTGGACACAAAAGTACTTATTTAATATTTTCAATACGTGGAAAGTTTAATTCAGATTGCAAATCCCTAAATAATTATTTGAAACTGACACCAAAGCAAAGTAATTGTAATTGTAACTTTAATTGTAATTGTAATTGCATTCGCAAATTTTGTAATTGTAATTGCAATTAATTACAATTTGTCAAAAGTAATTGTAATTGTATTTAATGACAATGGCTCGTCCTTTAAACGAAAAAACTGTCAATTTATTCAACTTTAAATTTGACAAATAAATGTCAGAGTCAAGAAACCATAGCAACAATTAAATGACACATTTTATAGTACGTTCAGAATTAATTCTTAAATATATCAATATGCCCGGGGGTTAAAACCAAATTGGTTTTCACGTGAATATGCGTTATTAAAATGTTTTCAAATTTGGGGGTTTACTTAAGAATGAAATTACCTTTAGAACGAGGTGTCACTTGACCCCCCTTTCCATAAGAAAAAAGATTCAAAATGGCGCCTAACTGTCATTTTGAAAGTTTCAACTGTCATTTTTACGTCAAAAATATAATCATAGGTCCGCAAACGTTTCGTTACCGATCTACAGGGTGTTGAAATTTCAAATTTCAAATGTTTTTTTGGTTATTTCTTTGTAGCTAATGCAGTTTTCGAGATATTTAGCTCAAATTTTGAATCTAGATTGCTTTATAGGGCGCACATTATTGGGTATATCAGATGGTTGTTGAATTCTACAGGGTGATATTTTTTCAGGGGTCATGTATCCTTTTTTCACCCCGAACTTTTTTGCTGTGCGCCGCTGGTAGATTCTAAAATACAAAATTAATTGTCTGTTTTGTTGAGAAACTTTTTTATTTTTAAACTTTTTTCGTTTCTGTGACCGTTATCGAGAAAAAAAATTAAAAATGATTCTCTATACAAATGATTTATTTTACAAAACAAAAACCCTAAATAATAATTATTAAATTACATTATAATAAACGTTGAAAGTGACCCCCTCCTACTCAAATTATATTCTATACTCTATATCCTATACCTAATTTGAGCTAAATATCTCAAAAACTGCAGGAGCTCTAAAAAAGAAACAAAAAAAAATCTTGAAATTTCAACACCCTGTAGATCGATAACGAAGCGTTTTTAGTCATAAAATAATCCAAAGAATCACCCCCTTTCGGATGTACACGATATTTAGTAACACCCTGTATAACGGGCGATTCGGAATTTTTACCGATTAATCGACTAATCGATAACATTTTGTGCTTTTCCAGACAATTACCCGGCGCATTCTGGCGACAGTTTCTGCAGTTCGGACATTTCCCTGGATGATAGTACGAATTTCGATCAACTAGACGAGGCTACTTCTGATACTATTTCGTTGCAAAATTTGGAATTGCAATCGCATTCTCATCACGGCGATGGAGTTTCTGCGGCTACTTCTACATCGATCACGAATCCCATTGATAAGCTTTATCTGATGCAGAATTCTTACTTCAGCACGGAGCAATAAATGGGGGTTTTATTTTGGGATTTTTTCGCCGGTTTCTAGTCATTTTTGAATTAGCTATAGCGAGACTTGTACATTTTTATTTGATGTTATGTAAATTTGTAACTGGGCGCACTATTCGTTTTTTTTATTTACCGTTGTTAAAACATGCAGAAGGATTTAAGTGTTTGTTTTTGAGTTAATTTTCCACTGAAAATATACTATATTATAGTATATGAAATATACTATACGACTGAACGTTTCTAGTCATTGTTTTTTTTTATTACTTTTTTGTTGTTTGTGCAAAACAAAGTTCGATGGAAACGAAAATTCGGTGAAAAAAATCGAACATATCTCGAAAACTACTTAACTTAAAAACATCCCGACTATGTCATCTTATAGAAAAAACCATCCTCTACAATTTCTATAGACCACAAAATTCCCAAAAACCCCTTAATTTTCGAGATATTTCTACTTTTTATGGATCGACTCAAAATTACTAATTTCCAATGCAATTCGTTGAAAAATCGAACATATCTCGAAAACCACTCAACATAGAAACACCCCGACTATGTCATCTTATAGAAAAAACCATCCTCTGCAATTTCCAAAGACCACAAAATTCCCAAAAACCCCTTAATTTTCGAGATATTTCTACTTTTTATGGATCGACTCAAAATTACTAATTTTAATGCAATTCGTTCAAATATCGAACATATCTCGAAAACCACTTAACTTAAAAACATCCCGACTATGTCATCTTATAGAAAAAACCATCCTCTACAATTTCTAAAGAACACAAAATTCCCAAAAACCTTGTAATTTTCGAGATATTTCTACTTTTTATGGATCAAATCAAAATTACTAATTTTAATGCAATTTGTTCAAAAATCGAACATATCTCGAAAAACAATTAAGATAAAAACATCCCCACAATGTCATCTTATAGAAAAAACCATCCTCTACAATTTCTAAAAAACACAAAATTCCAAAAAACCCCTTCATTTTCGAGATATTTCTACTCGCAGATTTTGTAGTGAACTTTGTTTTGCATAAACAGTATTTATTAATTGTATGGGTAAATGCAAAATTGTTTGCAATAATCAAGTCTACGAGTTGAACAAAGAAAGATTATTCAAATAACATAGTGGTTACTGTGAGATAGTTGCAATACCGCCACAATATATATCACTCTTACTCTTTTCCTTTATATGAAACTAATGAAAGTCGTCTTTGTTGCACCTATACCCTATATTGCGTGTAAATTTGCACTTACCTGTATACTTGTAAAGTGAATATAATTGTGTACCACATAATAGAGAAATTGTGAAACATTTAAATATTTAGATAATGCACAAAAAGCAATATGCGATTTCGTCAATTGTAATCATTTGTCAAACAAACGTGGTTTTAATGGAGATTTTGAAAAACCACTCAAAAAAAATCGAAGCAGGTACATCAGAAACAATTTAATTACAAGTGCAAAAATCCCTTTGTTTTTCGAAAAAATTAAAATTTATGTATACAAAGGTGTTCATAAAATAACACCCTGTAATTTTATTTTAAATCGGTATAAATTGTACAAATATTTAACATAGAAATTAATGTAAATGGCCCGCATTCAGCGCTCCATTTTTAACTTAAACATGACTCTAAACTAACGTCACTTTAAGGTAAACAAAGTCCCTAGTTACTCCATAACAACCAATGTAAATCTGTCAAAACTGTCACTTTGAAAGAATCTCCCTAGATCAAGTTAGAGACGCGACTTTAAAGTCTTGTTTAAGGACAAAATGGAGCCCTGAATGGGGGCCAATGTATATAAAAATATACTTTATCTCCGAAATGGTTCGAATTATTACTTGTGATGAAATGTTTTTTGCCAAATATAGGATTTAATATTGTCTAGATTTTATTATGTATATTTTAAATAAAAGATTATAAATACTTAATATTTATTGACTTACTGGAACAAAAATTGAATTTATCTCGTAGGGGCCGATGATTCCTTTCGAGCGGCATCTTGTAACAGTTGCGTGTCCACTTCGTCAGCTGGTAATTGAACATATCTCACGACTGAGCCTCTTATGAAGCAATTTTTAACTGAAAGCTAAATTAAAATTCAACAGAAATTCTATATCAACTCAACACCTACAAGTTAATGAAACCAAAACTATTAACTATAAAGTTGGTACGTTTTAAAATGACAATGACGTCACTAGCCGGCCTTTTGCAACGTTGCCGGGTTGTAATTGAAATCCTTGATATTACGGATATAGGTTTATGTTTACGTTCAACTTTATATATTTATAATTATTATAAATAATTACCATGTGAGGATACTTCTCGGTGTCTGTTACGCTTATATCCGTTAATTTTATATTTAAATATTGGTCTACGGAATGTAATGTACCACAAATGCTAGAAAAAAAGCGGAATTTTATATAAAATATCAAGAAGTTTATAAGAGTTGTTTATACCTCAGATCGTTTTTAAGTTCTACAACTACATCTTTCCCAACGAGGGACTTGAAGAAGGAATAAAACAGCTGCAAGATATTATAATTATTAGTTGAAAATTTCATTTAATTTCACCGATATTTACTTACCATTTTGAACGTAAAGTAAGCGAAAAAATTGAGGTTAGTTTGTTTTGATTTAATTGTCAAAAGTGTCAAACGGTCCTTGGGTCGCATAATCCAAGCAGCTTAGGCCTTGTTTTAAGAGAAGATATAATAAAAAAAGAAGAACTTCGATAATCTAATTGAAGTAATAAATAAATTCGATGCTGTAAATGTTTTCTATATTATAAGAATAATCTCAAAGTAAAAAATTTTATGAAAAAGAATGACAAATATTTTAGTCGAAACGAAAAAAGAACAACTGTAATAAACTCCCACGAAAGCATCTAAGAAAAAGAAGAAAAGCACTGTCAATAGTGTCAACTGTCAAAAATGTCAACAACAACAACAACAAGTTGATTTGAAATTTAGTTTAATTTACGCCGAATTACATTATAAATATCAAATAAAACCTATTTATCGTTAAAAATGTCTTCGAAAGACGCAACAAACATCACTAAAAAAGCAACATCGGAAACCATAACGCCCCACAAAATAACGGTAACGATACTAATTCGTAATTTTTGTTTATTTCGAGAAGACGGTAAGTGGTAAATTCATTTTATTACAACCTAATCTCAACACAACTAACCTATTTTAGATAAATTCAAGGAGATGGATGATCTAGTGTTGATGTGCAAGTACAGGAGAGACTTCGGCGTTTTGATATTAAATCTAATACAAAGCCCGGACATTCCGCTACGAAAACTAAAAAGTTTACTAGCTTCAGAGAAATACACAATACCCAAGTCATTAGTGGAATCACTCGATCAAACTTTAACCACTCTAAACGAAGACGGCGTTGGAAATTTATCCGATATTGTAGATAGTTTGGTGAAAATCATGAATAGATCGGACGATCATTTGAATTCCACAACGATCAGTGCCATTGCTAAATCTAGTATAGTCGGTATGTATAAGCAATTGATTCATTTTAGTTTGCAATATAAGCAATGAGTGCGATAAAGACAACTTCCATTAGCAACTATCATTGCAACTTTCTCACTCTAGCCACTGTTATTTTAGTAATCTTTCTTTGTCCAACTCACAGAAATGACTGTATCGCAAACCGAATTGTATCTAATTGAATAGAGTTTGAAGTTTATAAGTAACGAGAATTGCAATTGTAGGTTATTATCTGAGAAGATTCATATTGAATTTCGATAAATTGACGTTCTCGGAGGTGGTGAAAGTTTACGAAGATTTCCAGAAATACTATGAAGATTTCGAAAAGAATTTTGTGAATAAGGAGCACAATGATAATTGGTACGAGTAAGGAAATATTATTTACATAGTGCCTTTACAAGGGTAGGGTAAAAAGTTCTCGGCAGGAGTTCTAAATAGTTCTAATTGATTCCGGAGCGTTCTAAATGGTTCTAGAATGTTCTAATTGATTGTAACGCGTTCTAAATGCTTTTAAAAAGTTCTAAATGATTCTAGACAGTTTTAAATGATTCTGAAACGTTCTAAATGTTTCTAGACGGTCTTAAATGATTCTAACGCGTTCTAAATGATTCTAGACATCTTTTAATCATTCTGGAGCGTTCTAAATGCTTGTAAAGAGTTCTAAATGATTCTAGAGCGTTCTAAACGATTTTAGACAGTTCTAAATGATTCTAAATGCTTGTAAAGTGTTCTAAATGATTCTGGAGCGTTCTAAATTCTTATAAAAAGTTCTAAATGATTCTGGAGCGTTCTAAACGATCTTAGACAGTTCTAAATGATTCTAGCGCGATCTAAACGATTTTAGACAATGTCTAAATAATTCTGAAGCTTTCTAAATGCTCGTAAAGAATTCTAAACGATTCTCAAGCGTTCTAAACGATTCTAGACAGTTCTAAACGATCCAGCTCGAGAACCCTTTTCACCTTATCCTCGCATAACGATATAAATTTTGTTCGATGTATAAACGAATAACGAAATAATTTTGTTTAAGGGTGGACATCAGCGAACAGTGGTCGAGACGCCAAGCCGAATTATTCATCGCTACTCAAGCGACTCTTTTATTAAACAACGAGAACAAAGCTCTATCGCCTCCGGATTTGCAAAAGAGAATCGGCAACATATTGAAATCGAATCCGGATTTATCGGGAGCCGTACGTTCACCTGTGTAAAGGCGGCCTTAGACCAAGGCAACAATTGGCAACATGTAGCATGCGACAGACTATTGGAATAGTCAGTCTCCAGTCGACACAAACAAGTTTATGCGACTATTGTAGCATGCAAGAAACCATAAAATAGTAGCAATAATAGCCTGTTTTTCCATTTGTTGTGGATCCGCGGCGACAAGTGGCAACAAGCAACATTTTGTAGCAAAATCGCAAGCGACAATGGCAACATGTCGCATGCAACATGTTGCCTTGGTCTAAGGCCGCCTTAAAACACTCCTTACGAATGCATTCTAATGGACTAATTTTCCAGCATTTTATAGCCTATTTGAACTATTTGAGGGTAGACGAATATTGCGGGGCCGTCGATAGTTTGTTCCATTGCTTCGATAGAGATGTGGATCCCGATGTGAAATGTTATAACGACGAGAAGAGCAAAAGACATCGATTCGCCGCTTTGAATTTGGCCGTGTTGCACTATCATTTCGGACATGTGTATGTATAAAAAAAAACATCCCTCTTGTACTGGGTGTTCCTGAACATGGTGCATCGTAGAATCATTTAGGATGCTTCAGAATCATTTAGAATCTCTAGAATGATTTTTGGATGCTCTGGAACGCTTTATAGAACGCTCCGGAACCGTCTGGGACCATTTAGAACGTTTTAGAATTGTCTAGACCCATTTAAAATGATCCAGAACACTTCAGAACTGTCTAGAATTATTTGGAACGCTTCCGAAAAAATTAGAACTGTCCAAAACTATTTTGACCAGTATTTAGTCTAATCAGACCTCTCTAGAACCAGTTACACCGCTTCAAAACTGTCTGAAACCATTTAGAACGCTTCAGAACTGTCTAGAATCATTTATTAGAACTATCCAGAATCATTTAGAATCTCTAGAATGATTTTTGGATGCTCTGGAACGCTTTATAGAACGCTCCGGAACCGTCTGGAACCATTTAGAACGTTTTAGAATTGTCTAGACCCATTTAAAATGATCCAGAATACTTCAGAACTGTCTAGAATTATTTGGAACGCTTTCGAAGATATTAGAACTGTCCAAAACTATTTAGAACAGTATTTAGTCTATTCAGAACTCTCTAGAACCAGTTACACCGTTTCAAAACTGTCTGAAACCATTTAGAACGCTTCAGAACTGTCTAGAATCATTTAGAACGATCCAGACTCATTTATTAGAACTATCTAGAATCATTTAGGACGCTTCGGAATCATTTAAAACTGTCTAGGAACGCTCCAGAATCAGTTAAGACTGTCTAAAATCATTTATTATCCCTCTTGTACTGGGTGTTCCTGAACATGGTGCATCATAGAATCATTTAGGACGCTTCAGAATCATTTAGAATCTCTAGAATGATTTTTGGATGCTCTGGAACACTTTATAGAACGCTCCGGAACCGTCTGGAACCATTTAGAACGTTTTAGAATTGTCTAGACCCATTTAAAATGATTCAGAACACTTCAGAACTGTCTAGAATTATTTGGAACGCTTCCGAAGAAATTAGAACTGTCCAAAACTATTTTGAACAGTATTTAGTCTAATCAGAACTCTCTAGAACCAGTTACACCGTTCCAAAAATGTCTGAAACCATTTAGAACGCTTCAGAACTGTCTAGAATCATTTAGAACGATCCAGAATCATTTATTAGAACTATCTAGAATCATTTAGTTCTCTATCATTTAGTCTAGAATCAGTTAAGACTGTCTAAAATCATTTATTATCCCTCTTGTACAGGGTGTTCCTGAACATCGTGCACATATGAAAAGGGCTTATTTAATGACTAGAGCTTGGAAAATATACGTTAAAAATGTCGAAATATGCACTAAAAACCTTCAAACCTGTATTCTATTAGACTATATTACTTATTAGAAGGTTTTAAAAACTGTCTAGAATCATGTAGGACGATGTTTTTAGGAACCCTCCGTGTACAAAACCACAGCATTATTGACATTAAATTTATTTTTTCGTAGAGAAGAAGCTTTGGCAGCTTTGAAGGAATCTATACAAATATCGCAGGAGGCCAACGACAACGTTTGCCTGCAGCACGCCCTCTCTTGGTTGTATCGCATGACAGGCGTCGACGAAGATAAATTAATCGTGCATTGCATCGTGAAAAGTTCCGAATTGAATTTGAGCTACATAGCCTCGTTGGGTCTGCAAATGTTGGTCGGCACGTTCGGCCAATATCGGTGTTTCCGCACGGGCAAAGCCTATCCCATATTCGAGGTAATTACGATATAGAGAGGAATCCCCCCGGAATCAATTAGAACCGTCTCGAACTGTTTAGAACGATCCAGGATCGTCTAGAACGCTCCGTTGTTGTTTGGAACGCTTCGGAACAGTTTAGAACTGTCTGGGAACGTTTAGAACGCTCGATAGTCATTTAGAACACTCCAAAATCATTTATTGGAACTGTTTAGAATCATTTAGGAGGCTTCAGAATCATTTAAAACTGTGTAGGAACGCTTCAGAATCATTTAAAACTGTGTAGAAACGCTTCAGAATTATTTATAACGCTCCAGAATCATTTATTAGAACTGTCTAGAATCATTTAAAACTGTCGAGGAATCTTCTAGAATTATTTAGGACGCTTTAGAATCATTTAAAACTGTCGAGGAACGCTTCAGAATTATTTAGAACGCTCCAGAATCATTTAGAACGCTCCAGAATCATTTAGAACTGTCCAGAACTAAAAATTTTTTCTTTCTCCGTTTGTAGACTTTAGCGAAGAGCGTCATGATAAATTGCCAGCACAATTAACCATTAAAAACCATTTAGAACGCTCCAGAATCATTTATTAGAACTATCTAGAATCATTTAGGACGCTTCAGAATCATTTAGAACGCTCCATAGTCTTTTAGAACTGTCCAAAATCATTTTAATATGCCTTAGGAAAGCTTCAGAATCATTTAGAACGCTCCAGAATGCTTTATTAGAACTGTCTAGAATCATTTAGGTCCCTTCAGAATCATTTAAAACTGCCTAGGAAAGCTTCAGAATCATTTAGAACGCTCCATAGTCTTTTAGAACTGTCCAAAATCATTTAAAACTGCCTAGGAAAGCTTCAGAATCATTTAGAACGCTCCATAGTCTTTTAGAACTGTCCAAAATCATTTAAAACTGCCTAGGAAAGCTTCAGAATCATTTAGAACGCTCTAGAATCCTTTATTAGAACTATGTAGAATCATTTAGGATGCTTCAGAATCATTTAAAACTAACCTAGAACAATTTAGAACGCTCCAGAATCATTTAGAACTGTCCAGAACTAAAAATTTTTTCTTTCCACGTTTGTAGACTTTAGCGAAGAGCGACTTGATAAATTGCCAGCACAATTAACCATTAAAAACCATTTAGAACGCTCCACAATCATTTATTAGAACTATCTAGAATCATTTAAGACGGTTCAGAATCATTTAGAACGCTCCATAGTCTTTTAGAACTGTCCAAAATCATTTAAAACTGCCTAGGAAAGCTTCAGAATCATTTAGAACGCTCCAGAATCCTTTATTAGAACTATGTAGAATCATTTAAAACGCTCCAGAATCCTTTATTAGAACTATGTAGAATCATTTAGGACGCTTCAGAATCATTTAAAACTAACCTAGAACAAGTTAGGACGCTTCAGAATCATTTAAAACTAACCTAGAACAATTTAGAACGCTCCAGAATCATTTAAAACTAACCTAGAACAATTTAGAACGCTCCAGAATCATTTAGAACTGTCCAGAACTAAAAATTTTTTCTTTCTATTTTTCTAGACTTTAGCGAAGAGCGACGTGATAAATTGCCAGCACAATTACAGGGATTTGATGTCGAACAATTACGCGATGAAGGCCTCGTTGTGGCAGCTCTACGGAAAGACCGAAGTGGCTTCGTTGTGGAGCCAATTGTTGCTCTATCAAAATATGGACGGTTTGGGTTCCAACGAGGCCTATTACGGTGAAGGTTTCTGTCTGGCCATTTGCAATATAGCCAATCGTTTGTTGGTCGAAGGCGATTACGCTTTGGTTAATTGCATATTGAATTTCGCTCGAATACAGTAAGTGTTTATAGAGTTTCATTCATTTTAGTTTGTTATTATTGGTTATAACTAACGCGTCCAGTTTCCAGACCTTATAATGCACGACCGTTATTCAAACGATCTCCTTAGTTACTCCATAACAACCAATGTAAAACTGACAAATGAAATAATTTCTTTAGTTACTTCAATCAATGTAATCTGTCAAATGAATGAATCTCATAGGGGAAATTACTGTATTTTTGAAAGTCACTAAATCTGGTGATCCATAAGTGAACTATAAAAAACATTTAACGAAACACTGTCACTAATAGAAAATACGTCTAGTTTCCAGACCTTATAATACACGACCGTAATTCGAAACGATCTCCTTAGTTACTCCATAACAACCAATGCAAATCTGTCAAAACTGTCAAATTAGAAACGCGACTTTGACGTCGCGCGTAATATTAAAATGGCGCGCTGAAAACGAACTATAATGTTCATATGAAGTGTTTCCTTTTATCCAAACACCCTGTATACATACCTAAACAATTTATTTAACACGTTTTATTTGCGCAGGTTTCCTCACGAACCCCAACGCAGAGTGTGGCAACTCTGCGAGAACATATTCGTCTTCACGAGGGCTTTGTATCACGAGAAATGGAGCGAGGCCGAGGCGGCCGCTCAGAAAATCCTGGTCTTCGACAAATGCGAAGGTTATCTGAGATTATCCGAAGTGTATTTCTACAAAAGGGACTTTGCGGAGGCCGACAATTGCGTGGAAATGCTGTTGGATCGGTACTCGAACGAGAACACTTCGAAATTTAGCGATAGGTGAGGATTATTCCGGTTTGGACGTTGCAGTTTTTTGAGCACGTTGGGAGTTTTCGACGATCTCGCATGCGGCGTTGCCGAGTATTTTTCGTTTCCAGAAAAACACTCCAGAATCATTTAGAACGATTTAGAATCGTTTAGAATGCTCCAAAATGCTCGCTTTAGAACCACTCAGAACGCTCCAGAATCAATTAGAACTGTCTAGAATCGTTTAGATCGCTTCAGAACCAATTAGAACGCTCCGAAATGAATTAGAACTCTCTAGACCCATTTAAAACACTCCAGAATCATTTAGAATGATCTAGAATCATTAAAAATGCTCCAAAATCGATTAGAACTGTCTAGAACAATATACATTGCTTCAAAACCACTCAGAACGCTCCAGACTCAATTAGAACTGTCTAGAATCGTTTATATCGCTTCAGAACCATTTAGAACGCTCCAGAATCAATTAGAACTCTGTAGATCCATTTAAAACACTCCAGAATCATTTAGAATGATCTAGAATCATTAAAAAATGCTCCAAAATCGATTAGAACTGTCTAGAACAATATACATTGCTTCAAAACCACTCAGAACGCTCCAGACTCAATTAGAACTGTCTAGAATCGTTTATATCGCTTCAGAACCATTTAGAACGCTCCAGAATCAATTAGAACTCTGTAAATCCATTTAAATTGCTCCAGAATCATTTAGAACGATCTAGAATAATTTAGAATGCTCCAAAACCGATTAGAACTGTCTAGAACAATATACATTGTTTCAGAACCACTCAGAACGCTCCAGAATCAATTAGAACCCTGTAGATCCATTTTAAACACTCCAGAATCATTTAGAACGATCTAGAATAATTTAGAATGCTCCAAAACGGATTAGAACTGTCTAGAAGAATATACATTGCTTCAGAATCACTTAGAACGCTCCAGAATCATTTAGAATGCTCCAAAATGCTCGCTTCAGAACCACTCAGAACAATCCGGACTCAATTAGAACTGTCTAGAATCGTTTAGATCGCTTCCGAACCATTTAGAACGCTCCAGAATCAATTAGAACTCTGTAAATCCATTTAAATCGCTCCAGAATAATTTAGAACGATCTACAATCATTTAGAATGCTCCAAAATGGCCGCTTCAGAACCACCTAGAACGCTCCAGACTCAATTAGAACTACCTAGAACCACCTAGAACGCTCCAGAATCAACTAGAACTGTCCAGAAACATGACTATTTTTATATTTTTAATATTTCTAATCTCCGAACTAATTTTTGTTTAATTTTTATTTTTAGGTATTATTACGTTCGAGCGAAGATACTAAAAGTAGAAATACAATTCGCTATGAATCTTCCACCACCGGGTATTATAACAACATTAAATAACTGCCTTTTCGAATCCCAAACGTCCCAATTGGATTACCAAACCGTACTGATTCATCTCCATTTGGCTAATTGCATGTTGCATATGGGACTCACTGGTCGAGCCCTTGCAGTTTTAGATAAATGCCTAGTGCAGGTAATTAATTCGATTTATTTTAATAGACTGTTTGTAATTAAGGAAGCATATTTTACGCATTTTACGCTTGTACAAAATCTTGTTAATCATCTCGTTTTGCATAATTTGGGACACCCTGTATTATGGGAATGTTTCAGGTGCTAGCCCACGGTGGTCGTTACGATAGAGCCAGAGCTACATTGCTCTATGCCAAATGTTTAGTAGCCGATTCGGCTAGATTGAGCAAGGAGAATAGAGAAAGTACGATATTAAAGTGCGCTCGAATGTTAGAGAAGGTTAAAGAAGATTTCAGAAAAATCGAGGCTTTTTATCGAGTTAAAGACGTGCTGTTTCTTCAGGTTAGTAACAATGCTTCTTGTACGATTTTCTGATTGGAATCTTTTCGAGTATTTTTTTGTATTTTTTTTTATGAAATTCAGGCACGACTGTACGATTTCGTGAATACGAAAAGCGAAAGGAATCGATGCGCGTTGGAATACCGTTTGTTAGACGAAGAATACACCACGAAAAATATTCATACTCTTGTTAAATATTTATAAAATAATTTATAATTTACACGAATAAAAACAAAAGCGTCGTTGATTCATAAAATGAACATAAACAATCTCGCTTATCACATTTAAATAGTTATTATTAGAGCTTGGAAAATGGGCATTAAAAAAATGGCAAAATATGCAGTAAAAACCTTCGAAATATGCACTTTTTTATGCGTTTATGGTCGATGAAAAAAATCAAACGACCAGATATAAAATAATATATTTGAAAATTTAATTAAAAGAAACAGATAAGACATACAATATCCACTATCAGACTGTATAACTTATTAGAGCATTTGAAGAATGGGATAGAATCTTTTAAAACTGTCTAGAATCATTTAGAACGCTTCAGGATCATTTAGAACTGTCTAAAACCATTTAGAACAGTCTAGAACCTTTTAGAATGCACCGGAACCCTTTAGAACGTTCCATAGTCATTTAGAACAATCTAGATCGCTCAGGAATCGTTTAGAACGCTCCAGAACCGTTCTGAATACTATATTTAAGAGTTCTCTGATTGAGCATTGAGTGTTTCTTTTAATTATCCGAATTTACAAGTAATTGTTGCAATGCAACATACAAAGTGCACAAAATTTTATTTTGCATATTTTCCAGGCTCTAGTTATCAGTAAGTAAAGTTGGCAATAATATTTCAATATACACGCAATTGTATAATTATAAAATAGATAAAAATACTTGGAGAAAAAGCCCACGAAACGAACAATTATCCCGATAGTACGATATTTTTTTCCTCAAATTAAATCTACTCATCTAGTTACTTAATTTAGTTCAAACTATACACATTTAAACATCTAAATCAATTTACATTATTAAAAATAAATTCCATATTTTTTTTGGTCCTCCGCTATTCATTCTAAAAAAAAGACATTCTTTTTCTACGAAATCCTAAGACTAATAGGAGTTATTCTATGACGAAATCGAAAAAATCACAGTTCGCGTAATACAGGGTGTCCCAGGACGAGTTAAAACTGTCTGTATACAGGAAACTACTTATTCGATTTAAATAAAATTTGGTATACTTATGTAATGCAACAAGAATGTAAGAAAAAAAGATATTAAAAATGTTTCAAAACACTTACATTTCTGCCTTCTGGTACAACCGGATAAATAGTTTCCAATATACAGATAGTTTAAGCTTGTCGTGACACACCCTGTATAATATTCTACCTCGAAGATATTCAAGGAATTTTTTTGGAATGATATTCATCGCCATCAAGTCGAACACTACACTTATAATACGATACATTTGACTAATTTTATGATAATTAAATTTTATCCGGCGCTCCTTTTTCGCTTAAAGAGTTTTCTTTGACGTAAACAATGTCCCTAGTTACTCCATAACAACCAATGTAAAACTGTCAATTGATAGGATCTCCTAGCGGAAATTAATAGATTTTGAAAAAGTCACTAAATCTGGTAATTTTACTAAAATCTGGGGATATTACTGTACAGGGTGTCCTAATGAAAAGTAGCCTCTTTAATGAGCTTATAATTTTTAAACTAATCATAAAAACATGGCGGTTTTCTCAAATATGTTTTATTTTATTACAAGTTTTGTTACAGTGATACAGAAATTATGCATTACCAATACAGAGTGTTTTATCAAAATTTCCTCTTTTAAATTCACAATAACCATTTTTTTTAAATGGAAAACCCCGTATATGGAGAGCTATTTTGAAAGATATACTCTTCTACTTTTCAAAAATGTATTATTTGTAGATGTTATTCCATAAAATAAGATGTTCTATTTCTTATTTCATAAAATTTGGTTAATGTAAATTTTAAAAAAGGGATTTTTATGAAACCCCCTGTACAGGCGATACAAAATTTTTGTGTCACTGTAACAAAAAAATTATAGCAAAATAAAATTAATCTGCGAAAACCGCATGTTTTTATGATTAGACGTTTAAAAATTATTAGCAATATTAGCTCACTAAAGGCACTACTTTTTATTGGGACACCCTGTATTTGGAAAAAGTTATAACAACAATGTAAAATTGTCAACTTGAAAGAAATCTCCTAGGGGAAATTACAAAATTTTGAAAAAGTCACTAAATTTGGAGATTTTATTAGATTCTGATGATTTTACTAGATTTGGAAAAAGTCACTATAGCCTGGTGAATTTACTAAAATCTGGCGATATTATTGTATTTTGAAAAAGTCATAACAACAATGCAAATCTGTCAATTCGAAACAATCCCCTTAGTTACTCCATAACAACCAATGCAAATCTGTCAAATTGAAAAAAATACTCTTTAAAACGACTGATTAGGATTAAAAAGCAGCGCCGAACGCGACCCCACAAGATTTTTCAAGTTTTCGCAATTCGCTTTACTTAACAATGTTACCGTCGATCTCGTCCCGGGCGAAGTTCTTGTACTTGTTCCGGCCGATTTCCACCGTTCTGAGGAACTCGCTCTCGCCGAACAGGAACCGCTTCACGTTCTCCTCCATTTCGGCGTATCGCGCCCGATCGGCGTCGTCCGATCGCGAATTGTCCGAACTGCCGCCCGTCTCCGGAGCCTCCTCCGCGCCGTCCACGTTGCGTCTGATCCAATCGGCGACGCGCTGCTGCTGACGGCGCTGATCCGAACCGGTTTCTGAAGGTGGTTTGTTCGGTCTGCGATATCAGAAATCCGTGTTATTAGGCGGTTTGTGAATGGTTCTAATGCGGTTTTGAAGCGGTTTTGAAGCGATTTTGAAGCGATTTTGAAGCGATTTTGAAGTGGTTTTGAAGCGTTTTATATGGTTCGAGACAGTTTTTGATTGATTCTAGAGCGTTCTGAATGGTTCTAAGGTGAAATTGATGATTCTGGAGCGTTCTAAATGGTTGTAGATAGTGCTACACGGATGTTCTCGGATGTTATAGACAATTCTAAATTGTTCTGAAGCATTCTAAATGGTTTTAGATAGCTCTAAATCGTTCTGAGATGTTCTAGATTGTTCTAGAGAGTTTTAAATCATTCTGGACTGGAACAGTTCTAAATGGTTCTAAGGTGAAATTGACGATTCTGGAGCGTTCTAAATGGTTGTAGATAGTGCTACATCGTTCTGGGATGTTATAGACAGTTCCAAATGGTTGCGAAGAAGTCTAAATGGTTGCGAAGAAGTCTAAATGGTTTTAGATAGTTCTAAATCGTTCTGAGATGTTCTAGATTGTTCTAGACAGTTTTAAATCATTCTGGAACAGTTCTAAATGGTTCAGGAGCGTTCAATATGGTTCTAAGGTGAAATTGATGATTGTGGAGCGTTCTAAATGATTCGACATAGTGCTACACCGTTCTGGGATGGTGTAGACAGTTCTTAATGGTATTGAAACATTCTAAATGGTTTTAGATAGTTCTAAACGGTTCTCTGAAGTGTTCTAAATGGTTCTAGACAGTTTTAAATCATTCTGGGAGTATTCTAAATGGTCCCTGGAGCTTCTAAATGGTTTTAGATTAGGTCTAAATGTTTCTGGAGCACGTTCTAAATGACTAAAGAGCGTTCTAAACGCGCTGCTGCTGACGGCGCTGATCCGAACCCGATTCTGAAGGTGGTTTATTCGGTCTGCGGTATCAGAAATGAGAAAAATCCTTATTAGGCGGTTCTAAATGGTTCTAATGCGGTTTTGAAGCTTTTTAAATGGTTCGAAACAGTTTTGATTGAGTCTAAAGCATTCTAAGTGGTCCTGAAGCGTTTCAAATGGTTCTAGATAGTTCTAGATGATTCTGGAGTGTTCTAAAAATTGATCTGGAGCATTCTAAATGGTTTTGAAGCAGTTTTGAGGCTTTTTAAATGGTTCGAAACAGTTTTGATTGAGTCTAAAGCATTCTAAGTGGTCCTGAAGCGTTTTAAATGGTTCTAGACAGTTCTAAATGATTCTGGAGTGTTCTAAAAATGATTCTGGAGCATTCTAAATGGTTTTGAAGCGATTTTGAGGCTTTCTAAACGGTTCGAAACAGTTGCGATTGATTCTAAAGCATTCTAAGTGGTCGTGAAGCGTTTTAAATCGTTCTAGACAGTTCTAAATGATTCTGGAGTGTCCTAAAAATGGTTCTGGAGCATTCTAAATGGTTCTAAAGCATTCTAAACGGTTATAGACAATTCCAAATGGTTTTTGCAGCGTTCTAAATGATTCTAGACAGAATTCTATTTGATTCTGAAGCATTCTAAACAGTTCTACGTTGTTTTGAAGCGTTTAAAAATTGTTTTAAATGGTTTTATAACATTCAAAATAATTCTGAAGCCTTCTAAACAGTTCTATTTGATTTTGAATCATTCTAAATGATTCTAGAACGTTTTAAATGGTTCTGAAGTGCTCTAAATGATTCTAGAACATTCTAAATGGTTTTGAAGTGTTCGAAATGGTTTTGGACAGCTCTAAACGATTCCAAAGCGTTCTAAATGGTTGTAGACAATTGAAAATTATTACCGAGTGTATAGTACGGGTGCAATGTTGTTGTGAGCGTTGTCGAGCAGTATATTTTTCCTGTTCTTTTGCATTCTCATCGAGGCGTATCGGGGTCCTTTCGTCGAATCCTCGGGTTTCTCCGAATCTCCCATTTCCGATACGGATTCCGTTTCGTAACTGATGGGCTTCGATTGATCGCACAGCCTACCAAAAATTACAAGATTACTATTAACATCTCGTCGTACCAATTATTTTCGTTTTACCTGTGATGTTTTTCGATTGTACTGGTATCGCGACGGTAAGAACGTACGAGCGAATTATTATTATCGCCGATTTTGTTGTCGTCGGAATCCACCGGACTCGACGGCGTCGACAATTCGGCCAGGAAATTGTTGGGCTGCACTTTGGCAACGTTGTGGACCGGCTCGGGTAATGGTAATTCCACTAGGGGATACACCGGAACGATTTTTTGCGCTATCGGTTCCACCGTTCTCACGATTTTCATGCCTACAAAATCGACTATTTAATTCAATTTCTAGCTATACGTTGGTTCCGAAATAATTGGCAGTGACGGATACTAATTGTTTCGAGTCCAAAAAAAAATAATAAATTAATTAGATTAATTAGAATAATGTTTAAAATTAGGTATTCGATAAAAGTGAAGAGGGTTTTGCCGCTTCATTAGAAATCGACCAGTTTCGCTTTAAAGTGCTTTTATATTACTATCTCTGTCTATTTTATTATATCTATTTATTACTATCTCCTTCTCTTGTTTTTCCTACAAGACTGGTCTTTATCAGCTGTTGATATTGGCTAGAACATAATTAAACAAAGGAACTCCTTAGTTACTCCATAACAACCAATGTAAATCTGTCAATTCGAAACGATCTCCTTAGTTACTCCATAACAACAATGTAAATCTGTCAAATGAAAGAATCTGCTGAGGGAAGTTACTAGATTTTGAAAAAGTCACAAAATCTGGTAATTTTGCAAAATTCTGGGGATATTACTGTATTTTGAAAAAGTCACTAAAGTCACGAACGTTCTAAAAGAGTTCTGAAACGTTCGAAATGGTTCTGGACAGCTCAAAATTATAGTTATTTATCATTAAAATTATTATTATTTTGGAGAATTATTACACTAAATACTGAATATTACTGAACGTTCTAAAAGAGTTCTGAAGTGTTTTAAATGGTTCTGAAGCGTTCTAAATAATTCTTAAGGGTTCTAAATGATTCTAGAACTTTCTAAATGGTTGTGAAGCGTTCTAAATGGTTCTGAAGTGTTCTAAATGATTCTAGAACGTTCTAAATGGTTCTGAAGCGTTTTAAATGGTTCTAAAGCGTTCTAAATGGTTCTGAAGTGTTCTAAATGATTCTAAAACATTATAAATGATTCTGAAGCGTTCGAAATGGTTCTGAAATGCTTAAAATTATTGTTATTTATTATTAAAATTATTATTTATTATTAAACCTGGTGATTTTACTAAAATCTGGGGATAATACTGTATTTTGAAAAAGTCACTAAATCTGGTGATCCCCAAGTGATCTATCAAAAACATTTAACGGGACACCGCCATTAATAGAAAATACGTCTAGTTTCCAGACCTTATAATACACGACCGTAATTCAAACGACCTCCCTAGTTACTCCATAACAACCAATGTAAATATGTCAGTTTAAAAGAATCTCCTTAGTTACTCCATAAAAACCAATGTAAATCTGTCAATTTGAAAGAATCTCCTTAGTTACTCCATAACAACAATGTAAATCTGTCAATTCGAAACAACCTCCTTAGTTACTCCATAACAACAATGTAAATCTGTCAATTCGCAACAATCTCCTTAGTTACTCCATAACAACCAATGTAAACCTGTCAAAATTGAACGAATCCACGAGCCGATAAACGACTCAACGCCAGTTATTTCGAAACCAATGTATAAATAACAAACAAAATCAATTACTCGCCACGCTTTGCATCGCCTCGTTGCACCTCAAACACACCGACTCCCTGTAATCCCCCGTTTGCGTACCGACGTGATGATTGCTCGTGTGATGCACGATCCGAACGCCTTTGGCGCATGTGCAGGTGTCGCAATGCTTGACGGCCGATCTCTCCCTTTGGCGCTCCTCGAGGACCTTCGCCATAATGGCGGCGGAGACTATATCGACCTGTTGGTCGGCTTCCGGTTCCGGTTTGCGTTCGGGATTGGGCGATTTCGGTACCGAATAGACCATCGCGGTGGGCGGGAACGTCGGAATGGGTACTTTGATGCTTTTTACTTCGGGCGGCGGTCGGATAGCTTCGGGTTTCCGTTTGGCCGTCATGTAATTGGAGACTTGCGATTGGACTTCGGGCGGTAACTGTTTTTCGATTGAAATCGATTCGTTTGTATTATGTACAGGGCGATTCGTTTTAGTTTGCAATACGGTCATTGCTACTGTGTGTTGAACAAAGAAAGATGATTAATATGATAGTTGTTAGAGCGAGAAAGTTACTGAATTGAACAAAGAGAGATTATTAATATGGCAGTTGTTGGAGTGAGAAAGTTACTGAGTTGAACAAAGAGAGTGAGTTGAACAAAGAAAGATTATTAATATGGCAGTTGTTGGAGTGAGAAAGTTACTGAGTTGAGCAAAGAGAGTGAGTTGAACAAAGAAAGATTATTAATATGGCAATTGTTGGAATGAGAAAGTTACTGAGTTGAGCAAAGAGAGTGAGTTGAACAAAGAAAGATTATTAATATGGCAGTTGTTGGAGTGAGAAAGTTACTGAGTTTAACAAAGAGAGTGAGTTGAACAAAGAAAGATTATTAATATGGCAATTGTTGGAATGAGAAAGTTACTGAGTTGAACAAAGAGAGTGAGTCAAACGAAGATGGATTATTAATATGACAGTTATTAAAGCGAGAAAGTTACTGAATTAAACAAAGTAAGATTGCTAAAATGACAGTTGTCGAAGTAAGAAAGTTGCAATGACATAATATCACTCTTTCTATTTCCTTTATAAGTGCCTAATCTCTAAGTGTTATCTTTGTCGCACTCATAGACTTAAATAACCTATATTTAAATCAAAAATTAATCAACCTGTATATTGCAAACTAAATTGAATCAACATGTATTAGGCTACGAGTGCGATAAAGACAACTTCTATTAGACACTTGTAAAGGAAAAGGCAAGATTATTAATATATAATATGGGAGTTGTTGGAGTGAGAAAGTTACTGAGTTGAACAAAGAAAGGTTGCTAAAATGACAGTTGTCAGAGTAAGAAAGTTGGAATGACATAATATCACTGTTTCTTTTTCCTTTATAAGTGTCAAATGGAAGTTATCTTTGTCGCACTCATAGACTTAAATAACCTATATTAAAATCAAAAATTAATCACCCTGTATATTGCAAACTAAATTGAATCATCATGTATGTGCGATAAAGACAACTTCCATTAGACATTTAAAAAGGAAAAAGAAAGAGTGACATTTGTGTCATTGCAACTTTTCACTCTGACAACTGTCACTTTAGCAATCTTTCTTTGTTCAACTCATAGAAATAACCATATTGCAAACTGAAATAAACTTTACTGAAATCTTACTGTATCGTATCGGTGCGCTACGAAATTGCTCTGTTTACACTGTAAAAATTGTATTGCTAAGCTGACGTCATTCTTATACCTCTCCTGAAAAAAAAAATCATTTCGCGCATTTCGAATAATTTATACTCTATTTAAAAAACTAGAAGGAGCATTTCGAAAAGCCTGACAAACACCTAATAAAAACATTTCTAGATGATTCTGGAGCGTTCTAAATGACAGAATTACAAAAAAAAACCTAACTTCACTTTCATCTTCTTTAAGATTCAAATAAGCGACGTTGTCATGTTTAAAATTCGGAAATATATCATCGTTGGTTACAAAAAATTTCTGAATACAGGGATAAATACTTCACATTTCTAAAATACAAGTTAAAAATGTGGTAAACATAAGTAATAAATTTCTATAGCGTGAACTTGACTCGTAATTATTAACCAATAAACGAACGCGAGTGTTGCCAACTTAAATTCAAATCGCTCCTTCTAGTTTTTAAATGGATCCTACAGTAAGTAATCTTACGTTTTCCTCTTTTAATTTCTTTATGTTATAGTTGGCATCTGCCAGTTTGTGCGACAACGTTGCCACGTCTTTGGTCAGAGCAGTCTTTTCGGTTTCGCAAACGTCCACCAATTTCAACAGTTTATCCTCCAATCCTTGGTTCACCCTTTGGACCCTCCTGTGGGCCTCGTACAATCTGCAATCAGCCACAATCTTATTAAATTTTAATGAGAAAAAAAGCAAATATTGTTACAATTGTATACATAAGTATTTATGACTTTTTTTAATTCGTAAACATCAAAAGTAAACACTTAAATTGGGATTTTCGATTACAACCTGGCAACGTTGCAAGGGGGCCATCTTCATTTCAAAACGTACTATCTTTACCTTTTGTATTTGTCCTGCCATGTCAACAGTTCCTCTTTAACGGAAGACAATTCCCCGTTGGGATAGTTGTTGGTTTCGTTTAGGAAATTGGTTTCCATCGTAACGATGTGGTTTTCTTTTTCCACGAGCTTCTGCTTGAGATTCTCGATTTCGACGTGAAGCTGGACGTCGTGATCGTTCAACGTGCACCTGGTGCATGTGCAACCGCAATCCTTGAAACGATTAAGTTAAATGTCTGTAGATTAGGGAAAGCTTAGTAGAAATTTTATATATACTACCTTGCATTCGTTAGCCATCGCTTCTTGGGAAATAAAAACGAAAAAAAGACACCTAGAAATAAGTAGAAGTATAGAAAGAAATAAGTCGTTGTAAGTACAGGAATGTTGAAAAAGGGGATTACTAACCTTCTTATTCTAGCACTTGGAAATTTTGATTATTGTATAAATGCGCCTTGATATGTTTATTTTGACTCGCAAATACGTGATTCGAAATAAAAACGTTCAATTTACACTTCCAACAAACACTTTTTTTAATATTAATACGTAAAAGAAAGTAACAAAACAACGATGACGTTTAATTCCAGTCATTGGATTTTTTCTTCTTCTTTTCCGAGATATTACCAACAACTTGAGTTATTGACAGATACTTGACTGTTTACCTTGACACTTGAAGGCCAATTATCATTAGAATTACGAATCGAAATAAAAACGTTCAATTTACACTCCCAAATCCAACAAACACTTTTTTTGATATAATACGCAACAAAAAGTAACAAAACAACGATGACGTTTAATTCCATTCATTACTTTTTTCTTCTTCTTTTCCGAATTAACGCAAATTCGAGTTATTCACAGGTACTTGACTGTTTACCCTGACAGTTGAAGGCATATGAAGTTTTTTTCTTAAAATGAGTCCAAGAATCACCCCCTTAAATATTAGCGTGTCATTACGCAACACCCTGTATAAATCCAAAAATACCCCAATCCGCACCGGAATCGAATATTTCCAATTTCCCCATTAATCCGGAAACCATCGAGACGATCTAGAGGGGACGCACCCTCTCCGTCGATCCCGCATAGCGCCGCATACCTGCTGGCACCGCCATCGATCCGACGCCCGCCGTCGATGACGTCGCGGCGCCCTCGGAGCGCGCGGCGAGAGGGGTAAACGACGTCACCGCTCCCCTTTTTACGCCCCCACCCGTCAGTACGCCAGTCGAGCGGCCGGGAGAGGCGGCGACAACGCGCTCTAGATCTAGATGCCCAGCGAGGGACGGTCGCGGAAGAGTTTTTTTTGTTCCGGTGGATAAGTTGTACGAGTTACAGTCGGGAGGTTATAATATATGAGAAGTTATATGCGTTTGTGCTGCGCGGTTTACGATGGTGTCCGGTCGTGCGGCGATTTTTCTATTAGGTGTTTTCGTGGTTTTTTGTGAGTTGCTTTTTACCCTCTAGTTTACTCTACTTATGTATATATATTTAATTATTTAACTAGGGGGGTTTGAAAGGATTTAGTCTTTTTTTTCTCGTTGATTTAATTAGCGTAATTGCATAGGTTTCTTGATTATGTAATGTTACGGGATATGTATTGATGGTTTTGCGGTGTGGAATCGATATGGCTCATTCACGATTCTATGATTTTTTGAGTGTTGTTAAATCGATGTGTATTGGAAGAATCGCTCAAAATTAAAACCACGAAATACGCATAGATTGTTAAAATATTTAATATACGGTGGCCTTCATTGCGACATTAAAATTTACACCCCGTGGTAATTGCGGGGTTACATAAAACAACCGGATTTTTTTTTTGTTATATACGAGCGAAACAATTCGGCGACTCCATTAAAACTCGAATGCTGTTAAAAAAAAAAAAACACCTTCGATTCCTTTTTGGCACGACCCGAAACACGCGATGCATGAATATTGTTCCGTTTGACCTTTTTTTTTTAGTTCTTTTGGAAATTACCCTGATTACTCCAGTACCATTGGGAGTTGTCCTGAACGGTTTGGAAGCGTCCAGAGATATTTGAAAACTGTTCTAAATGGATTGGGGAACGGTTCTAAAGGATTTGGAACTGTCCAGGACCTTTGGGAGTTATCCTGAATAGTTAGAAAGTATCCAGAGATATTTGAAAACTGTTCAAAATGAATTGAGGAACGGTTCTAAAAGATTTTGAACTATCCAGGACCTTTGGGAGTTGTACTGAACAGTTTGGAAGTGTCCCTAACTATTTGAAACTGTTCTAAATGGATTAGGGAACGGTTCTAAAAGATTTGGAACTGTCCAGGTCCTTTGGGAGTTGTCCTGAACAGTTTGGAACTGCCCAGAAACTTTGAGAACTGTCTAGGAATTTTGGGAACACTCCTGAGCACTCCTGGAACAACTTACAACTGTTCTCAATGGTTTAGAACTCTTCCAAATTGTATTTAGAACTGTCCATGATTTTTGGGAATTGTCCTGGATAGTTTGGAAGTGTCCAGAGATATTTGAAAACTGTTCTAAATGAATTGGGAAACGGTTCTAAAAGACTTGGAACTGTCCAGCACTTTTAGGAATTGTCCTGAACCGCTTGGAAATGGCCCGAGCTGTTTGAAAACTGTTCAAAATGGATTAGAGAACGGTTCTAAAAGACTTGGAACTGTCCAGCACTTTTAGGAATTGTCCTGAACCGCTTGGAAATGGCCCGAGCTGTTTAAAAACTGTTCAAAATGGATTAGAGAACGGTTCTAAAAGACTTGGAACTGTCCAGCACTTTTAGGAATTGTTCTGAACCGCTTGGAAATGGCCCGAGCTGTTTGAAAACTGTTCAAAATGGATCGGAACTGTCCAGGACCTTTGAGAGTTGTCCTGATCCGTTTAGAAGCGTCCCGATCTATTTAAAAGTGCTTTAAATAGTTCGGAACTGCCCAGAACCTTTGAGAACCGTCCAGGAATTTTGGAAACACTCCTGAGCCGCTTGGAACTACTTACAACTGTTCTCAATGGTTTGGAACTCTTCCAAATTGTATTTAGAACAGTCCAGCACCTTTGGGAGTTGCCCTGAACCGTTTAGAAGTGTCCCGATCTAAGTTCTTTAAATAGTTTGGAACTACCCAGAACCTTTGGGAATACTCCTGAGCCGCTTGGAACTACTTACAACTGTTCTCAATGGTTTGGAACTCTTCCAAATTGTATTTAGAACTGTCCATGATTTTTGGGAATTGTCCTGAACAGTTTGGAAGTGTCCAGAGATATTTGAAAACTGTTCTAAATGGATTAGGGAACGGTTCTAAAAGATTTGGAACTGTCCAGCACCTTTAGGAATTGTCCATTTGAAAGTGTCCCGATTTATTTGAAAGTGCTTTAAATAGTTCGGAACTGCCCAGAACCTTTGAGAACCGTCCAGGAATTTTGGAAACACTCCTGAGCCGCTTGGAACTACTTACAACTGTTCTCAATGGTTTGGAACTCTTCCAAATTGTATTTAGAACAGTCCAGCACCTTCGGGAGTTGCCCTGACCCGTTTAGAAGTGTCCCGATCTAAGTGCTCTAAATAGTTTGGAACTACCCAGAACCTTTGGGAACACTCCTGAGCCGCTTGGAACTACTTACAACTGTTCTCAATGGTTTGGAACTCTTCCAAATTGCATTTAAAACTGTCCAGGACACATTTTCCAACATAATCCTAACTTGACATCCTGCGTTGTTTTGCAGGCGAGGCGCAGCAGTATGAGTACGCCTACCCCAATCAGGACAACAATCTGCTCTACAACCGCATGGAACACGAAATAACGAGGCCGGGCGACGTGTTGCAGTGCTACGACTGCAACTCGGAGTACGATCCTCGGTGCGGGGATCCGTTCAATCCTTACACGATCGGCATCGTGAATTGCACCGATCGCAACACGCCGGAGCATCTGATCGATCCGGTCGATCCCAACAGGAAGCTGGAGCCGAAGCTATGCAGGAAAATCGTCCAGAAAGGTATTTGAACTGTATACAATGGAGAGGAATACGACTTTTTCTTATGACTATTCTTTTATGAAATCGTTGGTGAGGTTTTTAATTTTCTCTGTTTCCTATAGACCTATTCAGTTTAACCTGTGCTGCGCGCGCATACTGTGGACAATATTTGCTTCTTTTATTATCTTATGTTGATCTAATAACTCCATCACTCTCTTTCGTAAACTGAATAGGTCTATTAAGGCCACAAAGTGAAGTTGTCAAATGTCTTCTTACTCTGAAAAAAAGGCGTTTGTTTGTATGTCAATACAACAAGTTATTTTTTATATTTCTTGATGCAGTTATGATTTATTCCAAAAATATAAAGCGAACTTATAATTATTAAATATAATATGCCTATATTTACGAATTAATGTAAATTTCTTAAATTTTAAATTATTGTTTAGTAAAAATGGTAATGTGGCAACATCGACTTTTTAAACTTGTCAAATAGTGAAAACTTTACCTTACCTCCAAGTAATTTAAAATGTCGCTTCCGAAGGTAGTTGAACCTTGTTTCATGCCGTTTTGTGAAAATTCTTCATTTCATTCTAAAAAAGTGTTTATTTTTGGCCACGGTCCTATATTTCTAAGGTCTGGAAAGATGGGTCGAAAAAGTGTCCCGTTATTTGAGGATAAAACAGGGTTCCCAAAACGGCCGCTAGGAGGCGATGTTGTAAAGGACCCCGGTTTTTTGCGTACGAATTATGTAGAATAAGAATTAAGATAGGTTTTATTCAAACTAAAAATAGATACAAAATATAAAAATATACTTAAATCAGCGATGATTTTGTTGTAAACATCATGCCTCACGTATCTTTAATTAATGTATTTCTCCATTTTCTCCTCGAAATGTCAAAAAATAATTTTTGAAGTTTTGACAGCTTGAACTGTCATTTCACAATCGCGATTTAAATGTAGCGCGACGCTGATTGGCTGAGATAAATTGGTCCTCAGATTGTTCGCCTCATTGCGGCGCAAAAGTGAAGCTCATAAAGTCCTCAAATAACGTCACACATTCTCTAATGCATAATAGGGAGATTCCAAACCTTAGAAATATAGGGACTCCAAATAAATCAACTTATACAATTTTAAAATGTCGCATCCGAAGGTAGTTAAACCTTGTTTCATGCCGTTTTGTGAAAATTCTTCATTGCATTCTAAAAAAAGTGTTTAATTTTTGCCCAATAAACTTAAAACAAAGAAATTACAATAACCTAACCCTAGATATGTCACCTGTCATTACATCTCACTTTTGTTCGTTTCTTCTACTCATCCGAACAGTTTGTTCGGAATACAACAAAGTTCTCTTATGATTGGTTAAGCACATACGTCACCTGTCAAAATTTTAAATTTAAAATGGCTATATTTCCTAAAATATTGAATAGTTCGAACAACTGAAAACTGATTCGGGTTCTAACGAGTTATATCTTTTCATATATTCCGCTAAAAACCGTATATCTCACATCGTACTCCTCTCCATTGTCCCTTTCGAAACGTCCCGTTGACGAAGATGGCGTTTTTTTGCAGTGCAAGGGAAGATTAGGGTGATCAGGAGTTGCGGGTACATCGAGGACCGTCACGACGACAAGAAATGCTTCAAGAGGACGGGAACGAAGGACGTGGAGGTGCACTTTTGCTCGTGCACCAAGTCCTTGTGCAACGCCGGAGATAGAACGAATGGTCCTTTGAGGATACTGGTCCTGCTATTCGTTGGATTCGCTAATATGGCTGCACGTTGGGCGTAATTATATTTGTTTTATTTAGTTTATTTTATCGGGATATTGCGTACAAACATTTCATATTGTTTTTGGGACACCCGGTATTGGTATTTCTAATTATTTTAAAGTATCTACTCATTTTTATGATGTTTGTATGCATGTAATGAATGAATTATTATTTACATTTTGCGTAATTCCTGTTTTGTTTTCGAACAAAAACTCTTATTATAGTTTGTATCCAATTTGTAAAAGATGTCAAGACGGGTTATCTCTTTTAAAATGTGAACTGGAAATTATTTCATCGTTATCTTATTTGATAGATTTATTTCTTTACCGATAATAAACCGATTCAGGGTAATTAAAAATTGAATTATTTCGTTAACATAAATTTATGATTTATAAGCGTAATATAACTTAATCAATTGGTTCTAAATAATTGGAATTTATAAACAAAAAATATCTCCTTATACGGCTTTAACAGTAATACTTAGAGACATATCCAATTTTTTTAAAATTTTCTACTATACCATTTTATTAACAAACGTGTCTCTTTTAGTATATAGAACTTTAGTGTGCTAAAATTAATGTATAAAAAAACAATAAAAAAAACAGATCGTAATTTCAAATTGAATACGAGGTGCATCATTATAAAAACGAATCTAATTCGAATTTTAAATGGCCCACCCTGTATAATTATGTATCGCGCGAACACTGCCCAATTTTTGGCCTGCGATGCCGTTGTAGTCGTTGCTTTTTCGCGATTTTTAACGAGAAAATCGATCGAATAAATTTTATTTTTACTTGTATTCGAGCACACACGATGTCGCTAAATTTTTATATACACGCCGATATCTGCGCTTGGTTATGAAAAGCGCCGGTTTGAAAACTATTTTTTTTTAATCACTCTGTATATGTATAACGTGCGTAGATTTGGTGAAACAGAAACTCGCGAAGAGAGGAGCTTACATGTATGTGCATTGTGTAGGGTATTTTTAAAGTAAATGTATTTGTTGCTAATGAAATATTCTCTATAAATACTATATATTGTATTGGATTTATCCAAAAATCTGTTCTTTGTGTTTAATGGTATCTACTTGATTAAAATTAGGGAATGCTTGTCGAATAAAGGGGAAAATATTCAAAATATGGCTGTGAATGTTACCTATATAAAATTTCTGATCGTTTAAATTCTTGTTAAATTTTTTTTGATTATCGATGTGTATTAAATTGAGAACGAAAGAACAGATTTTTCGATGATACTTTGATGTATTGTAATCCGGTTTTTCTTATGACTTTTCCCTCCAAATTATTTTATACAGAGCGTTTCGCGAAAGCGCGTTATTTTTGGAATTCTCCGCTAATAACTGAACGTCTTTATTGTTAAAAAAATTTAATTCTAAAAACTCTAAAGTATATAAAATCTATTTTTGTCGGAAGTACGTACCTGCTAATGAAGCGTTACCTGATTTGTATATAAAATGTTTTTTTTTTTTTAATAAATTGTCTCCCATTGAATTTCTTTTAGGATGAATAGCTTTCAACGGTGTTATTATTTTACGAATTTAATCTGAAATTAATTCTGTTTCTAATTTAATTACTGAAATTAACTCTATTTTATTGGCGTATCGCTAGCACGCTTACGTTACTCATAAAACTTGTTGTTATGTTAAGTATGTATAGTGTTTGGAAATAAAAAAATACAAACAATTCCTGTAAATTTGTTTTATTCGAACCCGTGGGAATTACAGCCTTTTACCTACAAATAACACTACTGTGCTTGTAGTAAGCTACAAGAAGAGGCCACCATTGGATTAAAAATTATGTTGGTAGAAATGACTGTCAAAATTGTCAAACGATATGAAATGTCAAAATAACAAACATGGTGCTTAATTTCGTTTATTGATATCAAATTACTTACTAAACATATTAAACTATAAACTAATAAAATTATGGCGAACCATTATGAAGTGCCCAACTGGTAAGTATTAAATTTACAACGAAATGTAACCTCTCTTGTTCGTACTTACTGGTTTTGATGCTTCTAGGGCCGGGAAACCTCCCGTTGGGCTTCATTTAGACGTGTTAAAAGGCGATAAACTAATACAGAAACTGATGATTGACGAGAAGAAATGCTATCTATTCGGCAGGAACGCTCAAATGAACGATTTTTGCATCGATCACGCCTCTTGTTCGAGGGTCCATTCCGCTTTAGTGTGGCACAAACACCTCGATAGAGCCTTCTTAGTAGACTTGGGAAGCAGTAAGTATTACGCTGATTCGTTTATTACAAATATTTTGTAATTAAATTGTTGATTTTTAGCACACGGCACGTTTATAGGAACATTACGATTGGAAGGGTACAAACCTACTCAACTTCCTATTGATTCTAGTTTTCATTTCGGCGCTTCGACGAGACACTACGTAATTAGAGAGAGACCTCAGACTGGAATTAGGCCTATAATCGATGAAATCGAGAAAGCTGGTGAAGATTCCGAGGGCGGTTTGTTGGGTTTGCCCGAAACCGAAACAGAATTAGACGTAAATTATACATACTAATTAATTAATCATTGATTGGATTCATATATAATTTGGTTGTTTTAGAATTTAACGGAATTCAATACGGCGCATAACAGGAGAATATCGATGTTGGGTATAACGGACGATGCAGACAAACGGAGCAGGAAAAGGAAACGCCACAACGTATCCTTCAACGAAGACGAAGAAGTCATAAATCCCGAAGATATCGATCCCTCTATCGGCAGGTTTAGGAATCTAATACAAACCACCGTCGTTCCCACGTCCTCGAAAAGGGCCAAAATCGCCGAAAGCATCGGCATAAGCGCGTCGGAATTTCGCCAACCGAAACCCGTCCATCACCTAAACGCTTCTACGAACGATCTGTATACCGATTTGCCGCCCGAATCGCACCCGTCGGGCGCCGGCGGATTGGGCATCTACAGCTCGTTGAGCTCGCGATTGGGCATGGTGTTGCCCAATCCGGCGCCCGACGTCGACATGGGGCAGACGTTCGCGAGCCCGGCGAGCTTCGTGCCCCAACAAGTGCAAGCCGGCGATCCGATGGAGCCCAAGAAGAAGAAGTACGCGAAGGAGGCCTGGCCGGGGAAGAAGTCCGTGCAGACGTTGTTGGTGTAGATTGTCTCCACAAAGTGTAATTGGGGCTCGTTAGAGGCGACGTCCGAGTTATTCATAAGTAATTTATATTAAATATTGATTTTATTTATGCGGCGTTTTATTTGGAACGAATTTTTTGAATTAAAATGACAGATGACAGGTGTATTGTGTAACCGAGAAGAACGAGACAAGTTAAGCGCCGGGAAGAAGTCTGTGCAGACTTTGTTTGTGTAGATTTTCTTTCGTACGCATAATTGGGGCCAGTCAGAGGTGACGCCCGAGTTATTCATAACTTCATAAGTGATTTTATTTGGAACGATTGTTTTTTTTTAATGACAGATGACAGGTGTATTGTATAACCGAGTAGAACAAGATTAGCATGCCGGATATATTGTTCCATTTATTTATTTGTTGAATTTATTACACTTTATTGACTTTTTACTATTACACTTTTACTTTTATTAATATTCTTTTTGTAATTCTTTTATTTATTTTTATTCTTCTTTTAATTTACACAACTTTAATCCTACTAACGCTAACTTCACACTAAACAATTTTACCGCCATTTTCAATTGTAAGTTAACCCTATTATTTGAATGTAAATAAAAAACATTAAAAAAATCGTTTAATAAATATTATACACGTAAGTATTTAAGAATTAAATCGCTACATTTCGTGTACTCACAGTGGTATTTTTAGAATGGACATATCCTCTGTACTATCCGCAGAAATATCCGCTACCTGCAACGCTTTGGGTTACTTCGATGAAAAATCCAACAAATATTTTTCCGATGGAAACGTCCTGGAAACAGTCAAAGACCTCGTCCGGTATCTCCGGCGCGACGACGAAAACCACAGCATTCGAAGGCAACTCGGCAAAAGCAAAGTACTGCAAACCGATTTGCTCCCCTTACTAAAAACCTACCACGAAGAAAGCGACCTGTTCGACGTGCTCTTGAGGCTCGTAATGAACCTAACCACGCCGCCTTTGCTGCTCTTCAACTTCGAAATACCCACCGATTTGTTCCAGCGAAACCTCTACCTGGAAATGGACGATCACCTGCAATCGTACAAGGAATCGTTCGCCGACGAGGGCATTTGGGCGGTGTTCAGCACCCATCTGAGTAGGATACTCGAAATCGAGCACGCCGAAAGAGGAGAAGAAAACAGCGTTAAAATCGAACGAATATTAGTACTGATCAGAAACGTTCTATTCGTCCACTCGGACTCGGAGGAACGAAGGCCGGACAACGATGCAAGCCTGCACGATCAAGTACTCTGGGCCCTACACCACTCCGGCCTGCTAGATATAATTTTGTACATAACGACGAATCCCATCGAACAAACTTACTACATGTACATATTGGAGATAATGTTTTTCATGTTGAGGAACCAACGGCCGCAGGATTTGGCCCAGGCCGCTTTGGAGCGCAGCCAAACCGAGAAGATCCGAGACGAGGCCGAGTTGGTGAATCTGAAGAACGTCGAGCAGGTGAGGAAGCAGTACAAAATGAAGAAATACGCGGGCGCCAGGCATTCGAGGTTCGGTGGCACGTTCGTGGTGCAATCGATGAAGAGCATCAACGACAACGAACTGATCTACCACAAATCTCTGAACAAATTAGAATCGCTAGACTTCGATAACGGCAAAACGAAGAGGAAAACGCCGAAGAACAGGACGCCTTTGCAGAGCAATTCGATCGAACGAAGGTCCGCTTTCATGATACGACTCTTCCTGAAGGAATTCTGCATCGAATTCCTGAACGGGGCCTACAACGCCACGTTGCGGTACATCAAAAGCGTACTTGTCAGGTCAAGCGATGAGGCCCACGACGAATCGTACTATTTCTGGGCGATGAGCTTCTTTATGGCCTTCAATCGCAGCTACAAGTTCGAGGTGAAGTTGGTCAGCGAAACTCTGTCGGTGGAATCGTTCTATTACATCCAGCAGCAAAGCGAAAACTACTTCGACAGGATTAAAACGGACAAAAAGAGATTGAAAGTGTGGTCGAGGAGACTCCACATGGCGATATTGACCTACAAAGAGCTACTCCTAACTCTGCTCGCCATGGATAAATCGACGGACGAAAACGTTAGGGAGTCCTCGAAAGTGATCAAAAACAACTTATTCTACGTACCGGAGTATAGGGAATTCGTACTAACTTTGTTAATATCCTTCGACGAACTGAAACTAACAGACGCTTATCTGAAAGATTTGCTAGAAACCCAGCACCATTTCCTGAAGATGTTCGAGGGTTACTGCAACAGAGAAGGATCGTTGATTGTACAGAAGAAGTCGCTGCATAAACGAAAGAAAAAGGCTGCCAATCGAGCCGCCTCCAAGGAGGAATCGACCGAGAAACTGAACCGATTGTGGGAATCGTCCTCGCCTCAAATAGTCGCTCTGTTAGAATCAGGCGGTAGTTTTTTAACCAGAGAAGTACCGTTCGATGCCGCCTCGGAGGTCCCCGTAGACGATCAAAAAACCGACGCCATAAAGAAAATTCAAAACAAACTAAGACAATCCGAGTTCGAGAGCGCTATAAGCATCATACGAGCGGCAAGAGAAGTGTGGCCTGAGAACAATTACTTCGGCAGCGACAATATGACCACCGAAGAAGAATTCCTCGCTATGAAAGAGATGTTCTTCGCCGATTTGGGCGAGGAAGCGCCCGAAACGAACGTTCAAACGGAAAGCGATGGTGAAGAAGAGGAAGTTCGTCAGGAAGCGCGCGAAGTCAACTTCAATTTCACCGAATTCCTCGGCCGATTGGCCCACCCGAAGATCGTCCGGACCTGCGGCATCGCTTTGAGAACCTTCGAGACGAACCCCATCGGTACCAATCACTCCGTCGTCAAGCTGCTTCACAGGATAGCGTTCGATTGCAAGATGTACGTCATGCTGTTCCAGTTGAGCCTGTTCCGGACGTTCCAGAGGATATTCGAGCTCAAAGACGCGCCCCAATACAAGGAATTGGTGAAGTTCTCCACCTACATTGTGAGGCAGTTCATAAACGTATCGCGAACCAACGATAAGGTTTACATCGAAGCGTTGTTTTGGAAGACGAAGAAAGAAGCTTACGAGATCGAGCACGGTTACGGTACCAGCCGAACGGTGGCTACTTCGGGCTGGTCCGATGAGGAAAAGAACGAACTCGAAGTACTGTTTAACGAATACCACGATACGAACGTACAAGAAGACATCATCGATTGGATATTGAAGAACCTAATCAATCATACGAGAACTCGACGGATGGTATTGAGGCAACTCAAAGTTATGGATCTCATAGATACATATAAAAGGAACAAACAGCAAACTGGGATCCAGCGCGACTGGAATCCAGAGGAAGAATCGCAACTCGGTGAATTGTTCAATAGATGCAAAGACTCTTCTGATCCGGTTAGTTCGATTATCGATCAACTTTCTACCAAACGAACGAAGAAAAACGTCACCGATAAGCTATTAGAGTTGGGATTGATACGAAGCAAAAGCGAAGTACGCAAGAAGAAAGAACCGAACAACGAAAGGGAAACGACTGATGTTAACAGATTATACGACAGCGAATCCGACTCCTCCGATGAACCGACTCCCAAATCTCCGGTGGCCAAAAAAAGGGAATTCTCCGTAAACACCAGCAAAAGCGAAGTGGTGGATTTGATCCGGAGGATACTCGGCGCCGATTCGGACGCGAGAGTCGGCGTCGAGTGGCTGAAAGAGAGCATCGCCGAGGCGCTAGAAGACGCCGGGGACGCCGCCGAAGACGTGCCTTTGGTGCCGCTGTCCGAGCCGGCGGAAAACTGCATGGAAAATGCCGGTTTTCAGGCGCTGCTCAGGGCGTTGGGTATCACGCAGCCGCTGGACGAGCAAGAGGCCTACTGGAGGATACCGAAGGAAATTGGCAAGGAGGTGTTGGAGAATCATCTGGATTTGTTAGAGTGCGGTTTGAGCGGCGAGAGAGATGAGGAAGCGCAGTCGCCGCCTCACAAACGGATTAGATTATCGGAAGAACGAGATTTTTAAAATGTAAAATTGTATTTTAATTTAAGATTTATTTTAAATATGTATACGAATGTTTATAATACCTTTGAAGCAGTTTTTCTAGATAAAAATGTGTACTTTTATTAAATTCTTCTAATTTCTACCGCTTAGGTCTTATACAGCTAATTAATTCAGCCACACGAACTCGAATTCGTGCGAAAAACGAATGGAAATCGACGCTTCACTGTGATTGGACCGTTCGAATTTGAATTTTAAACGCTGCAATTCGATTGGTCGTGTTGCATTATAAACGATAAAGAAGGGAGATTTGTCAAATTTGAACGACCTTTTCGCGAGTCGTGCGCGATCGGTTCCGTTTCGTTTGACGTCGGTTTGTCGGTGTCTGTTTTTGTTCGTCCGTTTCAACGCCTACGCCGCTGAAGTGTGTTTGGTGATGAGTGAAAAGTAATAGCTTTTAATTCAAAGAGACCGATGAATTTGTTAAAAAAGTGTGGATTTAAACTTTGTGATCGCTTTTAACTAGGAACGGTTTTAGTCTTCGACGAGAGGACAAAATGGCCGATATTCGGGTAAGTTTAAATTTGTTTCTCTCGCTTCTGTTTTTTATTTGAGGTTAATAAAATGCCTCCTTTTTTGTCTTGTAACTTACCAATACCTTTCGAATAGGAATAATTACCTAGTTGTTAACTATTCATTTTGATTGTAACAGCTTTTACTAAAAACATTCAATCAAAACCCGTTTAATGTATGTTTACATTAGTGTATTATACTCTGATAATTCGTTGTTTTAGAATTTCATCTCGAAAATGGCAAACGGGAGCGCCAGCAAGGACGATGAAAATGAAGAATCGGTCGCCCCGCAGCCTCCCAAAAAGAAAGCAGGCACCATCGAGAAGACCTACCAGAAGAAAACCCAACTCGAACATATCCTTCTACGTCCCGACACTTACATAGGATCCGTAGAAAAAGCCACCGAATTGATGTGGATTTACGATATCGAAAACGAAGTAATGGTCCAGAAGCAAATCGAATACGTGCCAGGTATATACACCACTTCTACTTACAACATTTCTAATGAATAAATCGTATTATCTGTTGCAGGTTTATACAAAATATTCGACGAAATCCTGGTGAACGCCGCCGACAACAAGCAGCGCGACAAATCGATGGATTGCATCAAGATCGAGATAAAGCCGGAGGAGAATTTCGTATCGGTTTGGAACAACGGCAAGGGCATACCGGTGGTGATGCACAAAGACGAAAACATGTTTGTACCCACCATGATATTCGGACATTTACTCACCTCTTCCAACTACAACGACGAGGAGGAGAAGGTGACAGGAGGTCGAAACGGTTACGGGGCCAAATTGTGTAATATTTTTAGGTAACATCCAATTTAGTTTGCTGAATTTAGATTATAAACAACTACTTTTTAGCGAGAAATTCATCGTGGAAACGGCCTCGAAGGAGTACAAAAAGCAATTCCGGCAAACGTGGGGCTCCAACATGTCGAAAACGTCCGAGCCGAAGATAAAACCCTCCAACGAGGACTACACGAAGATATCCTTCTGGCCGGATTTGTCGAAATTCAAAATGGACAAACTAGACGATGACATCGTGGGTTTGATGTCTAGACGAGCCTTCGACGTAGCCGCGTCCACTAAAGGAGTAAAAGTCTTCCTCAACGGCAAAAGAGTCCCTGTAAAAAATTTCAAAGACTACATAGACTTATACATCAAAGGCAAAGAAGACGAGGCCGGGAATCCCTTGAAAATAGTCCACGAACAGTCCAGCGAACGATGGGAAATCGGCTTCACGTTGTCCGACAAAGGATTCCAACAGGTCTCGTTCGTCAACAGCATCGCCACCACCAAAGGGGGCCGACACGTCGATTACATAGTCGATTTGATCGTGAAGCAACTCACCGAGGTTTTAAAGAAGAAAAACAAGGGCGGCCTGCAAATCAAACCGTTCCAAATCAAAAACCACATGTGGATATTCATAAACTGCCTCATCGTCAATCCCACGTTCGATTCTCAAACCAAAGAGAACATGACTCTTACTATGAAGAATTTCGGTTCGAAATGCGCTTTAAGCGATAAATTCATTAATAGCTTGTTGAAGTGCGGTATTGTCGACGCCGTGCTGAGCTGGGCTAAATTCAAGGCTCAGAAGGAGTTGAATAAAGTGAGCGGTAAAAAGGTGACGAAGCTGAAAGGCGTGCCGAAATTGGAAGATGCCAACGAGGCCGGTCAAAAGAACGCCCTGAAATGCACGTTGATATTAACGGAGGGAGATTCGGCCAAAGGCATGGTGATGTCGGGATTGAGCGTGGTCGGTAGAGATTATTACGGCGTGTTCCCTCTCAGAGGTAAGATACTCAACACGCGCGAGGCGAACACCAAGCAGATACTCGAAAACAACGAAATCAACAACATCATCAAAATCCTCGGTTTGCAGTACAAGAAAAAGTACAACACCGATGAAGACATGAAAACTCTAAGGTAACGAATACGCTCCGATTGAATAATACGAGTAAATTAACGGGTTCTTACAGGTACGGCAAAGTGATGTTGATGACGGATCAGGATCAGGACGGATCGCACATAAAAGGTTTGCTCATAAATTTCATGCACCACAATTGGCCCGAGCTGCTCAAAAGGAATTTCATCGAGCAATTCATCACGCCCATCGTGAAAGCTAGAAAAAATAACGAATGTCTGTCGTTCTATTCGCTGCCGGAGCTCGAAGAATGGAAGGCGAACACGCCTAATTACAACACCTACAACATCAAATATTACAAGGGTAAGTTTCTAATATTTGAAAGTCGATTCGGTTATTAAAATGTTGTTTTTTTTTATTAGGTTTGGGTACATCCGACGATGTGGAAAGTAAAGAATACTTCGCGAACCTCGACAGACACAGGGTGAAATTCAAATATTCCGGACAACAAGACGACGATCACATCCTGCTGGCGTTCAGTAAGAAATGCGTCGACCGCAGGAAGGAGTGGCTGACGAACTTCATGGTGGAGAGCCGGAGGAGGAAAGAAATCGGCCTGCCGGAGAAATACCTCTACGGCAAAGACACGAAAGTCGTCACGTTCACCGATTTCATCAACTTGGAATTGGTGTTGTTTTCGAACGGAGACAACATTCGATCCATCCCGTCGGCCATCGACGGGTTCAAACCCGCCCAACGGAAGGTAACGTAGCGAACTCGTTAAGTACGAGGGTATAAAGAATCGGTTGTAAATTAACAGATAATGTTCGTCGCTTTCAAACGGAACGACAAGCAAGAGGTGAAAGTGAGCCAATTGGTCGGTTCGGTGGTCGAAAAGGCGGCCTACCATCACGCCGATACGTCCCTGGCCGGTACCATCGTCGGTTTGGCGCAACGTTTCATCGGCTCGAACAACATCAATCTGTTGGAGCCCAAAGGTCAGTTCGGTACGCGCCTGTCGGGCGGCAAAGACGCCGCCAGCGCCAGGTACATATTCACCAAATTGTCGCCGATCACGCGGATGATCTTCCATCCGAACGACGATCCGATTTTGAACTACGAGTACGACGATAATCTGCGAGTGGAGCCGACTTGGTACATACCCATTTTGCCTATGGTGTTGGTCAACGGAGCCGAAGGTAATTTACACGATTTCTCTAAACTATTAAGAGATGTATAGTTTTATTTCGTCAGGTATCGGCACCGGATGGATGACGAAGATACCCAACTACAACCCGAGGGATATCGTTAAGAATTTGAGGCGTATGTTGGACGGGGAAGAAGCCGAGGAACTTACGCCTTGGTATAGGAATTTTAAAGGTACTATAGAATACTGCGGTGATAACAGGTATGTGGTAAACGGAGAAATATCTTATATAAACGACGATACTCTGGAGATAACCGAGTTACCGGTGCACACGTGGACCGGCCCCTATAAGGAGAACGTACTGGAAGCCATGTTGCACGGTAAGATGAATGAATTTTTAAGTGATATTTTGCGTTTACAATTTAATTCCGTAGGTACCGATAAGGTGAAATCCGTGCTGGCCGATTACAGGGATTACAGTACCGATAAAACGGTGAAATTCAAAATACAAGTAACGCGCGAAAACCTAGAAAACTTGGAGAAAGAAGGTCTGCACAAAGCCTTCAAATTACAATCGATCATCAATCTATCTTCGATGTGCGCCTTCGATGAATACGGCTGCTTGAAAAAGTTCGTATTTTGTTAATATTTAATTGCAATTACGACGAATGGAATTTATTCTATCGTAGATACGAATCGGTGATGACGCTGCTCGAGGACTTCTACGCGCTGCGTTTGAAGATGTACGAGAAGCGAAAGGACTATCTGGTGGGGACGCTCGAGGCCGAGGCCAACAAGCTGTCTGCGCAGGCGCGGTTTATTTTGGAGAAGTGCAGCGGTGAGCTGGTGGTGGAGAACAAAAAACGGAAGATTATCGTCGATGAATTGATCAAGAGAGGCTATCCGGCCGATCCCGTTATGGAATGGAAGAAAAGAGTATGTGTGCAAATAATTATATTGATAATCACTTTACGTACTTCGACTCGCAACAAATATTATAAAGACGGAACCGAGTTAGATTTGACATTTTTGACAGATTTGTATGTAAATTATTTGACGGACGTTGTCCGTTCGTTTGATTTGAACGGAGCTACACCGAAATGAGAGACTTTTTCGTTATTTAGACGAATTCGTCGCTTTTAATGGACGAGAATAAAAGAAATTGCAATAATTCGCAAAAACCGAGAAACGATCAAATTATTAAAAAAACACTACACTAATGACAGAGTAATAACAAACATCGAACTGTCCAATTTGTCATTTCCGTTAACATGGTTGACATTTAATTCGACGTACAGGGTGTTTTTTCATTAAGGAAATTATCTTAAATGAACAATTAAAAAGAAATATAATACAGGACGATTCGTTTTTAAGGAAATGTTAATTACATAAACCATATAACTCTTTTCAGTCAAGTCTGGTAATTTATTGTATTGTTTGAGTCCTTTATAAAAGGGGCCATTCTGACAATAACGCGTATTGTACGCAACATTTAATGCTTTACTATTAGTTCTGTGGAAATTTGTTTTATAGGCGAAAACCGAAGAAGAAAACGACGGTCAAAACAACCAAGAAAACGACGAACGTACGAATTCCGAAGTGAAATTCTACGACTATCTGTTGGGCATGTCCATGTGGAGCCTTACGGAGGAAAGGAAAAACGAATTGCTCAGGCAAAGAGACAACAAAATTATGGAATTGAATACGTTGAAGAAACCCCACCCAAGGACATATGGAGGCACGATTTGGACCGGTTCCTCGAAGAACTCGATAAAATCGAGAAGAAAGACGCCGCAATCGACGAAAAAGAATCGATACAAAGGAAAAAAACGCAACCTGTAAGTAGATATTATTACACAGTACGTTCTATTTATCTTCATAAACGATATTATCCATTCATTGCTAATCTAAGGAAGGAAAATCACTCGCAAGGGTTAGTACAAGTTTTTATGTTATTCGTTTTTCGAAGCGACTACAGAATGTATTTAATCCGTTAAATGATTTTAGGGTAAGAAGAAATTCAACTTTGCCGATATTCTTCCGTCTCCGGCCGGCAAACGGGTCGCCCCCACCATCAGCGAGGATCTAAAAAAGAAAATCCAATCTGCCGTCAAAGCGAAAGCCAAGGCGAAATCTAAATTGTTCAAAACGGAAAACTCCATAGCCGAGGTAATGTTTTCGATGCGACCATTTCGATTATTATCTTCTATGTCATTTTGTCGTAGGAAATGGACGAGTTCGATGAAATGGTGAAGAGCAAGAAGACGCTGAAAGATAAATTGGGCACTCCCGAGGAGGTGGCGAGGAAAGCCGAGAAGAAGGCCAGCAAAAAAGGCGATGGCATGAAACAGACCAAAATCGATTTTTCCAAAGGTTTTTATCTATTTCAATCTCCCAATCGACTATCGTTGTTAATTAATTATGTCCACACGATCCAAACCATTTGGGACAGTTCCCAAAGGCCTTGCACAGTTTTCAAACATTTCTGGACAGTTCCCAAAAGTCCTGGGCAGTTCCAAAGCATTTAGAACAATTTCAAACGTCTCTGGACAGTTTCAAAAATTTCTGGACATTGTTCAAAGATCCTGAATAGTTACAAAGCATTTAGAACAGTTCCAAACGTATCTTTACAGTTTTAAAACTTCTCTGGACAGTTCCAAAGCATTTAGTATAGTCCCAAAGCATTTAAAACCGTTCCAAATGTCTCTGGGCAGTTCCAAAGCATTTAGACCAGTCCTAAAGCATTTAAAACCGTTCCAAATGCCTGTTGACAGTTCCCAAAGGTCCTGGACCGTTCCAAAGCATTTTAGACAGGTCCTAAAGCATTTACAACCGTTCCAAATGTGTGTTGACAGTTCCCAAAGGCCCTGGACAGTCCCAAAGCATTTAGACCAGTTCCAAACGTCTCTGGACAGTTTTCAAAGATCATGGACAGTTCCAAAACATTTAGTCCAGTTCCAAAACATTTAGTCCAGTTCCAAAACATTTAGTCCAGTTCCAAAGCATTTAGACCAGTCCCAAAGCACTTAAAACCGTTCCAAATGTGTGTTGACAGTTCCCAAAGGTCCTGGACAGTTCCAAAGCATTTAGAACAGTTCCAAACGTCTCTGGACAGTTTTTAAAGATCCCGGACAGTTCCAAACCATTTAGACCAGTCTTAAAGCATTTACAACCGTTCCAAATGTGTGTTGACAGTTCCCAAAGGCCCTGGACAGTCCCAAAGCATTTAGAACAGTTCCAAAGCATTTAGAACAGTTCCAAACATATTTAGGCAGTTTTCTAAAGACTAAATTAGACTAAATCAACGCGATCGATTCAGCGAACAACGGCACTAAAAAACCGAAGAACAAGAAGAAATTCGCCTCGGACGACGACGATTCATTGGACTCGAACGGTTCGGACGTCGAATTCGTCGCGACTAGTTCCTCGCCCGCCTCCAAGTATCGCCCGTTGAGAAAAGCCGCCGCCACCGTATCGAAATACATATCATCGGGCGAAGACGATAATTTCACCGACAAAGAGGACGAATTGTTCGAGAACAGCGGCGTCAAAGAAGCCAGCATTGTTCAAAACGTACGCCATTTTGACTAGACTTCATTTGATAATATACAGGGTGTCTCTGAAAGTGTGGGAAATCTCTCGGATCCACATAGAAGATGAGAAGTTGCTATAAACTTTTCCCTACAGGTCTTCTCTACAGTGTTAGAAAAATATTCGCGCATAATAGGGAAATCAATGTTAAATTCTTAGCCGGCTGAAATACAGTCTACCAGTGTACATTTCAATAGAACGTCGCGATTAATTTTAATAAATTGAATTGTTCTACTGGACTTCACACCGCGCTTTGGCTTGGTTAGATTAAAAATCAAATAATTTCGACGGTTTCGACACTTCGACAGTATCAAAACGGTTCGGAACGGTTCGATGCGAACGTCGAGTCGATTAAAAAGAATGAGAATTTTTAAACGATAATTTATTGAAAAATATCACCTAATAATAAAATAGAATTATGTAGATATGTCTTTTTGCCACAATGGCTTGAAAAAGAAAGTAAATTCTAAGAAAATAATAAAAAGAAAACTTCAAAAATAAACTTAAAGATTATTTTAAAATAGAAAATAAAAGAACTCTAAAAAATAGTCCACCGCTTTCTGCTAAACTATAGGCAAACCTGTCATACAGATGTCATCTCATATTACTGAGCTGAGGTGTAATTTTAGCAGAAAATTGAATTATTTTTTCCTTATTTTAACAAGATTTGTTGCTCTTTCAAAACTGTACCTACCGATACACACATTTTTTTGAAATTTCCCCAAAAAACCTATTAATTGTAGTTTCTAAATAATTTTGTACCTCATACCTAACACAAATAACTGTGTACCTCTACAAATCGCGGCGTGCGATCCAGTAGAACAATTAAATTTATTAGAATTCATCGCGACGTTCTATTGAAATGTATACTGGTAGACTGGATTTTAGCCGGCTAAGAATTTAACATTGATTTCCCTATTATGCGAAATTAAATTTCTAACACTGTATGTGGATCCGAGAGATTTCCCACACTTACCGCGACACCCTGTATTATTAAAGGGGGTTTTTGTTTCGCTAGGTTTTGGAGAGTTCGGACGACGAGAAAAAGTCGCCGACGCGACACGAGACCTCCGAGGACATGTTCGACAGTTTGGTGGGCAGGAAGAAGGACGAGAGCTCGGCCAGTCAGCAGAATGATTCGAAGAAGAGGAAGAACAGCTTCTCGGACTCGGATTCGGAATTCGGGGCCATCAAATCGAAGGCCAAAACGTACTCGAGCGACGACAGCGACTTCGACGGCAAGAAGCCCAAGGAGAAGAAGGCCGCCAAGAAACCCAAAGCGACCAAGAAGAAGACTGAAGAGGTGAGTGGCGACTTCATAAGAGATGACTTTATAGTAAAATCCGTTGGGTTTCAGCCTGTTAAAAAGAAACTGAAGGCGTTCACGTCCGATGAAGACGAGGATAAGGAGGCAGCGGCGCCTAAGAAATCGAAGCCTAAGAAGGCTAAGGCGAATAACTCGTCGCCGAAGAAGGGTAAGGGCAAGAAGAAATCGTCCGATACTTCTGATGATAATTTCGTGATCGATGATGATTCGATGAAGAGCGGCAGCAACAGCGATAGTCCTGTAAAGAGACCGGCCAGGCCCGGAAGGGGAGCCAAGAAAATTACCTACATACAGGATTCCGATGAATCGTCTTAGATAAGTTTAGTGTGTTTGATTTGAACTGGTGAAATTTGCGTTTTAGGTATTTAATTATTTAACGAGAAATACCTTGGTATTAAAAAAAAGAAACCTGTTGACAGGTAGTTGACATAGACGTTTTGTAACGAATCGAATAATTTTTGAAATAAGTCTATTTTATAATTTATAGTTTATTTTTGCATCATTGTTTGTTCGTAATGTAATCGTTTCGTATTGATTTTCTATTGTAATATAATTTTAACTACTAATAAAAGTATCTAACTTGGTACAAATAAAACCTCGATACAAATTTGACAAGTTTCGAGATTATTTTACAAGATGGCGACACCAAGCAGATTGACAGCTGTCACTATTGTCAAAAAGAATTTTACGTTCTGTGTTGATTTTTACAAATAAAAGAAGACGGAAATTTAAATGGCCAGAATAGAAGAAGTTAGAACCGAGTGAGGATCAACTTGTCGGTGCTCAGCTTTAGAATTATAATTGTTGCAATTCAAAAGTTCATTGTTTAAATCACTTAGATTTTACTTTACAAGTTCAAAATGAGCAACGGAAAACCACCATTTAAAGTCGGTAAGTACTAAAGCACATGTTGCTAAACTTAAAGGTTATGTTAAAAAACTTCCAGAATACTTTTTTATCGCTTTAATTTAATACTTGCATTATCTACAATCGCGTACAGTTAATTACAGCGTTGTTATTCCAAAAAACCGGTTTATAATTAGCTCGTTAAATGAATTAAATCCCTTTTTTAGCCGATATGAATCTGGCCGAATGGGGCCGCAAGGAAATCACCCTGGCCGAAAACGAAATGCCCGGTCTAATGAGCTTGCGAAAGCTCTACGAGCACAACAAAATCCTGAAAGGGGCCAAGATAGCGGGGTGCCTGCACATGACCGTGCAAACAGCCGTACTGATAGAAACTCTCGTAGAATTAGGAGCAGAGGTAACTATATTCAACTCTCTTATCTAAAGCCTTTGTACTACAAATAACCATTGTTACTACATCGTAATTTGAATGAAAATACATTCCGAAAACAGAAAGTTTAAAAGGTTATCTTGTGTACTCGTTACGATTTACACATCGTATACCATTATTACAAAACTGATAAGACTCGGAACGCTTGACGTAAATGCTTCTTCGATTGCAATTCTAATTACCCATTAACATTAATTAACAGGTGCAATGGTCGAGCTGCAACATATTCAGTACGCAAGACCACGCAGCCGCCGCCATAGCCAAGCGAGGCGTGCCGGTATACGCCTGGAAAGGGGAAACCGACGAGGAATACTTGTGGTGCATCGAACAAACCCTGCTCTTCCCCGACGGCAAACCCTTCAATCTAATCCTAGACGACGGCGGCGATCTAACCAATCTAGTGCACACCAAATACCCGCAATACCTGCAAGAATGCCGGGGCGTCAGCGAGGAAACCACCACGGGCGTGCACAATTTGTACAAAATGTTCAAAGACGGTACCCTCAAAGTACCCGCCATTAACGTTAACGATTCCGTAACTAAAGTAAACTAGCTTACATTCGCTCGAGTAGATTCTTCGATTAATCGAGTCTGTTTTAGAGTAAATTCGATAACTTGTACGGGTGCAGGGAATCCCTAATCGACGGTATCAAACGAGCCACCGATGTCATGCTCGCCGGTAAAGTGTGCGTTGTAGCCGGTTACGGAGACGTCGGTAAAGGCTGCGCCCAATCGCTCAGAGCCTTCGGCGGGAGAGTGTTAATAACAGAAATAGATCCCATCAACGCCTTACAAGCAGCAATGGAAGGTACGTTACTAATGCACCTTAGGCCGTATTTATAAAAAGAAGCGTTTGCTTAAAAACGAAGAGGATTTGCTTGTTAAAAATGGTATCTAAATGCATAGAAACTTTTCACAATTTTTTCAGTAGTTACTCGGCCACCGCGCAGCTTGTAACGTAGAGTTTTTGTGAATTTTCGCTGTGTTAGCCAAACCTAGCACCATTTAGAATGCTCCAGAATCATCTAGAACCTGTCTTGAATCATTTAGAACTGTTTAGAACAATTTAGAACGCTACAGAATTATTTAGAACTATCTAGATAAATTCAGAACGCTCCAGTATCATTTAGAATGCTTCAGAATCATCTAGAATCTGTCTTGAATCATTTAGAACTGTTTAGAACAATTTAGAACGCTCCAGAATTATTTAGAACTATCTAGATAAATTCAGAACGCTCTAGTATCATTTAGAACCCTTTAGAATCATCTGGAATCTGTCTTAAATCATTTAAAATTGTTTGAAACAATCTAGAACCCTCCAGTATCATTTATAACGCTTCAGAATCGTCTAGAATCTGTCTTGAATCATTTAGAACTGTTTAAAACAATTTAGAACGCTCCAGAATCATTTAGAATGCTTCAGAATCATCCGGAATCTGTCTTAAATCATTTAGAACTGTTTAAAACAATTTAGAACGCTCCAGAATCATTTAGAATGCTTCAGAATCATCTGGAATCTGTCTTGAATCATTTAGAACTGTTTAGAACAATTTAGAACGCTCCAGAATCATTTAGAATGCTTCAGAATCATCTGGAATCTGTCCTAAATCATTTAGAACTGTTAAGATCAATCTAGAACCCTCCATATCATTTATAACACTTCAGAATCATCTAGAATCTGTCTTGAATCATTTAGAACTGTTTAGAACAATTTAGAACGCTCCAGTATTATTTAGAACCCTTTAGAATCATCTGGAATCTGTCTTAAATCATTTAAAACTATCTAGATCAATTTAGAACGCTCTAGTATCATTTATAACGCTTCAGAATCATCTAGAATCTGTCTTGAATCATTTAGAACTGTTTAGAACAATTTAGAACGCTCTAGTATCATTTAGAATGCTTCAGAATCAACTGGAATCTGTCTTAAACCATTTAAAACTATCTAGATCAAACTAGAACGCTCCAGTATTATTTAGAACACTTTAGAATCATCTGGAATCTGTCTTAAATCATTTTGAGCTATCTAGATCAATCTAGAACGCTCCAGTATTATTTAGAACGCTCCAGAACCATTTAGAACTGTCTAGATCAATCTAGAACACTCCAGAATCATTTAGAACTGTTTAGAACGCTCCAGAATCGCCTAAAACTGTCCAGAATAATCTTAAACTGCCCAGAATCATTCAGAACTCTCTAGATCATTTAGAACCCTCTATTTAGAACTTTCTAGATCAGTCTAGAACGCTCCAGAGTCATCTGGAACTGATCAGAACCATTTAGAACTCTCCAGAATCATCTAGAACTGTCTAGAATCATTTAGAACCGCCTAATACACCCATTTTACCTCCTACAGCCGACTATCCGTATATCCGATACCGTACGCGTTATTTATTAATTGCGTTAATCAGGTTACGAGGTGACAACGATGGAGGAGGCCTCCAAAGAAGGCCAAGTCTTCGTAACGACCACCGGCTGCAAGGACATCATCAAAGGCCAGCATTTCCTGAACATGCGCGACGACAGCATCGTGTGCAACATCGGCCACTTCGACTGCGAAATCGACGTGGCCTGGTTGGAGAAGAACGCCAAGGAGAAGGTGGTGATCAAGCCGCAGGTCGATCGCTATCTGCTCACCACCGGCAACCACGTCATCGTGTTGGCCGAAGGGCGATTGGTGAATTTGGGCTGCGCCACGGGGCATTCGTCGTTCGTCATGTCGAATTCGTTCACGAACCAGGTGCTGGCGCAGATCGAGCTGTGGACGAAGCCCGGCCAGTACGCGATCGGCGTGCATATGCTGCCCAAACACCTTGACGAGGAGGTGGCCAGGTTGCATTTGAAGCATTTGGGCGTGAAGTTGACGAAGCTGTCGGCCGAGCAGTCGGAGTATATCGGGGTGCCGATCGACGGGCCGTACAAGCCCGATCACTACAGATACTAGCCGATTAGTTTTTTTTAGATGCTTGTGTGTCGTTTTATTTTAATATAAAGTGGTTTTAAAATCGATCAAAACGAGACCTTCTAAGAATCCTGCGTCATCCTGCGTCATCCTCTACCCGACGTTGTTTAATTTGGGTTGTGATTTCCCATAAAACAGTAAACTCGTTTATTTACGTTTTCGGTTCGTTAAAATTATGCAGTTTTCCTGCATTTTGCCTTCCAATGAAGATTATAATTTGCCAAAAGATTAAGAGTTTTTGTGAATTTTCGCTGTGTTAGCCAAATCTAAATGCTCCAGAATCATTTAGAACTATCTAGATAAATTCAGAACGCTCCAGTATCATTTATAACGCTTCAGATTCATCTAGAATCTGTCTTGAATCATTTAGAACTGTTTAGAACAATTTAGAACACTGCAGTATCATTTAGAATGCTTCAGAACCATCTGGAATCTGCCTTAAATAATTTAAAACTATCTAGATCAATCTAGAACCCTCTAGTATCGTTTATAACGCTTCAGAATCATCTAGAATCTGTCTTGAATCATTTAGAACTGTTTAGAACAATTTAGAACACTGCAGTATCATTTAGAATGCTTCAGAACCATCTGGAATCTGCCTTAAATCATTTAAAACTATCTAGATCAATCTAGAACCCTCTAGTATCGTTTATAACGCTTCAGAATCATCTAGAATCTGTCTTGAATCATTTAGAACTGTTTAGAACAACTTAGAACACTGCAGTATCATTTAGAATGCTTCAGAACCATCTGGAATCTGCCTTAAATCATTTAAAACTATCTAGAACGCTCCAGTTTTATTTAGAACCCTTTAGAATCATCTGGAATCTGTCTTAAATCATTTAGAACAATTTAGAACGCTCCAGAATTATTTAGAACTATCTAGATAAATTCAGAACGCTCTAGTATCATTTAGAATCATCTGGAATCTGTCCTAAATCATTTAAAACGATCTAGATCAATCTAGAACCCTCTAGTATCGTTTATAACGCTTCAGAATCATCTAGAATCTGTCTTGCATCATTTAGAACTGTTTAGAACAATATAGAAGCCCGGGCGGTACGCGATCGGCGTGCACATGCTGCCGAAGCACCTCGACGAGGAGGTGGCCAGGTTGCATTTGAACCATTTGGGCGTGAAGTTGACGAGGTTGTCGCCGGAGCAGTCGGAGTATATCGGGGTGCCGATCGACGGGCCGTACAAACCCGATCACTACAGATACTAGCCGATTAGTTTTTAGATACTTGTCTGTCGTTTTATTTTAATATAAAGTGGTTTTAAAATTGATCGAAACGAGACCTTCTAAGAATCCTGCGTAATCCTCGTTCCTCGACCCGACGTTGTTTAATTTGATGAATTGATTGATTTGATGATTGAATTTAATTTTAATAACGCTTCAGAATCATCTAGAATCTGTCTTGAATCATTTAGAACTGTTTAGAACGCTGCAGAATCATTTAGAACTATCTAGATAAATTCAGAACGCTCTAGTATCATTTAGAATGCTTCAGAATCAACTGGAATCTGTCTTAAACCATTTAAAAATATCTAGATCAATCTAGAACCCTCCAGTATCATTTATAACGCTTCAGAATCATCTAGATCGATGGACCGTTCAAGCCCGATCACTACAGATACTAGCCGATTAGTTTTTAGATACTTGTCTGTCGTTTTATTTTAATATAAAGTGGTTTTAAAATTGATCGAAACGAGACCTTCTAAGAATCCCGCGTAATCCTCGTTCCTCTACCCGACGTTGTTTAATTTGATGAATTGATTGATTTGATGATTGAATTTAATTTTAATAACGCTTCAGAATCATCTAGAATCTGTCTTGAATCATTTAGAACTGTTTAGAACAATTTAGAACGCTGCAGAAACATTTAGAGCTATCTAGATAAATTCAGAACCCTCTAGTATCATTTAGAATGCTTCAGAATCATCTAGAATCTGTCTTGAATCATTTTGAACTATCTAGATCAATCTAGGTTATAAAATTGATCAAAACGAGACCTTCTAAAAATCCTGCGTAATCCTCGTTCCTCTACCTTAAGATGTTTAATTTGGGTTGTGATTTCCCATGAAACAGTAAACTCGTTTATTTACGTTTTCGGTTCATTGAAATTATGCAGTTTTCCTGCATTTTGCCTTCCAATGAAGATTATAATTTGCAAAAAGATTAAGAGTTTTTGTGAATTTTCGCTGTGTTAGCCAAATCTAGCACTATTTAGAATGCTCCAGAATCATCTAGAACCTGTCTTAAATCATTTAGAACTGTTTAGAACCATTTAGAATGCTCCAGAATCATTTAGAACTATCTAGATAAATTCAGAACGCTCTAGTATCATTTAGAATGCTTTAGAACCATCTGGAATCTGCCTTAAATCATTTAAAACTATCTAGATCAATCTAGGTTTTAAAATTGATCAAAACGAGACCTTCTAAAAATCCTGCGTAATCCTCGTTCCTCTACCTTAAGATGTTTAATTTGGGTTGTGATTTCCCATAAAACAGTAAACTCGTTTATTTACGTTTTCGGTTCGTTAAAATTATGCAGTTTTCCTGCATTTTGCCTTCCAATGAAGATTATAAATTGAGAAAAGAGTAAGATTGGAAATGATTAACAAGATTTTGTACAATCGTTTGCAGCGTAAAATGCATAAAATATGATTCCTTAAGGGCGCCACTTTAGGGTATTTTTAAAAGGGAAAACATCGATTGATTTGAATCTTTCTTATACCTAATATAGAGACTCCAAGCAATGATAAATCCTATTTTTAATCTCTCCTACTTCATTATGTATTTAAGAAAATTGCAATCAAAAACTGCCATTTATTTGCAATGCTATTTAAATGGCAAAACGTAATTCTAGTAAGACTCGAGTTTCCTCCAATGAATGTTTGAAATTAATACAGCATTGAAACGTTTATTTCAATATTTAATAAAAAATACAATAAAAAAATCACAGATATTAAAAACGCGTCTCGAAGTTACCTCCGAGAATACAATAAAACCATTCCTAATCCTTACTAAAAACAAAACGAATAAAGTACATTCTTATTCGAGCGAACAATCTCCCTTAATTTTCAATTTTTACAGGACTAAAAATGCGGCAAGCATACTTTGCCGGCGAACAATTCCGATATAACTGTTATCCAAAGCGACAGGATGAACAATATGTAGGAGATCCCCACCTGGTGGCTGCCCGGTAGTTGATAGGGCTGTCCCCCGATTTCATCTACATGGAAACCCATGGGAAATATAACGGCGGCCAGGCAAAACAGCACCACTGTAACCGAATCGGAATAAGCAAAAGGCCACTTACAAACAGGTATGCTATTTTTATTTCGAGAATTTCTATTCGAGAATCTAGAGACCAATTAAAGCAAGTAAAAGGCCACTACTTGTACAAACAGGTGTTATTGCTATTCGAGAATCTAAAGACCAAATCAAAGCAAGTAAAAAGCCAGTACTTGTACAAATAGGTGTTATTTTTAATTGCTATTCGAGAATCTAGAGACCAAATCAAAGCAAGTAAAAGACCACTACTTGTACAAACAGGTGTTATGGCTATTCGAGAATGTAAAGACCAAATCAAAGCAAGTAAAAAGCCAATACTTGTACAAATAGGTGTTATTTTTAATTGCTATTCGAAAATCTAGAGACCAAATCAAAGCAAGTAAAAGGCCACTACTTGTACAAACAGGTGTTATTGCTAATCGAGAATCTAAAGACCAAATCGAAGCAAGTAAAAGGCCACTAATTGGTATTCGTAACTTACTCGCTGTGAATCCCACCCATCTCGCGTAGGGTACTACGTTTCTGTCCCAATGGGACGAGGCCAGTAGTATTATAGTCGTGGTGATGCAGATGCACCCGACGAAGATGCACACTAATGCAAGTAGCCATTCGGGTTGCAAATCGGGCGTGAAACAGACTTGTGGTCTGTTGTATAAGGTCATGCAGGTCCACATTAATCCTAATCTTGTGTCGCCTACGAAAATAGGAAGACTTTTATAATAGATTTTAATAGCGTGCTTTGTAATTACCTCCGACATCTGTTATGATCCAATCGGGCATGGCTAAACTTACGATTGCGAATATATCAGCAGCCATGAAAAGAGTTCCCGATATTAACGTTAATTTGTCCATTTTATAAAAAATTCGATCGAAAATAAAACGAAATACACAAATACTCAACAGCTGATTATGACATTTTGTCTTGTCAACGTCAATTGTCAAATGCTTGAATCATAGGAGGCGCTTGTAAAAGGTGTTGCCTAAGTAAAATTCAAAGTGGCATTTTAAATATTTATTGAACAAATTTATTTATGAGACAAACATTAACAAGACATTTTATTTACCTATAGTAAAATAGCGATAGTATTATTTGGAATTTTTAAAATATTCGTTGTATATAATCGTTGATATACGAGAGAAAGTGACCAAGTCCAAAATTCTAGATTTTTAGTTTATAATGTTAATGCAATTCTTTTGGAATTTTTAATTTTAAAAACCCATATTCTAAACACTACATTACTCAAAAAGGACTTTGTCACTTTCTTTTGTATACTGACGAATTATCATATTACATACTTTAATATAAAAGTGTGTATATAAGAAAATTAGAATATAAAAAAATAGAAATACGTAGGGCACGTATGTTATTTAAGAATAAAGTGTAGTTTCCAACCATTCTTCGAACGAAAAACTGGCAGTGTTTTTTCCTCCGGTATCTTTTTCTTTAAATATGTCTAAAAAAAACGATAAGCTTCAGCGAGAAATTCGCAAAAACATTAAACCAACATTACCTATCATGGTTTTCAATTTAATAGAACACATAACGAAATCGTCGAATTCCAATTGGCCGGTTTTATTTCCGAATCTGTGCATCAAAATGTTGAGGATTTTGCTGTTGACTTTGTAACCAGCCGATGTTAGGGCGTCTCTAAATTCGAAACCGCTGAATGTTCCAGATTTGTCTTGATCGTACATCGACCAAACGTTCTAAAAACCCCATTAAAACATCAAACTTTCTCGATATTTCATCGATAAAAACGTTAAAAGCTTCCTAATTGATGATTTTCGTGTTAATCAACTAACCTTCCATTGCCTAATGAGGCCCCAAAGGTGCTTGAATTCCACGTATCCAAGTTTTCCGGACCTATCCTTGTCCAACATAGACACCATGCTTCTGCAAATGTCTTTGGAAAATCCGCTGGCAGCTAATTCTGGAATAAAAGCGCAAAATTTGAAATATTTTATTTCAAAAAAATGTTGCATGCTTGCGTTCCTGTTAAAAATAAATTCGTGCTACTGTTAAAAACGTGCAAAAAAAACGGGGAAAATCATATAAAAATATACGAAAGCTCAGTGGTATTGTTTGTACAGCAATTTTTAACGTGCATTTCATAACATCCACCTACCATTCAACGAAGTTTTTAATGGTACAGTTTCAGTCTGATGTGGTGCTATGTCTTTTAAAATCGATCCGCAAAGTACCGAAATAACGGACGTGAAACAGTTGCTGTTATCGGAACCGTCGTCGTCCGGCCGAGCGGGCGTCGCGTTTACCCCTTTTTTCGTCGTTTTAGGTTGCTCAGAGATAATTTTCTTCTGCTGAAATTCTTGCAAAACATTTTTTTTATATCAGTACAAATCGGGCCGACTCCGGCCCTGTTCTTTCATCCAACAAATAAAACGTCTTCTACGCGCGTGCGTGCCGTCTCTTTTTAACTTGCAGTTGTCCGGTAAGCGCCTGCTCTAATTTTTTTTCACTTTGACGTATGACAGGTGACAGGTTTCGTCGATATAAAATTTGTGGATGTTGTAAATTTTAATTAAGCGTAAATTCCAGTTTAAATTAGTTAGCTATCATTAAATATAATTGTAGTTCATTTTAACAAGTGATTGATCGAGTGGCGCAATAACCGAATAGTCTTGTTTTAATGGACTTATTAAAATGAAAGAAGAACCAGCGAGGAAAATTCAAATTTACAAATCTGGATTGGATTTGAAGATTACGATGAATATGCACAGGTATTTAATTTAAATTTTATTGAAAGTTTCTTACCTGTTTTCGAAGAAAAGTTTAAGATTTGTTGGAGTTCCATCCAGTCAATTTCTTTATCTTCGCCGGCTAATTTCAGGAAAAATTGGTACACTCTGTCAGATTCCAGGTTTTCTGCTTCTGTAGGTTCTACTTTAACCTATAGATATCCGGCAATTAATACAATTTCTTTAATAAGAAATTATAATTACTTACGCATTCCTCTTCTTCGTATCGCACCTCCTCCTCGTTCTCTCTATAAACGAGAATTATACGAATTAGATACAATGATAGAGCGAGCAAAAACCCAGGGGGGTTTTCTAAATAACATATCCGACATGTTAAAATAACACTTCGTTGAAAATTTACATTTTATTTCGCAATTTTACCAACATTCGAATAAATATTTCAATCAGTAATCTCGACATTGAAATGAGTTTTTGTACAAAGGAAACTTAAAAATAGGCGCCTGGAATTTGAACAAGCTGCATTCAAAATTAACAGCAAAATTTTATTGCATTCAAACTTAGAAAAATTTTAATTCGAAATTTATTTGGAAACATTTCTAAATTTGAATCGAATTGAACTTGATGTTGGTTTTCTATTGACTTAATCGTGTAATTATCAATACCAAAATCAAATTAACATTGAGCGGTGAAACAAAAAAAAAGCGATGAAAATAATAATGAATAATTCAAGCGAATGCAAGCTAAATTAGCCGATTCAAATGTATTTTTAGTTTAGAATTAGTTAATTTTAATCTCATCGTTTAGAGAACAAGAGAAATAACTCTTGCTCCGAAATATCTTTAGTGCAAAATATTAGCATTTATATTTATAAAAAAATATCTTCAACAAACAACCTAACACTATACGTACAACAAATCTCCATACAATACTTTTAGTAAAAATCTCAAGAGGAAAAAACAATTCACATCGAACAAAACTCCTAACAATTATATACAAAAAAAAATCCCTGATAGCAGAAACGTGACAAAAAGAAAGCCGGGCAAACTATAAACTATTTAAAAAGCTTATTGAAAAAATTCGTAATGCCTTTAATAGGATCGTTGTCGTCGGGTGATTGCCGAGGAGGATAACCGGAATATTGATGAGGAGGAGGAGGACCAGGAGGATAATAACCCGGTTGCTGGTACCCAGGATATCCCCCATAAGGCTGCTGATAACCAGAACCACCACCGGGATATCCAGGGTACGAGGGATACCCGGGCTGGGGATATTCAGGCGAATGCGGTTGAGGATAACCAGGAGAATGCGCTTGAGGATATCCAGGATAATCAGGTTGAGGAGGATGCGGATAGCTGGGAAAAGGATCGGCGCGATAAGAGCTAGGTGCTGGAAAAGAGGGGGCGCTGGGGTGGGCCCCTTCGTCCCCGTCCTCGCCCAACGCCTGGCCGCGATAGCCTTTAATGTTATCGTAATTGTAACCGTACTCCATGATGTTCTGTTTCTCGGTGAAGACGCGCAGCAGGAACTCGCCCTCTTCGTTCGGATCGAAGGTGGACGGCACGATGCAGTAGGTGCCCGGCGGCAATTTGAAGCGACAGCTCACCTCGCGCAGATTGATGAACGAAGGCGATCGCGCCACCGAGGCGTTGTACTTGAAGAAGTTCATGTCGAGCGGTTTCGGGACTCTGTCCGGATGCGAAAGCTGCAAGAAGAATTGTAGATTTGTAGATGATTTGTACGTTTGTTTGGTGTATACACCGTTGGAAAATTATTCGCGCATAATAGGGAAATCGATGTTAAATTCTTAGACGGCTGAAATACAGTCTACCAGTGTACATTTAAATAGAACGTCGCGATAAATTCTAATAAATTTAATTGTTCTACTGGACTTCACACCGCGATTTGGTTCGGTTAGATTAAAAATCAAATAATTTCGACGGTTTCGACACTTCGACAGTATCAAAACGGGTTCGGATGAGCGAACGTCGAGTCGATTAAAAAGAAATGAGAATTTTGAAACGATAATTTATTTAAAAAATATCACTAATATTAAAATAGAATTATGTAGATATGTCTTTTTGCCACAATGGCTTGAAAAAGAAAGTAAATTCTAAGAAAATAATAAAAAGGAAACTCCAAAAATAAACTTAAAGATTATTTTAAAACAGAAAATAAGAGAACTCTAAAAAATAGTCCACCGCTTTCTGCTAAACTATAGCCAAACCTGTCATACAGATGTCATTTCATATTACTGAGCTGAGGTATAATTCTAGCTGAAAATTGAACTATTTTTTCCCTTATTTCAATAAAATTTGTTGCTGTTTCAAAACTGTACCTACCGATACACACATTTTTTTGAAATATCCCCAAAAAACCTATTAAATGTAGTTTCTAAATAATTTTGTACCTCATACCTAACACAAATAACTTTGTACCTCTACAAATCGCGGTGTGAAGTCCAGTAGAACAATTAAATTTATTAGAATTAATCGCGACGTTCTATTGAAATGTACACTGGTAGATTGGATTTCAGCCGGCTAAGAATTTAACATTGATTTCCCTATTATACGCGAACAATTTTCCAACAGTGTATCTGGACGTACGTGGTATATGGCGAATCCAACGGTGAGGAGATCTACTCCAGAAGAACTCTTTAGTATCCTCCTGTTCTTCTGCATCAGCGCTACAATCATCGTACATTGGTTATCCTCGTCGTCTTCGTCCACTTCGGTTAAAGTTATCCGGTATTGGGGATTTCTCCAGAAGGAATCTGCGATGTATATCCAAAACGTTTTACATTCGATTGTTACAAAACTTCTCTAGAACTTACCTAAATAATTCCTGCAACCGCCGGCCGTCACACCTCTCACCCATTCGCCTTCGTACACAGACATCTCCCATTTCTTCTTGTGCCCGTCGCGCAGCTCCTCCTCGCTGAGCGAGTCCGGATTGAGATTGCAAATCTCCAAACGGCTAAACTGCTTCATGAAGTCCTTGAAGGACATCCAAAACTCGCCGTCGTCGTCGAACGTCAGGCCCAAATCTTCCTTCTGCTGTTCGGAGATGAACCTCCACTCCGGCGCCCTGCATCAAATTAATTTTATCACTTCGAAATCGTTCGAATTGTATAATTACCCGTCGCTCCAGGCGCCGTTCCACTCGGTCTCGTTGCCCCAGGGGTTGCGCATGCGCACGAGCGGTATCTTGCCGGCGACGTTGGGCGTTTGGATGTCGATGTATTGGACCTTGGTGATGCTGTAGGCGTGGCCGCGCACCAGCCCTTCGGGCGTTTGGGCCTCGAGGACGTGGGGATCGGGCTCGATGGAGCAGCCCATCAGCGAGGAGCGCTCGTGCGCCTTGAGCATGATCTGGAAGAGATTGGGCGGGCTGGAGTCCATCTCGTACATTTCGGTCACGCCGCCGGTGAAGTCCTCCATGGCTTCGCAGGTCGAGCCGCCCTTCAGGGCTTCGTAGGAGCCGTTTAATCTAACGGGAAATAGATGGAATCGTTGAACAATATGTGGTGAAAATACTACAGAAGCTAAATTGAATTAGGATTGTTCCTTATACGATCACGATTCATTGAATCCGGATTCGTTTCAAGACTTTTTTTTGTGAAAACCGAAAGAGCAACGAAAACAAAGTGAAAAGTGTCCAAAGTGAAAATCCAGAATTCAACGATCGCAAAATTTTAGGATTCAGGGAGGAAGGAGGATGAGAATTTATGAGCGAAAGAAAGCATCTACAGGGTGTTTCACAACTTATCCGACAAATTCTAACCACATATGCACTGTTATGAAAGAAGTTAATTTCCCAAAAAAATGCAATAAAAGTCTTACAGAAATCGAGATAATAAAATAATAGTTCAATTACTTATACAAGATGTTCAAAATTGTTCCCGTTTACTGCAATGCAAGCTTGGGTGCTTGTTTTTTTTGTTTTAACCATTGTTTTGGTGCAACATTTGCTACAGTAAAGTATTAAGGCAAAATTATGAACGCAAAATGCAGTATTTATTTTTCAATTTTTTATTGAAACTCGGGTTTATAATTTTATTTCTGTACAGAAAGTGCAGTAAATGGGAACAATTTTGAACATCTTGTATAAGTAATTGAACTGTTAAACTATTATTTTATTATCTCGATTTCTGTAAGACTTTTATTACATTTTTTTGGGAAATGAACTTCTTTCATAACAGTGCATATGTGATTAAAATTTGTCGGATAAATTGTGAAACACCCTGTATATTCTAATTCCAAAATAGTAGGCACTAAATTCTCGGAAATATTATCGATTTAAAATAAAAACATTGTGTCAGATGGTGATTCTAGATATTTAAGCATCTTCTATTTAAATATACTGCTCCACAAAAGTTAAGGAAGTTGACAAATATTGAGATTAATTTAAAAGTTGCAGGTTTTTTGATCGCCAAATTTAGTATGAATTGTAGAGGTAGGGACAAAAAATCCACTCAGATATGAGAGAAAACATTTAATTTCGCATATTTAAAAATTTGGTGATCAAAAAGTCTGTATTATTTTTTAAGTACCAACATAAACATAACAAATTTACTACGTTCATTTCGAATTCAATCATTTATGAAGACTCTGTTACAAGTTTGTAATACTTACTTTGCGTAGGCTTTTTCGAGTAGAGCGCTCCAAAATTCATTATCATCGCTGGAATGTAAATAAACCAATTGGCCTCTGTATGTAGGCAATCTGTCGTCCACGACGATATCAATCCATTTACCATATTGCCAAAATCTTTAAAAAAAATCGAGTAATTATCGCGTGAAGATGGTTATTGAAGCGGCGAGTTTACCGAAAGTGGAATATACCAGCGTATTTATCATCGAATTCCTGGTCGTCGGGGATGATTTGGAAGAACAGGCGCTTGTGCAGGGTGAGATTTGCGGCTGCTGCCAACAACCAACAATCGCCCAATTCCCCTTGTTGTACGTCGAAGCGCGAGAAACCCTCCACGAAGAATTTCGGATCGTTGGAGATCTCCTGAAAGGCATTTGTTGCATTTAATAACTGAGTAAAATAGGAGAGTTGTTCGGCTTACGTGCGGCCTCTTCCATTCGTAGTACCGATCGGGTCGTTGGGTGGTGAATAAGGAGGTGTCTTCGGCGGGAAATTCGGGATCCTCGAAGAGACTGTTATTGGCCAAATGGTCGTCGCGCAATTTGTAGAAGTCTTGGACTTCCCCGGTGGAGGAGCGCGTACCGGAGCCCGCTTCGCCGTACTGTATATCGAATTGTTGAAATGATAATTATAAAAATGGTGTATTAATAGATGCATAATCGCAGCGTGAAGCCGCAAAAACCTTTACCTATTTCCTTTTAATAAATTTATAGTGCTACAAACGTGCCAATAAAATCGAGGAATGTAGCAGAAGATATTGTAAATGTGCAATGAATAATTTGTTTGTTGGTTAAGGGATTTTCTTATTGGAATATCTACCTAAATGAGTACCTAAAGATTTGTGAAAATAGATTAAATTCGGATAAGAGTAATAATAGAAAAGGAATCTAGTAGATTCAGAGTGATCGTGAAAACGATATTCGAAAAATAACGGTTATTTTGTAACAGTAGTTACTGCACCTCTATACACAAAAAATCCATTCCCACCTCTATTAAACTTCCGTCAACGAAATGTCATTTATGTCAATTTCTTTAATTTCTGTTTATGTACCATCGAAGGCATCTTAAAGTCCTACTTATTCACTTAGAATGCGAAAAAAAAATCATCGTAGAGTAATTTACCTTATAAGTGTTCTCTTTTGATTTTGTACCGATAGCACTTTTACTGGTACCACCTTCTTTCGCCCCGACTGTTTTATCTACCGGTTTATCGACCTCCGATTTCGGGGGTTCCGTTTTCGGGGGTTCCGTTTTCGGGCTCTCCGTTTTGGGGTTCTCCGATTTCTCGGTTTCGGATTTCGCGTTTTCCGAATTCGCGACCGAAAGTTTCGGCGTTTTCGTCGAACCGTCATCGGTGAAGGCGGCGCGGGGGGTGGCGTTGACAGGCCCGACGCGTCGGTAACTAGCCACCGTCGCGGTGCTCCTTTGCATCGTCTCCGCAGACATATTTTTTTTTATATTTTCCGGTCAAAAATTATTCGCAATAAACGGGTCTTCACGCGAACATCGCCTGCGGACGTTTCCACGCGAACTGAAACCGAAAGAAACGCGAGAAAAAAAAATAACACAAACTCGCCTCTATCTCGATTCGATGCGATATCGCGCCTAACCCTGCTAGGACAGGAAACGCACGTTGCGGTATTTAATCAAACGCCCGATAATGGAATCGCATTTGGCTAATTAATAATTTTATTTGCGCCCTTTTTCGTAACCTTTTCCACCCAAATGCCAAGCGGCTAATTTCGGATGCAACAGGTCCACCCCCTTTTACGGCATTTATCAATTGCGCACGCCTTCTAAACGATAACCAGAAAACTCTTTATACAGGGTGGTTCAAATTCCACACCATTAAGGCCGCCAAAGCGAACCCTCAAATTCATAATTCGTGGGGTAATATAGAACTATTTTTGGTTAAAATTTTTACACAATAGATGGGATGAGATTAGTTTAACACACTAGTAGATGTTCCGTGTTTGATTACACTTGATATAAAATAAAAAGTACAAGAAAGTAAAATAAGATATCCTTTTCAGAATGTTTTAAATTCAATTCTTTTTCCTGCAATTTAAAAAGATCAAAGTAGGGTTTTAAAAATACTCATTAAAGTGCTCTAAAAGTATTCTGGTGCACTGGAAATACCTTATTTCATATTATCTGCTCTTAAAAAAGTGCAAATTATCCAAAAATCTCTGAAAAAAAGGAAACTACTGGCAACGCTGTCGTTTGTCAAATTTACAAAATTGTTCTGTGATTTGACATTTATGTCAGGCGACATCATAATTTTACAGGAATCTATCATAATCATTTGCTAAAATATTTTAATTAGTTTTTTTTCAATTTAATACAGCCTGTGTATCAATATAAACTAGAAGACATCGTTCTGTAATAAATATTCTTCATCCTACTAAAATTATTCACACATTCATTCCGAGGAAACTCGAGTCTTACTAGAATTACGTTTTGCCATTTAAATAGAATTGCAAATAAATGGCAGTTTTTGATTGCAATTTTCTTAAATATATAATGAAGTAGGAGAGATTAAAAATAGGAAAAAATCATTGCTTGCAGTCTCTATATTAGATATAAGAAAGATTCAAATCAATCGATGAAGCCAAATTTCAATCTCACCGGAACCTATGTTTTCCCTTTTAAAAATACCCTGAAGTGGCGCCCTTAACTTTCGTGGAGCAGTATAAACATTCCATACTTACCTAAAGTTGCCAATTATCAAAATGAAACAATTAAAAATAAATATTAATTTAAATAGATACCAGAGCTGGGTATTATGACGCGTATTCAGCGGGCCTAAAACAACTCTAAAACCCCTTCAAAGCGACTCTAAAACCGCTTCAAAGCGACTCTATAACCGATTCAAAGCGACTCTAAAACCGCTTCAAAGCGACTCTAAAACCGCTCTAAAAACTTAAAGTATTACAAGAAACCTCCAATGGATAAAACCCTGATTCAAAACCGAGAAACACGCTTAGTTTCACCGAACAAACTTTCCAAAATAAACTGCTCCACAAAAGTTGAGGAAGTTCGCAAATTTTGCGATTATTTTACAAGTTACAAACATTTTGATGACCAAATTTTCAAATATGCGAAATTAATTGTTTTCTCTCATATCTGAGTGGATTTGTTTGTCCTTTCCTCTATACAACTCATACTAAATTTGGCGATCAAAACACCTGCAACTTTTAAATTAATCTCAATATTTGTGAACATCCTTAACTTTTGTGGAGCAGCATATTTACCCAAACGGTCCTCCAAAAATTCCCCCTTTTCCTCGGCTTCACCGCCGGCCATTTCCTGCCGCAAACGTTCGCATCGCAGGGTTTCCGCAATTTCAAAATATCCTTCCCTTCGGCCAAGCCTTTGGCCTGCTCCCGCCGCTCGCCGATCACCGCCCGATTCGCCAATTTCAGTATCGGAGGCGGCAGCACCACCTTCTTCGCCGGCACCGCTTCGATCTCCTTCTGTTGCTCTATACACCGCGAGATTAAAACATCGAGCTTTATATGTTGATGGTTGTTTGATGGAGTATTTTACCGAGTTTCTGCGACAGGGAATTGAGCGTGTTCTCGACGAGCTGCGGCGAGCCGGGTATGAGCTTCTCTAAAGTCCTGCAGAGCTTGTCAGTATCGCTGAGCCTCTCGCCCTTCGGATCGCACCTGCAGCTCTTGATCCTCCTGCAGGCGGGGGCGCTCACCTGGCGCTCTTTTCGCTCGGCGAATTGCCCGTCGATTCTGTAGTAGATCGGGACTGGTACGCAGCGCTTCGGGGGCGGCTTCGCCGCCCCCGCTTTCGGATGGATCTTCTCCTTCATGCCCAAATCGGAGAGGATGGCCTTCGGTATGTAGAACAGCGACTCCACGGAGTATATGTCGGTTTTGTGGTGCTTATGGGAGGTTGCGGGGCGGTTCGAATGGTCGCATGGTTGGTTGGTACGGTCGAGGAAATCGTCCCACATTATTTCATGGTCGCGATGGATGTGTTAACGGAGTGCACGGGGAACGGAAATGTTTGTCAAAAATGGCGCTATTGCATGCTAAGGATTTGTAGGGTTTTGATGCGGGAGTTGTCAGTTGTTGACGGGGCGATGAGGTTTATATACAGGATGTGTCGTGTGGAGGGTACGTTGAAAATGTGTAAATGTAAATATTCTATGAGTTGAAGAAACGAAGAGTATTAAAATAACATAGTGGGAATGTTGGAATTGCTTCGTAATATCATTCTTTACTTTTCTTTCATACGAAACTAATGGAAGTTGATGCACTTATGACACCCTATTGCGTATTTGCATCTGAGTGTAATCTAGATGATTCAAGTCTGGTGATCGAGCAGGTGATTAAACACTTTTAATCTTCTAACACACTGTATATGTAGGACGAATTTAAAATAATTCCATGCTGTATAACACAGCCAACTATGATTTAGGACGCAACATATCACTCAACGCCCCATCAAAAAAAAAATTCCTGTCAGTTTACCGTTGGCATCTCATTTACCGTATAAAATTCACATCAAGAAATCCCAAGTGTTTATATAATGTCCCATGAGTTGCTATTCGCCGCCATGCTTTCCCTGTGGTGATCTCTGTTCCCCGTCACCGTTCTGTTTCCCATGTTGGCCGTGCGCACCATGCCCCTGTCCGCCGCCGGAGAAGCTCGCCATCCCCTACTGCTTCCCCGACTGTCCGAAGCGCCCCAAAAAGAAGAAGAAGCGCCGTCGCAAGCCCCCATCGAAGGCGATCGAAGTCGACGAGCCGGAGGAGGAGCCCTACGTGAACCCGTGCAAGTGCTGCAAATGCTGCATATGCATGGGCCTCAAGACCGACCAGGACTGGTGCGAGGGCGCCGGCCAGTGCTGCACCATGTGCCGGTGTCGCGGCTGCCAGCCCTGCAGCCCGCCGCCCTGCTACTCCTGCTGCCCGCCGCCTCCGGCTTGTCCTCCACCGCCTAGCTCCTGCTGTTGCTCTCCACCGCCTCCGGCTTGTCCGCCACCGCCGGCGTGTCCTCCACCGCCGTCTAAACCTTGCTGTTGCTCGCCGCCGCCTCCGGCGTGTCCGCCGGCGTCGCCGCCTCCGGGGTGCAGCTATTGCGATCCCTCGTGCAAGGCGAGCCAGATGCAGCCGGAGGTGGAGCGGTGCGAGAAGTGCGGGCATCGGAAGAAGGCGGCGCCGGAGCCGGTTAAGTACGATTATTCGATACCTCAGCAGAATTTCGTGGATGCCACGTTGACGGGGCCCGGGCAGAGGAAGGGGCCGGTGTGTTATGCTTGTTGCAGGAGCACCGATGCGATGAAGCCCTGTCCGCCGGTTAAGAATACGGTGAAGAGTTGTAACGAATGCGGGAAGCAATCGCAGGCTAAAAGCTTATGTTCCGGTTGCCAATTTTTGGGTACTATTTAAGTTTTTGGTTGACGGATATATACATAATATTACGGTATATTTGAAGATAAAGGAAGTAATAAAATCGCTGTTTTTTGGATTTTTACTATTTTAATTAATATCTATATATTTGCGATTTCATTCTGGTTGATGATAGCAAAAGGAATAAAGCAACTTTTGGTAAATTTTGTTCGTTGTTATTTTTATGGATCTCTTCCGCAGCGAATAAATCTTTCGCATATATTTATTAATCAAATATGATTCTTTCTACCTTTATTTGTAGAACAGTTTTTTTGTAGTTTGTAGAACAATTTTTATTTCAGTTTCTAGTACATATTCTAGGTCAGTTAATAGAGGATATTTTAGTTCAGTTTTCGGTTCAGCTTTTAGTTCAGCTTCTAGTACAGCTGTTAGTTCAATTTCTATTACAGCTTCTAGTTCAGTTATAGAAAAATTTTTATTTCAGTTTCTAGTTCAATTTTTACATTAGCTTCTAGTTCATCTTTAGGTAAGCTTTGAGTTCAGTTTATAGAACAGTTTTTATTTCAGTTTCTAGATATTTATTTATAACTCTAGATATTTAGTTCAGTTTTTAGTTTAGTTTTTGGTTCAGCTTTTAGGTCAGCTTCTAGTACAGCTGTTAGTTCAATTTCTATTACAGATTCTAGTTCAGTTATAGAACAGTTTTTGTTTCAGTTTCTAGTACAGCTTTTAGTTCAGCTTTTAGTTCAGTCTCCACTACAGCTACTATTTCAGTTTAAAGAACAGAAAAGGTTTAATTTCAGTTTTTAGTTCAGTTTCTAATTCAATTTCTAGATCAGTTTCTAGTTTAGCTTCTAGTTCAGCTTCCAGTTATTCGTTGTTATTTTTATGGATCTCTGAGCAGCGAATAAATCTTTCGCATATATTTATTAATCAAATATGATTCTTTCTACCTTTATTTATTCGCACTTCTTCTTACTTTCTCTATACTTTTGACAGTATTTATGTCAAAAACATTTACATAAAATCCAAGGCCTTCTATTATAAATAAACCACTTCCCTTGTATTGTTTCTCTCGACATTTCCTGTCACACAAAAAAATCCAACCGTACATTTCTAATGAATCGCATCAATTAACAAAAATAAACCAAAAAAAAAACTTAGAAAAACTTAGAAAAAAAAAAGTAAATAAGAAGAAACGATGTCGTGTCCGTACCCGCCGGGCGCCTGCCCCAACCCCTGCCAGACCTGCTGCAACCCCTGCTACCCTTGTTGGCCGTGCGCCCCCTGCCCCTGTCCCTGTCCCGAGAAACTGGCCATACCGTACGCCTTTCCCGACTTGCCGAAATCGCGCGGCAGGCGATCGAAGAAGCAGAAGAAGATGCACAAGATCACGTCGACGACGAAGATCAATTTCGCCGACATATCGCTGGGGAAGCCGTGCAGGGTGTGCAAAAATTGCACGTGTTGTTGCCCCAAGCTGGTGCCGCCCTGCTTCGTGGGCGGCTGTCGCACGTGCAACTATCACGGGCCGCCCTGCCCGCCGGCCATGCCGCCCCCGAATTGTGCTTGTACCAAGTAAACTTGATCTGTTTGCATTTTAATTTTCCAAGATGCGATTTTATTAAATTCGAAATTACGATTTTGTGCGTTTTATATTCCCACGATTTTATATAGTATAGTGTTTCTTATAGTACAGTTTTTAGTTCAGTTTTTAGTACATATTCTAGTTCAGTTAATAGAAGATTTTTTAGTTCAGCTTTTAGTTTAGTGTCTAGTTCAGCTTCTAGTACAGCTGTTAGTTCAATTTCTATTACAGTTTCTAGTACAGATATAGAACAGTTTTTATTTCAGTTCCTAGTTCAATTTCGAGATCAGTTTCTACTTGATCTTTTAGTTAGGCTTTGAGTTCAGTTTGTAGAACAGTTTTTATTTCAGTTCCTAGTTCAATTTCTAGATCAGTTTCTACTTGATCTTTTAGTTAGGCTTTGAGTTCAGTTTGTAGAACAGTTTTTATTTCAGTTCCTAGTTCAATTTCTAGATCAGTTTCTACTTGATCTTTTAGTTAGGCTTTGAGTTCAGTTTGTAGAACAGTTTTTATTTCAGTTTCTAGTACATATTCTAGTTCATTTAATAGAAGATATTTTATTTCAGTTTTTAGTTCAGCCTTTAGTTCAGTTTTTGGTTCAGCTTTTAGTTTAGTGTCTAGTTCAGCTTCTAGTACAGCTGTTAGTTCAATTTCTATTACAGTTTCTAGTACAGATATAGAACAGTTTTTATTTCAGTTCCTAGTTCAATTTCTAGATCAGTTTCTACTTGATCTTTTAGTTAGGCTTTGAGTTCAGTTTGTAGAACAGTTTTTATTTCAGTTCCTAGTTCAATTTCTAGATCAGTTTTTGATCTTTTAGTTAGGCTTTGAGTTCAGTTTGTAGAACAGTTTTTATTTCAGTTTGTAGTACATATTCTAGTTCATTTAATAGAAGATATTTTATTTCAGTTTTTAGTTCAGCCTTTAGTTCAGTTTTTGGTTCAGCTTTTAGTTTAGTGTCTAGTTCAGCTTCTAGTACAGCTGTTAGTTGAATTTCTATTACAGATTCTAGTTCAGTTATAGAACAGTTTTTATTTCAGTTTCTAGTTCAATTTCTAGATCAGTTTCTACTTCATCTTTTAGGTAAGTTTTGAGTTCAGTTTGTAGAACAGTTTTTATTTCAGTTTCTAGTACATATTCTAGATCAGTTAAGAGGATATTTTATTTCAGTTTTTAGTTCAGCCTTTAGTTCAGTTTTTGGTTCAGCTTTTAGTTTAGTGTCTAGTTCAGCTTCTAGTACAGCTGTTAGTTCAATTTCTATTACAGCTTCTAGTTCAGTTTATAGAAGAGTTTTTATTTCAGTTTCTAGTTCAATTTTTACATCAGCTTCTAGTTCATCTTTTAGGTAAGCTTTGAGTTCAGTTTATAGAACAGTTTTTATTTCAGTTTCTAGATATTTATTTATAACTCTAGATATTTAGTTCAGTTTTTAGTTTAGTTTTTGGTTCAGCTTTTAGGTCAACTTCTAGTACAGATGTTAGTTCAATTTCTATTACAGCTTCTAGTACAGATTCTAGTTCAGTTATAAAACAGTTTTTATTTCAGTTTCTAGTTCATCTTTTAGTTCAGCTTTGAGTTCAGTTTATAGAACAATTTTTATTTCAGTTTCTAATACATATTCTAGTTCAGTTAATAGAAGTTTTTTTAGTTCAGCCTTTAGTTCAGTTTTTGATTCAGCTTTTAGTTCAGTTTCTAGTTCAGCTTCTAGTACAGCTGTTAGTTCAATTTCTATTACAGCTTCTAGTACAGATTCTAGTTCAGTTATAGAACAGTTTTTATTTCAGTTTCTAGTACAGCTTTTAGTTCAGTTTCTGGTTCAATTTCTAGATCAGTTTCTAGTTCATCTTTTAGTTCAGCTTTCAGTTCAGTTTCCACTACAGCTACTATATCAGTTTAAAGAACAGAAAAGGTTTTAATTTCAGTTTTTTAGTTCAGTTTCTAATTTAATTTCTAGATCAATTTCTAGTTTAGCTTTTAGTTTAGTTTCTAGTAGTCTTTAGTTTAGTAGAGCTTCAGTAGAGCCTTTAGAGCTTTTGCATTTAGAGAAAACCGGTAAAATCAAGAGAAAAATAGTAAAAATAAAATAAGTGACCTTGATGAGAACTTTCATTTAACGCCTCTTTATAATATCTTCTGCTATTTAGTGCTTGCTAATTACATAAACACACCAATTTACATACAAATTATTATTAGTAAAAAAAAATTACATGCGTGACAAAAAAATACTACACGAGTGTTAATCACACACGAGATGAAATTAAATCGACTTACCGGGTCCTGAAATCGGAACTTAAACTACCGAAAAAATAAAAATCCGCGTTAATTAAACTGCTCCACAAAAGTTAAGGAAATTCGCAAATTTTGCGATTATTTTAAAAGTTTTGAAAACCAAATTTTCAAATATTCTAGATTAAATGTTTTCTCTCATATCTGAGTGGATTTTTTGTCCTTTCCTCTATATGTACAACTCATACTAAATTTGGCGATCAAAACACCTGCAACTTTTAAATTATTCTCAATATTTTTGAACTTCCTTAACGTTTGTGGAGCAGTATACAGTGTGTCCACGGGTGGGGTTGCCTATAGGAGAAATATTTTTATTATTCATTTTACGACAAAAAGTCATTGTTTATAAAAATTTTTGCTTCTTTTAAAAATGAGAATAACACTGAAAAATCTTAGATTGGATCTACAGGGTGTTGTCAAATTAAGAAAACATGAAAATACCTCAAGAGGGAAGTACCATTATTTTTTATTTTACACAAAATGTTTATAAAAGAAAGTTGTTTATAATCTAAAATAAAGCCTGAATACAAATTTGCAAACTTAAATTCAAATTTTGTGTGTCCCTAGATAAAGTTGACCAGATAAAAATTTCAAGAAAGAAAGAATTTATTTATTATCTTACATTATTATTTACAAAAAAATGCTTTTAATCCAAAGTAAATCCTAAACACAAATTTTCAAATAAAAAATACAATTTTTACATTATTAATTTGTTTTAATTTACTTTGGATAAAAAGTTTTTTTTGTAAATAATAATGTAAGATAATAAATAAATTCTTTCTTTATGTAAGATAATAAAAATTCTTTCGTTCTTTTTTGAAATTTTTTCCAGTTTCTTAATTTACTAACACCCTATACGTCTTATCTAATGTTTTGATATGTGAATCTCATTTTCTCGACAAGTTAATTTTTTTATAAAGAATGGCTTTTCGTCGTAAAATAAATAATAACCATTTTTCTTATCTGGTCAACTTTATCTAGGGACAGACAAAATTTGAATTTAAGTTTGCAAATTTGTATTCAGGCTTTATTTTAGATTATAAACAAATTTCTTTCATAAAAATTTTGTGTAAAATAAAAAATAATGGTACTTCCCTCTTGAGGTATTTTCATGTTTTCTTAATTTGGCAACACCCTGTAGATCCAATCTAAGATTTTTCAGTGTTATTCTCATTTTTAAAAGAAGCAAAAATTTTTATAAACAAAGACTTTTTGTCTTAAAATGAATAATAAAAATGTTTCTCCTGTAGGCAACCCCATCCGTGGACACACTGTATTTATGTTTTAAAAAAAGTTTGTAGTTATTTCCAACAGTTCAAAATTGTATTACCAACAGATAGGCGCTGTAAAACTCACCCATGCATTCTGTTTGGTGACTTTCTGGGCCTCGATGACGGGCTCATCGGCCAGCGGGACCCCTTCGGAGAGATCGACGGGGGCCGGATGCCACTTTTTGGGGTCCACCTGCCATCCGTAGCCGTTCCCGTGCCAGCCGTAGCCGTTGGAGGCGCAAGGGGGCTGCTGGTAGTGGACCTCCGGATAGGCGTTGTAGTATTGCTGGTAAGGCACCACCGGGTAGGGAAGATGGCTCATTTTATCTAACCTGTAATTTTTTTCTTATTACATTTTTATCCTCAAAAAAGTGTTTTGAATAAGCATTTTGGTGAATTTTGAAGAGATTTTTGAATTTTTTTTTTTGGAAAACAGTTTTGATTGATTGGAGCCCTTTGGATTGTAAAACGTTTAAAAAATAAGAATTTTGGTGAATTTTTGAGGATTGCTAAATTTTTTTAGGGCGAATATTTGAACAATTTCAATAGATTTTTGGAGGTTCTCGGAAAGTTTTAAATAGATATTTTGCTGAATTTTTAAGGATTTTTAATTCTTTTTTTGAATGAATATTGTCATTTTAATTCATTTTAGGAGGTTTTCAGACAATTTTTGAAAAATGATCTAAATAAGCATTTTCATACAAATTTTGACGAATTTTTGAGCGTTTTTGAACTAACTTAAAAGTTTTTTCATAACATTTTATTCAATTTTCAGAATTTTAAAGTGTACCTATTTTGGTAAAATTTGGAATTATTTTTTATATAAAATGCATACAGGGTGTTAATTGAGTAGTGGACCTTAGGATAGGCGTTGTAGTATTGCTGGTAAGGCACCACCGGGTAGGGAAGATGGCTCATTTTATTTAACCTGTAATTTTTCGAAATGGTGCTTGTTTATACTGGGTGTTGGTTAATTGAGTGCGGAGAGTACAGGATGTGATTGTTTGGGTCGTTTTAAGAAGGAAAATTTATATCAATATATGTCCTAAACCTCTTAGTTTTCGAGCTATAAGGTGTTACAGTTTTAGAAAAAAGAAGAATAATAATTTTCTTATTACATTTATTTTTAATTATGAAATTTCGGACGTCAAAAGTGGACCCAAAAAGTGTTTTGAATAAGCATTTTGGTGAATTTTTAAGAGATTTTTTAATTATTTTTTTTGAAAACAGTTTTGATTGATTGGAGAGATATTTTGCTGAATTTTTAAGGTTTTTTTAATTCTTTTTTTGAATGAATATTGTCATTTTAATTCATTTTTAAAGGTTTTCAGACAATTTTTGAAAAATAATCTAAATGAGCATTTTCATACATATTTTGACGAATTTTTGAGCGTTTTTGAACTAACTTAAAAGTTTTTTCATAACATTTTATTCAATTTTCAGAATTTTAAAGTGTACCTATTTTGGTCAAATTTGGAATTATTTTTTATATAAAATGCATACAGGGTGTTAATTGAGTAGTGGACCTCAGGATAGGCGTTGTAGTATTGCTGAAAAGGCACCACCGGGTAGGGAAGATGGCTCATTTTATCTAACCTGTAATTTTTCGAAATGGTGCTTGTTTATACTGGGTGTTGGTTAATTGAGTGCGGAGAGTACAGGATGTGATTGTTTGGGTGGTTTTGAGAAGAAAAGTTTATGTCGATGTGTGTCCTAAACTTCTTAGTTTTCGAGCTATAAGGTGTTACAGTTTTGGAAAAAAGAAGAATAATAATTTTCTTTGAAAACAGTTTTTATTGATTGGAGCGCTTTGGATTGTAAAACGTTTAAAATAAGAATTTTGGTGAATTTTTGAGGATTGTTAAATTCTTTTTGGGTGAATATTATCATTTTAATTCATTTTTGGAGGTTTTCAGAGAGTTTTAAATAGATATTTTGCTGAATTTTTGAGGATTTTTAAATTCTTTTTGGGTGAATATTATCATTTTAATTCATTTTTGGAGGTTTTCAGACAGTTTTAAATAGATATTTTGCTGAATTTTTAAGGATTTTTAATTTTTTTTGGTGAATATTTGAATCATTTTAATTCATTTTTGGAGGTTTTCAGAGAACTTTTGAAAAATAATCTAAATGAGCATTTTCATACAAATTTTTGACGAATTTTTGAGCGTTTTTGACCTAACTTAAAAGTTTTTTCATAACATTTTATTCAATTTTCAGAATTTTAAAGTGTACCTATTTTGGTAAAATTTGGAATTATTTTTTATATAAAATGCATACAGGGTGTTAATTAATTGAGTAGTGAACCTCAGGATAAGCGTTGTAGTATTGCTGAAAAGGCACCACCGGGTAGGGAAGATGGCTCATTTTATCTAACCTGTAATTTTTTTGAAATGGTACTTGTTTATACTGGGTGTTGATTAATTTGAGTGCCGATAGTACGGGGTGTGAATGTTTGGGTGCTTTTAAGATGAAATTAACGCCCTGTACATACAAGGATTTTTTTTTCGGTTATTTTTAACGTATTTTTTTTTCCTCTAAACTCTAAACAAAAATAATTGCTCGACCGCTCCCGATAAAACTTATCGTTACGAGATAAACTTAGATTTTTTATTTCGACATACGAAAATAGATTGACCGTTATAAAAAAAATTGTATTTCGCGAATCGAATTAATTGGATGATGGAAAACCGAGCGCCTATGGGGAAATTTCGAAAATTAATTTCCGCGATACCCATCCCACGAATTCCCATCGAAAATATGGTAAATATCATTTGTCTAGCATGTAAATTTTATAATCTACTTTTAAACCTCCAACGCTATTACTATAAAGGTGTGGGTGATGAAAAAACCAATGCGTAAGCCGATAAAAAAATTACCAAAAAAACACCAATTTATTTAAATTTATTATTATTATAGAGAAGAGTACGGTTTCCGTGGCGCCGCGATTTGACAACTTTTTTTGGCTTAATTGAGCCAAAATAAAGCGAAAATAAAGAAAAAAAATTTTTGATATGTCGCTCCGTTTTCGAGATATTGATACTTAAAGTTATTACCAAAAGTTAGTTCAAGATTTGCTTAGTGAGTACAACAGAATAGAGTAGAGTAGACCAGAGTAGAGTAGAGTAGGGTGGAGTAGAGTAAAGTAACGTAGAATAGAGTAGAGTAGAGAATTAGAATAACTAATTGCTATTTTATTGAGTATTTTGTTAATATTTTCGACTATTAACAATTCAATAAATCTTCATTCATTTTATGGCAACAATTTAATCTTACTGTTACTTATTCTGACCTTTATCTGTCAGTTTATACGAGACGTTTAATCTTCAAGCAATTGTATCGATTCTTGACTTTGACCTACATAAAAGACTTATAAAAAAATGTTATATTCACAGAAAACAAGAAATTAATAGACTTCCAATTCTCGTTAAAATGATTGACTTGTAAAGAATGTTGTATCATATTCTAATTATTAACTAATAAAAGAATAAAATGCGTCAGAACATGAGGTCATGAAAAAACAATTAGTTTGCATTTTAACTTTAATTTATAAACCTAGATTAGATTTACCTACAATACACGATACAAGTTTATTCGTGGATTTGTTTATGTTAAAATGAGCAACGAAAATTTTTAGCCAAATTGTTCGCTTAATTGGAAACTTTAAAAATAGAAATTCTCGTCTGGTTACTCTGTCGAATAAACTCGAGTTTTTCGCTCGAGCAATTAAACTCCCCTCAATTTACAAATACAATTCCTGTTGCTACAGGCTTCATTTATTTAATTAAATTACAATTGAAATAATAATTCGCGTGGTATGCCTACAGTCGATTCGCATGTTGATGTATAATTAGGAATAGCAAATCGTTAATTTTAAGGTTGGTTTGACCACAATAAAAAACAATATGATAAATTTAATGTACCCACTGTCCTAATAATTCAACTAAAATACTCCTTTTCACCCGGGGGTAGCTACAACAAGTATTATTTTCTAAGTTTAAAAAATTATTAATAAACACTTACCTAACCTAATAACTATGTCACGAAATGATGGGTTAACTTAACACGAGTTTTAACTTTTAACAGCGGATGTTGTCAAAATATACATCTGCAATAACCAACAGATTAACCAAGAGATAAAATCAGACTAAATAAAACGAGTTGCGAAAATTGAAAACATCGAAAATAACAGATGGGGAAATTTGGTAGGGATGACTCAATTCAATGTTGTATTTCTTCTTCTCAAGGTCACAAACCGGGATTGCCCAGTCGTTTCGTTTCTCTTCCATCTTTCTCTTACGCACGCTCGAATAGATGCGTAAAAACAAAGGAACAATGAATGAATGATTAAATTATTAATGAGGAGGCTAATGACAGTTGTGACAGACGTCTCACGTATGACATTTACCTACTTGATTTTTGTTAAAGTTCCTGTAAGATATTAAACATACTTTAATTGATATAAAAGATTATACAAAGGGTAATTATTTTTTTTAAAAACTCCTATCAAAAACGCTACGAAACGATTATAAATAAACAAATCTAATCGAATTTTTCTATTCGACTTATCTGACTTAGCGATTAGCGAAAAATTTTTTGTTTATGTAACTTTATTTTTCATTCTTTTATCGACAGTTATTAATTAATCTAATTTCCTCGTGAAATAAGATATAATTACGCTAAATATAGGAGGAATAAATGAAAGAAAACACATAACACCTATACATATTTAATGTAACATAACAAATATACAGCGTGTTCTATATATTTCAAAAAATGCAAAGTTCCTAAAATACATACAACAGACTAATATTACATTCGATGAAGATGCATCTTCTTGTTGAAAATGGCGTTTGAATGTATATCGATAAAATAACCAGTCTTATTATTTCAATAAGAGCACGAGAGGCTCTTTTTTTGCTGTTATGTACACGAAGCTTATAAATTATCAACTAAATTACTCCCGAACAAGCGCCAGCTTCAACAAAACAGTAAAAATCTTCGTGCTTTAAATTGGGCTAACTGAAATTTGATAGAGCGCTTTTTGGAGATCTTCTCAACCGAGATAAATAATTTTTTTTCTAACAACAATTCGAGGGCTCTACATTCAAATTTCAGTGTAAATAAAACGAGAACTTTTTGGATATAGCGTATAGATTCATTACTTACCATATACATTCATGTATTTACAAGGCTTACTCTTAAGTAAAGCTGTACCTTTATTAATAATTTTCGTTAAAAATATACTAGATATATAACATCTACATAAATCTATCTATTACAACACAATGCAAATGTAATACATAATTATAATCATAATAGTAAAACGTTAATCGAAAAAGGAACATTTGTAATATAATATAATCATTCATTGAGCTCTAATACAAGATTTTTATAATAAAAAGTGCACTATACACAACCATAATGTTTTTTTTCTTCATAGACAAATTACGGAGATAGATCGGAGAGTGTATTTTACTAGTGAAATTCGATTTTTTTTCGCCAAATAAATCGAGCAATTCGAAAAAAATCCTCGTTTAAAATCTGAACTAACTGTTAATCTTAATTAGGCCGGCGTTTACGTGCAATTTCCTAATCGAATATACAGGGTGTTCATTAATTGAGTGCCGATACTTCAAGATGTGAATATTTGCTTAATATTTTTTTTCTAAAATTGTAACACCCTGTAGCTCGAAAACTAAGAGATTTAGGACATACATTCATATAAACTTTTCTTCCTAAAATCATCCAAATGTTCACATCCTGAAGTATCGTCACCCAATTAATTAACACCCTGTACCTACTCACAAAAAACCTAATAAATCCCCGAATTCCACTAGTTACTTTATCGTAGAACCTTACGAATATATAGGGACATTTATTTAGCAACAAACAACATATTTAACATACAAAACGTACCGTTCGGAAAAACATTTTTCTTAATTTCCTTATATACTTTATATCACAATAAAATCGGACCTTTCCGAGTACGCCTTGTATATATTCCCGTGAAGCGTACCATTTAAAATAAAAGACACTTATGAAACTTTAGAGATCACATATCGGGCGAAACGCCTTTTTTGGAAAATAAAAGCGAATTTCGAACGTACAGGGTGGAGCGAAATTAATCGAAAATCGCTTCAACTTTTAACGGACGTTCCGTTTTAAAACTAGTTATTATCTAAATAAAATTCTACTAGCTGTTTTTTTAGGGTTTTATAGAGACAATTAGTTGAAAATGTTTGTAAAAAAATCGTCATTCTGTCTCTTGATTAATATTACGCGTTACACAGTAAGTTAAAATTTAGTTTAGAAAGTAACACTGTAAAATATGCATTACCCTGTATACAAATACAGTAGTCTACTTTAAATCTACTAGTACCGTGTTTCCCATGAAAAGTACGAAAAAGTTCTAATCCGGAGCAAATCTAAGTAACCGAAATTTTCGCTAATATCAAATACAGGGTGTAACTCAATAATTATCTAAACGTGATTTCTTTAAATGAGTTCGGGGACATCCTGTAGAGGCAGTTTAATCGAACAAAGTTATTCTCAAAAATATTTAGACGACGCGTTATATTTCATTTATAAAAAACTAATTCGTTTAATATCCTTAGATTTACTCATTGCAATTCCGTTCTCCAGAATCGAATTCTAACGATCGTAAAAAAATCTAATTTAATATCATCTCAATTTACAAATCGATATGCCTTTCATTCGCGAAACGAACATCCCGGTACAGTTGTATAAAAAAAAAGGGTACAAGGGTGATAGAACGAGACATTATATAACGTCATCCTTTTTGCGTAAAACCGGCTAGAATTTTTGTAGCTTGTCAAATGTCATACACATTGCTCCATTTCCGATTATAATATGGTCATTTCTATGAGTTGAACAAAGAAAGATTATTAAAATGACAGTTGTTAGAGTGAAAAGTTGCAATGACACACTCTTTCTTTTTCCTTTATAAAGTGTCTAATGGAAGTTGCCTTTATGACAAAATAATGACCAATGATACTTAAATTATTTTTGTCAGGATAACTTAATAAGAGGGTAGCGGCATTAGGTCTTTACAGAAGAGGGTGACTGAGGTAAGGGGAACGCAGAAATCAAATTAGGTTGGCAACAAACAGTGACAAAAGTGTCAAAAGTTGTGACAAAAGTGTCACATTAGAACTGTTGGCTAACCTTTTTATTGAATTTGAATTCAAAAATGGTTCCTATAGGTTGTGTTTTGAACATTTATAATTGCTTTTATACAGGTTGCTCCATTTTTGATCGTAACATAGGTTATATAGGCCATGGGTGCGATAAAGACAACTTCCATTAGACACTTACAAAGGAAAAGGAAAGAATGACATTTATGTCATTGAAACTTTTCACTCTGACAACTGTCATTTCAATAATCTTTCTTTGTTCCACTCATAGAAATGACCATGTGAATCGATATGTGCGTTGTGTGTTATTTGACTTTTATTTATAAACGAAGAGAAAGATATTGGTCTTTCATCGTTTACATGAACTATACAATTTAAATTTTCGCGCCAGACTGACGTTTGCGACTTTTCATACGTCACTAAAATGGAACCCTCTTCCACCTCGAAATACCGTTACCCCCTTATTAACTTACCCTGCATTTTTGTCAACTTTTGACATTCGATAAGCTCCATTATTCCCACCCGGTTTTACACAAACAAGACGACCTTAATAACGTCTCTTTCTATGACTTGTACCCTTTCATTTTTAGAATCCAACTGTACTTAACAGTTCACCTCCTGCTTCTGGCCGACGCGATTAGAGAATGGATCGTTCTGCAACAATCCCCCGTTGCTCGTCGGGCCTTCCCCGGCGTTGACGTTCGCGTACTTCCCGCCCGGATTCGGCGCCATCGCCTGCTTCGCCAGCGCCCCCGCGTCCAGCGACACCCCCGACTTCAACCCATACTCCGCCGGTTTGGCGTTGTTGTTGTGGTTCTCTCCGTCCATCGACAGCAACTTGTCCACCTAGATGTACCAAAAAAACGTTTTGCTAGTGAATAATTTCATTAGCGAGGTTATTGGTGGACTTACGGAGGTGGCGCCCTCGTCTTCTTTGATGTTATCCAACAGGAGGGGTTGCGTGGATCTCGAAGTGGGCATGATGAAGGAGGTTTCCCAACTGTCGGAATTGTCCGGCAGGAGTTTCTCCACCGACGAGGTCGATTCGATGCGATCGGAGACGATCGGGTTGGAATGGTTCGGTACTAGGTAATCCGAGGATGTCGGTACCACCTTTAAACAAACCGGCGTTAGTTGGTTTAGTGGAAAATATCGCGGACGTTTTACCTGCAGGCAGTTCTCCTCGGAGCCTGACGGTCTCATGACGGTGGTGTCCCGTTCGTAAGAGGGTGGTCGTTGGAAAACTGGCAACGGGGCGGTCATCACTTGAGGATCCTGCACGCAGTAGCCCAATCTTTCTAAAATCGTGCCGAAATTCGGCCGGTGCTCGGGCGCCGGATGCCAACATTGAGTCATTATACCGTATATAGGACCTGCAAATCAATCAACTTATAAACGCCCGAATAACCCAAGCAACTGAGGCAAACGAAGACTCTTCTAATTGGGGAATAGATAAGATCCTGGTGAATAGATTTACCTGGACAATTGGCGGGCGGTTCGAGCCTGCCGCCGCTGGTGACCAGTTGCATGACGTCCCTGTTGGAGCAGCCCGTGTAAGGCATGTAGCCCATCGACATGATCTCCCAGAGGAGCACGCCGAACGACCAGACGTCCGTTTTGCTGGTGAAGATGCCGTCGAGGAAGGCCTCGGGCGGCATCCATTTTATCGGCAACATCGCTTTACCGCCTTTCCTGTAGTAATCGGATCTGGAACACACGAAAAACAACCCGTTCGAGGTACTTGCAATCGATTTGGAGGAGTTTGAGTGACCTGTAAACGTCTCTGGACATTCCGAAATCGGCGATTTTGACCACCCGTCCGGGACCTTTGGTCGTCAACAGGCAATTCCTAGCCGCTATGTCTCTGTGAATAAACCTGTTGTCTTCTAAATACTTGCATCCTTTGGCTACATCCACCGATATCAGTACCAAATCTTTCATCGTAAGAGGACTAGCTCGTTCCTGCGACAAGAAAACCACTTTTATTCACACACTACTCATCGTTTGGATTCCTACCGATTTCGGTCTGGATTCCCTGAGGAAGTTCTTCAAATCCCCGCCGGCTAGAAGCTCCAGCACGATGAAACGCGGATGCTTGTCGAAGCACACGCCGATGAAGTGCACGATGTTCGGATGATTGAACTTCGACATGATGAGCGCCTCCATCAGGAAGTCCATCTCGGCCTGCGAGGTCGACATCTCGGGCAAAGTTTTAACCGCCACCGGCATCTCCACCGTGTCGCAGGGCCGCTGCCTGTAGAAGCCCTGGTACACCTCACCGAAGGCTCCTTGACCCAGCGCTCTGCGTAAGAGAACCGTTTTAGAAAACGACGGGGAATTCTCGCGAGGTAATTACTTGACCAGCCGCAGCTGTTCCCTGGGTATATCCTTGAGGTCTTTGAGGGTGTAAACCACCCCGCCGAATTCGTAGTTGGGATTGTATTCGGTCATCATGCTGTCGGAGGCCATTCGCAGTCTGTCGAGCTGCAAATCGGCGCCCGATACCATTTTCCTTCGCATTATACCGGTCGCTCGTTGTTGATAACGATTATCTGCGAGATAATATTAAATTTGGTTGTGGTTGAATTGATACTGATACTTACAGAGCACGAAACAAACCACCCCGAAGGCGATCACCAAGCAGAACACGGTGACTATTAGAACCACAACGAACCACGTGGGATACGGCCCTTCCGACGGAGGATCGTTCAATACTAAAAAAAATCGTTGAATTCAAGAGGGTTTTTAGCGCGACGTAGCCATCTTACTTTTGCAGGTCTTCTGATCATCGGCCAATATCCACGTGGGGGGGCATATGCAGGTGATCTCCGATCTCATGGCGTCCAAGGCCAGGCATTTGTAGTCGCACTCGCAACCGTCGATGTTCGGTATGATGATGACGTAGCCGGGGCCGGCGTTGAAGCCGCCTTCGGCCTTCGTGAGATGGGCCAGCGCTTTGGAGAAGTCCAAGTACGAGTAGCCGCCCTCTCCGTTGGAGGAATTCACCGAAGGGGCGTCGCCGCCGGCGTAGCCGCCGCCGCCCCCGCCGTATACGCAACCACCGCCTGGTAAATGAGTTTTATGAAGGAACATTGGGTGATGGTGGTGATGAATAAATACCTCCGCCGCCGAATCCCCCGTCTCCTCGTTCGTCTGTGGAATTGTAGCAGGCTTTTCCGCCGATTCCTCCGGCTTCGAGGGAGCTGCCCATCATGACTTTGTGCATGGAATCCACCAGGCCGTCGTACATTTTCCAACCGCCTCCGGCTCCGGCGCTTCTGTGTATTAGGAATTCGTTAGTAGGAAGTCTGTGGAGGTTTGCTTGGAACTTACTTTGTTCCGTACATTTTACCGGTGAAAGGTAATTTGTGTTTTTCGATGCCGCGACCGTGTTGTTCGGTGTTGTCAACGCTGAAGTGACCGAGGCCTAAACCACCACCTCCTGCAGCTATCGCTAACGGGATCTTCTCCTTGGTGCGATTTCGCTACAGAATCAATTTTACTCCACGAGTACTCATTTTATTATCGTTACTTACCAAGAATATGAAAGTGCCGCCTCCTCCGCCACCGCCGCTATCGTTGATGCTTATATTCAAGACGCCTCTGATGCCGGTGCCGAAGTTTTGGTTCGAATGGCAAGAGGAATTCCTCACTGAACCGAGACTCTGCGAAATGATTGCAATAAACTGTTTGCGCGATGGAAATTCTCGGTGAAACTCACCTTTACGCAGGAACTGGTCCCTTCCTGGCCCACCAACATGAATATCTCCTGGCCCTTTTTGAGCTCCAGTATGGTTCTGAGCATGGCGCCTCGAGAAGAGCCCATCGAGGAGCTGCCTTTGCCGCCGCTGGCTCCGCTAAGAATGAAACTAGAAGGGCATTAAAATGTATTCGAAACATAGAGCAGGCTTGTGAGACTCACGTGTAATAACCAGTAATGGGTACCACCCATTTTTGAACACCAGTCAATCCCGGTTCGTGAACGACTTTGATAGCTACTTTGGTTTTGTTGTAAGTTCTGGCGCAATCGGTTTCTGTCGGTCCGAATCTACCTTTCGCATTGCAAGTTGTTATGTGGTAATCTGGGTAAAACAACTCATTAAAGTATCGCAGAAGAAGTAAGTACCTTTGGAAAACTTACAAGTTTTATTAGCGAAGTCTTTGTAAGTTTCCTTCTTGGGTTCATAACCGCCTCGTACATCCCAGTAGTTATAATCTCCCAATTCCTCTTTGGGTATATTCAATCCGAAGCATTCCGGACTCAACGAAACATCGTCTATGGCTATATCGCTCAAATACCGGATGCCTCTTCTAGCTTCGAAATGAAGATAGTACCTACAAATGTTGTTATTAAAAATCATCCGAATTATAACAAGATTATGTAGGTATACACCCACCTGTATGTAATATTCGGTAGAATTATAACTTGTCTGATCCACTGATCCTCGAATAAAGAATACCTCCACCAGATTTCAGTGGAAACGTTCTCGGAAGGCCTCAGCTCGGTCACCTGCAAGGAACACCCGCTCGGATGCTTCCCGAACTTGTGCAAATAGAAACGAATCTATAAACAAAAAAAATCCCCGATTATTTCCGACTACTCAGCGACAAAGCATCCCTTTCTTACCGCGCAGGAATTGTAATATCTGGACGACGAGTTGCCGTGCACCCTCGGCGGCGGATTGAAATCGACGCTGCGCAACGTGGCGGAGGTGGCGAACTTGGCGTTGTTGGCCAGCATGTTGACGAACAGGTACTTCCCCGTGCCGTTCTTGTAGGTGTGATCGAAATTGGGGCCGGTGAAGTTGGTAGGCGTCGACCCGTTGTGCCTGATCCACGACAGCACCTTCACGTCGACGTTCTGCCAGCCGCACCAATCGTCTTCGAAGTTGCACCGCGAACCGAACGGCATTTGGTCTGCACGATGTATCAATGATGATGGTGATGCAGATAGGATTGTTGTGCAACTTACCGCAGTTGAGGGTTTCGTCGTCGCCGTATTGGCAGTCTCTGGTGATGTCGCAGACGCTGGTGCTGTTGATGCACACCTTGGTGCCCTTGCATTTGTATTGGAGCGTCGAGCAGGAGTCGTCGTTTTTGTGGTAGCATTGGAACAGGTGGATGTTGTCGAAGGCGACCGTCGCCTTGTCGGTGGCGTTCTCGTTGGGCACCACCTCCAAGATGATGGTGAAATTCTTGGATATTTTGCCGACGGACATTTCGTATTTGCGCCACTTTCTGCTGTCGTCGCTCGGTATGATTTTTAGCAGCCATTGGGTGCCTTCTTTGTCGCCGACGATTTTGATGGAACCTTGCATTTTCTCCTGGTAAATCCACAGGGAAAATTTGCACGACGATACGGTCGGAGTGAATAGCGGGCTGTTTACTTGGAACGTGGTCGTTTTTAGTGGCGATCGAAGTAACAAGAAACTCCCTAGAAATTTATTTTAAATACATTACCATTAGGGCCAAGCCGGTCCTGCACATTCAATATTAAAGTGACATTAGCATGGTGGCGCCATCTACATTCATACAGTAGAATTTATAAGATACATGTTTATTTTATAACTTATAACATTGCTTTAGTTTTTAAGTTGAGGTCTAAATTAATGCGATAATAAAATAAATAGTTTTGTTTTAGAAAAAAGGTATAAAAAACGGTGTTTTCTACTATGAATTTTTAGGTTGGTTAACCTTGCTGTCAACACTGTCACTTCAAATGACAGAAAAAAATTCTGTTTATAACCTTCAAAACTGCAAAGCATTTTGTTTTATGCTTTATCATTGATATCATATCTGAATTTGAGACCAATTTCAATTAGAAAAGTGAAAAATGTCGATTCAGGAACCCATTAAGCTCAAGTAAGTACTTAATTCGATCGTTTAATGTACATGACAAAGAGCGGAGTATGTACGAATGGAGTTTTTATTTATCAACTCACTCGCTCCAAAGCACTCTTGTTATTACTCTCTATATAATTTTGATTTTGTTTCATGGCGAATGTGTTAGTAATAATGTGAAAACTTTTAGGGATCTGATGGAAACCGGTGCGTTTTTCACCGTCAACACCGATCAAATGAACGACGGTCCGGAGACCACCGAAGAAGACGTGGAATACAACAAAAATTTGCTCAATTTCATGAACATGCAAGTGGCCGGATTCGAAGACGAGGACTCTTACGTGGACGGACAACCGTTCGAAATAATCGCCTCCAAAATGGAGCACCTCACCCGCGACGGGGGCATCAAGAAGAGAATCCTCCGAGAAGGGTGAGTAACTCGATTACAGTCTCAGTAATGTTTTAGTAAATATTTAATTTGGTAGGTACGGCGAGAAACCCAAAGACGCTGAAATCGTTAGGATAAATTACAACGCTTACATCGAATACAACGCGGAACCGTTCGATTCCACGTACGCACGAAAAAAAGTCCACCAATTCATCGTAAACAACGGAGAGGTATTATTAGGACTCGATATAGCCGTGCAAAGCATGAGAATCAACGAGAAATCCCAATTTCTCATGCAACCTATGTACGCCTACGGGAAACTGGGCTGCTTGCAACGAGTCCCCCCCGACACGGAGGTGATGTTCGAAATCGAACTCATCCAAATAGTAAACGTATCGGCTGCATCGAAATTCGAAACCCTCTCGATCGACGAACAGAAGAAATTCGACGTGGTCTACGAGTACTGCCTAGCCCTGTGCGCCAAGGCCAAGGATTTGTATGCCAAAAACGTGCACTCGGCGATCCGCGAGTACAACAGCGCCGCCTCCAAGCTGGAATTCTGCCAGCTCGACACCTACGAGGACCAGGTGAAGCAGCAGGAGCTGTTGCTGCGGCTGTATTCGAACCTGCTGGTGGCCCACGCGAAGGTCGAGGAGCCGCGACGGGGCTGCGTGAACTTCAACAAGATCCGGGAGCTCGTCAAGGGGACCGATATCAAGGTGACCGCCAAAATGTACTTTAATAACGCTAAATGTTTGAGGATGTTGGGCGATTACGAGTTGGCCCGGAAGCGGCTCGATCAGGCCCATCGAATGGAGCCCAAAAATCCTGATATACTCAACGAGTATATTTTGTTGGATAAGGCTGTGAGGGAGGATAGGGAAAAAACGACCGAGATTGCTAAGAAATTTTTAAAATAATTAACACACATTTAGCGAAATGTGTAATGTTGGTTCCTTTTTTTTACGTTTATGCAAAGTTTTATTTGTTTCTTAAGATCTGACTAGAGTAATGCCAAAATTTATTAGTTAGAATACAGGGCGTCCCAATTAAAAGTAGCCCATTTAATCAGCTTGTTACTTTTAAACGCCTAATCATAAAAACATGCGGTCTTGTAGGTTTTGTTACAGCGACGCAGAAATTATGTGTTACCTATACAGGGGGTTCTATTTAAATTCGCACTAACCCAATTTTATTAAATGGAACACACCTAAGAGGTATTCTGAACGATATACTCTTCTACTGTTCAAAAATGTATCATTAGTACATGTTATTCTACAAAAGAAGGTGTCCAATTTGATAAAATTTGATCAATTAGAATTGAAAAGAGAGGATGTTACTGTAACAAAAAGTTATAGCAAAGTAAAAATATATGCAAAAACCGCATGTATTTTTAATTAGGCATTCAAAATGATTAATGGGCTACTTCTCATTGGGACACCATGTTATTAATCAGTTTAAGTTTACCTTTAATCATACGATTGTTTCGTTAAGTTTTCCAACGATTCGTTGACAATAATGTAGGTTTTTTGTCAAATAATTCGCAATATACATCGCTCGTGAAATCTAGTCGAATTTGAAAACGTCAAGGGATTTACTTACCCCCTTCGCTGTTATCGGCGTCGCTTTTGGGTCCGGTTTCGCCTTCTAGCACTTTGGAACCGGAGGTGATGAAAAACCCATTAGCGATATCCTTCCGCCAATGCCACAGGCAATCGTTCTCGAAGTCGCAGTCGATGCCCGGCTCGAATTCGTTGGTTTTCTCCGGCGGATTTTCGCCGCGGACGATCGTGATTTTGTCGGTGATCTTGTTGTACTGTTGCTCGGCGTTCATCACTCCTGTCGGACGATTAATCGGGGGGTTTTTTCGGATAGATTCGATTCGATTCGATTGGTTTTTTTTGCTTTACCTTGTCTGAGTCTGGTGAGGGATGTTTTGGACGAATCGGTGTCGTTGGGCTCCATTCGAGGATTGGCGTCGGCCGCCATTAGTTCGGCCTCTTTGCGCTTTTCCTCGTTGAGTTTTCTTCGAATGCTGGCGAAGCTGGCTGGAGGGCTGCTTCGTTTTCTTCTGGAATTGTAGTGAAAGAACGGGAGGTTATTTTCGAACAATATATCGAGCGTTTGAAAGAGACGAAATTCGTATTTTTTTTTTAATAATCTTCGATTTTTCCTATTCTCAATGTTGTGGAGTAATAAGGCGTGCTAGTTCATACAAATTTTGGATTGTTAGACAAATCTACTCCGTTCGCTATCAAGAGATAATACAGTGTGTCCACGGATGGGGTTGACTATAGGAGAAACATTTTTATTATTCATTTTACGACAAAAAGTCATTGTTTATAAAAAATTTTTGCTTCTTTTAAAAATGAGAATAACACTGAAAAATCTTAGATTGGGTCTACAGGGTGTTGCCAAATTAAGAAAACATGAAAATACCTCAAGAGGGAAGTACCATTATTTTTTATTTTACACAAAATTTTTATGAAAGAAATTTGTTTATAATCTAAAACAAAGCGTGAATACAAATTTGCAAACTTAAATTCAAATTTTGTGTGCCCCTAGATAAAGTTGACCAGATAAGAAAAATGGTTATTATTAATTTTACGACGAAAAGCCATTCTTTATAAAAAATTAACTTATCGAGAAAATGAAATTCACATATTAAAACATTAAATAAGACGTATAGGGTGTTAGTAAATTAAGAAACAGGAAAAAATGTCAAGAAAGAACGAAAGAATTTTTATTATCTTACATAAAGAAAGAATTTATTTATTATCTTACATTATTATTTACAAAAAAATGCTTTTAATCTCATTTTTAATGCTCTTTTTTTATAAAGAATTACTTTTTTTTCGTAAAATTAATAATCATTTTCTCATCTGGTCAACTCCATCCGTGGACACACAAAATTGGATTTTTAATTTGAAAATTTGTGTTCAGGCTTTATTTTAGATTATAAACAACTTTCCTTTATAAAAATTTTGTGTAAAATAAAAAATAATGGTACTTCTCTCTTGAGGTATTTTCATGTTTTCTTAATTTGGCAACATCCTGTAGACCCAATCTAATATTTTTCAGTGTTATTCTCATTTTTAAAAGAAGCAAAAATTTTTATAAACAATGACTTTTTGTCGTAAAATGAATAATAAAAATTTTTCTTCTATAGGCAACCCCATCCGTGGACACACTGTATAGTGAAACCTTCTTGAAACAGTAAACTACAGTTGGTGCAAAACAAATATCGTGCACGTCACTACTGTCGTCATACTTGCCAAGCATTGTGACCAACTTTTAAAAATAAATACACAAAATAGATTAAGCTTAATACCTGCAGAATTTAATTTAATATTGACGTAGTAAATTATAGGATATTTGTTTTGCACCAACAATATAGGTTATAGCTTTCAGTTGCCTTTATCTGAGTTAGCAAAAGGGTTGGCCTATTGTTTATATACAAGGTGGTACTATTAAAGTAAAATAAACATTATTACTCAATTGGAAAAGCCTTGAAGTTAGGGAACTTTATGTTTTTTTTGTCATCGAGTCACTTGTGCTGTTTTATGCATACTAAAGCTAGCTCCTGACAGCGAACGGACTATAATAATCTGATCAAAATTACTATTTTTTCTTTAACCATCGAATCATTAAACTTTAGATGAACTAATCGCTATTCTACAAGCCCAATTCCCCATTAAACTACCACCTAGAACCGGACAAATCCCACCGAAAACAAAATAATCTATCAACAGACCTAAAATACCTCATCCTCGGATTGTAGTAATCCGAGTTAAAAATATCCTTGTCGTCTTCGACGGAATTAAACGGACGGAAATCGCCCGGTGTACTCGTACTGTTAATTCGCTGGTCCTCTTCGACGGCGTCTCGACCATCCGCCGCGACGCCTTGCACTATTAATAGCAGCGCAAAGGGTAAAAATCTCTTCGCGATTTCCATCTCGGTTATTTGCCTATTTCCGATTATTCCGCATGATGGTCTTCGCTAGAGTCTGCAACAGAGTAAAAACGCGTCGGGAATTTAATTTCGTTAGATAAAAACATAGGGAGTTTAACTTCATTTGCGGCGTGTACGATAGATAAATAGTTGTTTATCGTATCGGAGGCGAAAACGTATTTTTAGAAAATATGAATGGAGCGACTCGATTTTGGAACCGTTCCCAAGATCGACCAAAATAATAGTCCATATTTATAAAAACGAAGCGTTTACTTTGAAGTAAAAGGTAGAGAGGCAAAATGATGAGAGAAAAAGGTTTTAAAACCACAAAACCTTTTGCTTTAAAGCCTTTAAAGGAAATCTCTTCCTTCGCACTTCTTTTGATGCATATACCTTGAATGTTGCGCTTCTTTTTATAATTACAGCCTATCGACTGGATTCGAAACTTTTTTCATCTCGTAAATCCACGCATGCAACAGCATTAAATCTCGCCCGATTTCGATCCGTAAATGTCAAAAGGCTTGGATTTTTTCGACGCAAAAGATCCATCCCGCGATTCCACCATCTGGCATTAAGAGGTGCATATAACGGAAGGGGTTCTAAATGAAAGCGCGATATTACCTCTATCGCAGAATCAATGCCCGGACCGCCGAAACACATTCACTCATTCAGCTCGAGGGCTCGCTGGATAAACCGACACAAAAACTCTTCTCGCGCTCGTCTTTAATTCGTCCCCGCCGCGAAAAACTACCAAACCTTTTCCACGGCGAATCCGCAGAGAACAGCGTGTCGTGTACGCGAGTATTCGTGCGAGAATTGAGAGTGCATGTATGTGTGTGTGTGTGTGTGTTTGTGCGCTGGACGAGGACCGTGTGGGAGTAGCGCGGAATAGCGGCCGTCCGGCGGGAGCGACGAGGAGGGCTAGAGCTGGTCGCCTATCGATTTTTCCCGTCTCCTTTTGGCCAGCATCTCCGCGTGGAAATAAGACGGGAGACGCGAAACGCGCCATCTGGCGGGAGGCTGCGGAACCGGACGCTCCGGGAAATTCGATTGGCTCGGATCGGAAATTGTGTTATAAGTAGAAATGGAACCAATTAATCGGTTTAAAAAGTACTCCGTAACTTTATTGTAATACTGTTTAACAGTTCGGGTGCTATTTCACATTTTTTTTTATATAAAAATCTATAGGAACATTCGCTAAAATATTTCAGACTTGCGTTTTATCTAGTATAAACTCTTCACAAACAATTCGCTGACTAAAAACTTAAAACTAACAGCTTCCCATCGACGGGCTGGAAAACAATTTTACAATCGTAGGTTTGATCTTAATTGGTTTTTAAGTAAAAAATTACACTAATCTCCGTCGCATGAACTCAGAGAATGCTATGAAAACCGCAGCGCCGAGTAGGAAGAGGCCGGCTGGAGCAGCTGCTGCTATTTTTCCCCCTAGACAAGAAACAAATCGTTGAAATTCCTTCGAAATTACATCCCCGCTAAAGGGAACGATTTATTATACAGGGTGTTCCGATAATACATGCTAATATTTAAGGGGGTGATTCTTGGGTGCATTTTAAGAAGAAAACTTCATATGAACCTATGTCATAAACGTCTTAACTTTTGAGATACATGGTGTTAAAGTTTTAATAAAAAAATATTTTTTTTTGTAATAACTTTGATACTATTGTAGATATCTTTATGAAATTTGGTACAAGTCTTCTACGAATCAAGATGCATTTTTTGATGTACAAATAATTTTATTATTTTAAACAGTGGCGTGCGTACGGGTTTTGCATTGAATATTTTTGGAGAAAAAAATGGTACGCCACTGCCTAATATTGAAATAAAAATTATTTTAGGAATCCTCATTCAATTTAGGTCAAATTTGATTTCCTAATTTTTTCCGTACGACTCATTGTTTCGCATTAAAAAAAATAATAAATTTTAGCTTTCTGACATATGTTGATATGAAGTTTTTTTCTTAAAATTGTTCCAAGAATCCCCCCCTTAAATATTAGCATGTCATTATGGAACATCCAGTATTATTGATTGTGATACGTAATAATTTAAATGGAAAAAAGGGGACGTTGTTAGGTAAAAAGTCGGGTAAAATGGTAATGTTCGAAATGCCATTTGAGTTAAAGATGATGTTTTTTTTTTTAATATGCTAGCGTGTTAAATACGAGGCAACCAATTTGTATTTGTACTATGCATATAATAGGTGTATTTAACATCGCTGCATATTAATCGATTAAATAAATCTGTTAAGAGAGAGAAACACTACGGGATTTACCTGCTTCGTCATCGTCCCATTCTACCATTCTAGGTAAATCTAATAAAACAATTAGTCCATTAACAAAACCGGATAATCTACCAATGGCAGAATCTTAAACTCTACTTACTTATATCGTCGGCGAGATTGCCCGATTTCACCCAACCGATGCTCCTCTCGATGCCCATTTTCCATTTGGAATATTTCATATTTCTCACTAAAAAAAAACCAACAATTATAAAATCGTTATCGAAATTAAAAGAAAAATCCTTTTACCGTCCTCCGATATCAGCGGATTGAAAGTATCGCAAGGCACCGGTAAAATTTTATCCAACTCCCACACGGCGATTCCTTTCGCAATACCAGCAGCAACGGCGGCCCCGAACGAAGTCGTCTCCGTCAAAGTAGGCCTAACTAAACGTCAAACTCTACATAAAGCTTCGATTTACACAATTTTTGACAGGTCGACGTCACCGACCGACCAATCGCGAGGCTCGATTCTCGAGCGATCGGCCAATCGGAGCGCTCGATTTGCGATACATTTACAGCGTTTAGCCTCACCTACGGGTATCCCGCAATAATCCGATTGCATTTGCATGAGGTAATCGTTGACCGTCATGCCGCCGTCCACCAGCAGCTTGTTCAACGACATGTTGCAGTCCAACGTCATCGCTTCGAGGACGTCTCTGACTTGAAAGCAAACGGCTTCGAGGGCGGCTTTGACCAGATGGCCCGGTTTGGTTTCTTCGGTTAGACCGCATATCACGCTGAAACATTTAACGGTATACAGGGTGTATAAAGGGATGATTGTTGGAACCATTTTAAGAAAAAAACTTCATATGAACATATGTCTGTCAAGCTAAAATGTGTTATTTTTTAATTTTAGCACAGCGACTAATGTAGCGTACAAATGAATGTATTTATTTTTTTAATGCGAAACGATGAGTCGTACGGGAAAAAGTCAAGACATCAAATTTGTTCTAAATCGAATGAGGATTCCGAAAATAATTTTTATTTCAATATTAGACAGTGGCGTACCATTTTTTTCTCCAAAAATATTCAATGCAAAACCCGTACGGACGCCACTGCTTAAAATAATAAAATTATTTGCACATCAAAAAATGCATCTTGATTCATGGAAGACGTGTGCCAAATTTCATAAAAATATCTACAATAGTATCAAAGTTATTACAACAAAAAAATTGAATTTTTTCTTAAAACTTTCACACCCTGTATCTCAAAAGTTAAGACGTTTAGGACATAGGTTCATATGAAGTTTTCGTCTTAAAATGCACCCAGGAATCACCCCCTTAAATATTAGCTCGTCATTTTGGAACACCCTGTATAACCAGGGTATTTGCCTTGTATTAATTAGTACCTTCTGGCGTCTTTTCGCCAGTAGGGGGCGTACAATCCGGAAAATGCCGGTACGAATACCACTTCGCCTTCCGTACCGACCGATAACGCCATATCGGTGGATTCCGATACATCTTTTAGTATCTCCAAATTGTCTCTCAACCATTTAATACCGATACCTGGAATTAACGGAATAAATACAATTGAAAACGCGTTGTTTAGTGTAGCTAACCTGCTATCGCTACGGAACCTTCGAGGGCGTATATGGGCGTCGTTTTCGGACCGAATTGGTAAGCTACGGTGGTGAGTAGACCGTGCGAAGATAATACTTTCTACAACATTAATCCTTATTTGTAATTACAGCGATTAAATGCGATGGAAATGAGTTACTCTCGGGCCGGTGTTGTAGAGAATGAAGCATCCAGTGCCATATGTACACTTCGCTTGGCCGTTGTTAAAGCACATTTCACCTACCAGAGCGGCTTGTTGGTCGCCTAAAATCTGCAAAAATTAAATTTACATATGTACCAAAGTACCGGGAATTGTGCTCTAGTAATTTGAAACATCCCTCGTATAACACTTACGCCCGATATGGGAACACCGTCCAACACCGAATTCATGTAAATACAGGCGTATATTTCCGAAGAGCTTTTAATGGTGGGTAATATGTGCATGGGAATGCCGAATATTTCGCACAGTTTCGGATCCCAATCTAAGGTTTCGATGTTCATCAGCATCGTACGGGAGGCGTTGGTGCAATCGGTGATGTGTATACCGCCTTTTACGCCTCCTGTGAGATTCTGGAAGAAGATTTTAGCGGTCTTTTACGTTGAGGATATCCGGTACAGGAAATTTTACCCATATCAGCCAAGTATCGACCGTTCCGAACAAGCACCGTTTGTCCTCGATGGCCTCTTTAACATGAGGTACATTGTCCATTAGCCATTTGATTTTTAAAGCGCTGAAATAAGTGCTGACCGGCAGGCCGCATAATTGTTGCAGGAAGTTCTGGTTCCTCATTCCAAATTTCAGGATTTCATCGACTGTACTATGAGTTCTCGTGTCCATCCATACTGCAACGATTTATTGTTTATTGAAGCATTAATACGTTCAAGGTTGCATAATTTAAATACAATGCAATACACTCACCTATGGCATTATACAAAGGTTCACCGGTTAAACTATCCCAAACTATAGTGGTTTCTCTTTGGTTCGTAATTCCGATAGCAGCTATCTCGCTTACGTTGATGTTTAATTTGCCTAGATTGTCGCAGGTTACTTTAATGGTTTCTATTACAGCGTTGAGTATTTCCTTGGGGTCTTGCTCGAACCAGCCTTCTTGAGGCACGATGGATTCGATGGGTATCTGATGATACGTGAGGACTTCTGCGGTTTTCGAGGCAAACACCTGTACGACCGATAAAAAGATATTTGTATAATGAAATTGATAATAAGACTTACCAGAAATCGAGTGCTGGAGGTTCCCTCGTCGATGGCTCCTATTAGAGGACCGTACTTTAAAAGGGTGTTGTTTTCTTCGGGGAATAAATCTTCCATTTTGTCTAATATTATCGAAGGAATGTCCAGTGCAGATAGGGACACTAAATCCTTGTCTTCTCCAGAACCGTCGGTGGCATTATCCATTATAGTCCAGTCATTTTCGTCGAAACTTAATATATCATTTAAATTACTAGTGGTATAACCGATGGGAAAATATGTGCTGGTGTTACTTTTTGCTAAATTCCCCGAATTGGATTCTACGATATTCGAAATGCTCGGAACGTCCGGAAGGTACAAGGATGAAGTAATAACGTCTCTTTCGATTGCGAGCGTCGAAATTTTACCCGTACACGAACAGAGTTCCTTTATTTCACCGTCTATGAAGGCTTTTATTCCGGCCCTTTTCACCGCACAAGTGCACAAATCGTTCACCGTTTCCTCTACGAATTGTTGTATTTCGTCTACGCCTTCTTCTTCGGCTTTTACTGTCGCTTGTTCAGGTTTATTATTATCGTTATCGGTATCATTAACGTTTTGATCGTTCATCGATTTTATTATTTCAAATGTACACAAATAACCTTCAATTTTTTAAAATCGGTGTCACTGTCAAATGAACTGTCAAAATTCAAAACAAATAAACGTCAATTTTAGCTAACAGTTGTGTTATAGGTAATATGCTGTAATGGTGGTTGGATATACCAAGGATGAGTTAGAAGTCAGGATCGGATTTAGGGTGTAAAACTTTGTAGGGGCGGATTTAATATAAGGAATATCGTTTGTATTATTAATGTATTGAAAAATCGGTGTAATTTGTGTATTATAGGGTTATGCAAGTTTTGTTATGTAACAAATATTGATGAAGTAGCAGAATTATTTTATAAGCAATTAATGCAGGTAAGCAAATTTAATTAGAATTTACAAAAATTACTAGTCTGTCGTAAATTTTTCGAAAGTATATAGTACAATAAAGATTGTCTAATTAAAATGTTTAATTTTCGAGTGGCGATACTATTTTTTGGACTTTGTAAAATCGCATGTTGTTCGGACAAAAGGGGTGAGTTTTTCGAAAATTTGGCTGAATACTTATTCAATTAAGGTATTTTAGACAATATTTACAGCAATTTACCTCCGATTTTCCACATTGACGATCTCGAATCGTGCGAAAAGCAAGAGAAATTGTTTTGCCAAGTGAATATTGCACTCCAACCTGTCAGTAGAAATTTCTCCAAAAACTGGAAACTGATACAAGTAAGCAGAATCATACAATACTCATGAAAGTTTATCATTTTATCCAAATATTTTTATAGCATTCGATTTCCGATAAAACAGCATACAATCACAACGAGCTATTTCACGCGATTTGCTTGCAAGATTTTTGCCCCGGGACTTCACTCGACGGTAACGAACCCGTAGAAAATGCAATTACAAACTGTTATCGACAAAAATATACTTCCATGGGATTAACAGCTAATATAACATACTTGAAATGCGGCAACTCAAACCAAAAACACCCTCTAAGTTTCATAGATAAGTTATCATTGTAAGTCTCTACAGTACCAGTTGAATATTTAATATTATTCTTATTTATTTATTTTAGGGTAATTGTTGTTAATTACATTTTGTTTCTAATTATATCTACTCTAATTTGTTACGTATATCCCAAAAGTAAGTACATAAATTGGTTAATGTAGGTGTATTAAAATGTTTTAAGCTTTTCCAGCTAACAGCTTTGTAGCGCAATTTTCTCTGATAAAAAATTTCGAAAAATTCATCAGAGTTAATAGAGACGCGGAATTTCAGAAATTGAAGTGTATACAAGGCATCCGCTTCTACAACATGTTGTTAATTATATTTTTCCACACTTACACCAGCTATGTAGGAGGATATCTGGAGAACACCGAATATTTGGAAAACGTAAGTACTTGAAGAGAATTGTAAAAAAAAGAAACTATAAAACTATTTGCAGTTGCCGAAAAATATCGTAAAGTTGGGTTTGAGGAATTTTATGCTGTTTTTAGTCCAAACATTCTTCCTGTTTTCCTCGTTTCTAATGTCCTATCATTTTTACCAAACGGTACACAATAGAAACAAATTCGATGTAAAAGTTGTTCTATTAACGTTCCTGAACAGATATTTCAGGTAAAAAGTATATCAATTGCAATTAGTCGAGTAGTAATAGAATCTTTTAGGATCCTTCCACCGCTGGCTGTGTTGATTTCGATGGTTACATGGATAGCGAATTTTTGCGATGGGCCAGTAAAAGAAATCTATTCCGACGTGGAATACTATAATTGCAAAAATAATTGGTGGGTCTCGTTGCTTTTCATCAACAATCACTACAAACCCGGAGAAATGGTATTGTTTAATAAATCGTTAAAGTTACAAAAAAATTATCCATAAAAATTTCAGTGTTATTTCACTACGTGGTATTTAGCAGCAGATACCCAACTGTACGCTCTATCTCTGGTAGTTTTATCTATTATATGGAAGTATAAAAAACGGGCTAATTACATTCTAACGTTTTTCGTTTTTATTGGTATTTTCGCCTCTTTTATTACTTCTTACGTTTACAATTTGGACTTCATTTACCGGCTCACTCCAGAGTAAGTACAATAATTATAGTAACAATTTTATTACAGCAGAATCATAGTAAAATCGGACTAGATTAAGACTATATAGAGACAGAATAGAATTAGAGTGGTAGAATTAGAGCAGAGCAGTGTAGAAAGCAGAGAAGAGAGCAGAGCAGAGAGCAGAGTAGAGAGCAGAGTAGAGAAAAGAGCAGAGAGCAGAATAAAGAGCGGAGTAGAGGGCAGAGTAAAGAACAGAATAGAGAGCAGAGTAGAGAGCAGAGTAGAGAGCAGAATAAAGAGCGGAGTAGTGGGCAGAATAAAGAACAGAAAAGAGAGCAGAGTAGAGAGCAGAATAAAGAGCGGAGTAGAGGACAGAGTAGAGAACAAAATAGAGAGCAGAACAGCGAGCAGAATAGAGGGCAAAGAAGAGAGCATAATAGAGCAGAGCAGGGAATTCTATTTTTTAAAATTCAATTCCAATTTACATCCATCCCTTTATAGAGCTTTGTTAATTATTGCTTATGGGTAATTATTTTCGCAGGAACGTTAAAACCAATAACTTCAGATCGTTTTTCTTTAATGCCGTGTATTCCTCTACTTACACGAACATGGCCACTTACATGATAGGCGTGTGGTTGGGCATTGTTTATTACAAATCGGAAAAAATCGGAGAATATCGCAAAAGAAGGGTAAGATGTAATTGATAGTTGAATTTTTAGATTGTTCGATTGAACTATTTATTTTCAGATATCTTTTGCGTTTTGGTTGGTTTTATTCGCAGGATTACCTATCGCTGTTGTGATAGTTTCTTCCTTTTATTATTCGAGGTTCGCCGGGGCTCTTTTAAGCGGTATTTTAAAGCCTTTGTATGCAATGGGAATAGCTGTTGGGATATACGGGATGTCCTCTGGTGTAGGAGGTGAATTAGTTGAGTAAATTTTTATTAATTTTATAAATAAACAGCAGTTTCTAGGATACATTAAGGCTGTTTGTGAGTGGAAGCCGGTGTTGATATTGGGTAATTTGACCTATTGCACGTACCTTGTGCAAATTATAGTGGTGTTTCACAGAACTGCTACGATGAGAAGGCCGTTTTATGTGTCCGATTTTGTGCTGGTAATTCGCCTTTTTTATACAGTTTTATTCGTTTTATTCTTCATTCATTTTTCAGATCAAATCGTTCGCAAGAGACGCGATTTTGTCATTTACGTGCGGGTTTTTTATGCATATATTCTTCGAAATTCCGGCGGCGAATGTTAAAAATTTATTATTACCACGAATAAGGCACCAAAAGAATGAAAATAACGATAAAAGAACTGAATAAATCTACTGTATTTTATATAGAAATATATATTTATTCGCTTAAATAATGTTCGTTCTTCTATTTAATAACTTGCAATTAGTCTAAAAACAAGTTATAACGTGTTAATTACTCATAAGGCCTTGTGAAAATGAAAAATAATCGTGTAAACTTGATTGCCTATCGTTAGGTAAAGATTCTTTCAGATCTGATCGTGATCAATGATCGCGTTCTCTCGAATCTGTGTCCTTGTGAATGTTTGATCCAACGTTGCCAGTTAGTATGAAAATTCCAAACATGGCAGAAATAAAACATCTTTCGTTCCTTATAATGCTATTCTAAAAACGTTATTTTATTACCGACTAAACGCGATTGTAATTTTTTTTAAGATTCATAAAAAATTACCACGAACTCCTAAAACATACCATTAATAATCTCTTGTTTCTAACGGTATTATTTTTAACAAGAAAAAGAATTTATAAGTAACGGCAACACTGTTTACATCTCTTTCTCTTTTCAACCACACGTAAAGCAACAATGACAGACACAGAAAGACAATCTGGCTTTTCAGAGTTCACGTTGGGTTTCGGTAGTTCGAGTTCGAGTTCCGAACAGCAAAGAGCGAAGTTGGTTGGCAACACTGATTTTTTTAGACATTCGAATCGGACGATGCAAAATGGCTGTCGGCGAGTTTCGCATTCGTTCCTAGACGTTTAGTGTTAATGTTAAGTGATAAGTTGACTGGAATTAGTTTTCGTTATCGGTTAAGTGACTTGTGGACTTTTGCGACAGATTCCGCGAAGATGAATCTCGACATCACTGCGTGAATAAGGTGAGAAAAGCGAGCGATTTTTTTCCTCTCGTAGTTCATTGTTTGGATTTCGCCACTTATGAATTAGAAATTAATTGAAAATTCGCTGTGTTTGTGCCGATTTGCTGCGAAAACACCGTTGATTTTATCTATCGAGAGAATGATTACGGTCATAGTTGGCTTTGTTGATTTTCCTCGATTTAAATACCCGATTTTTTTCTTAGTTGTTTTTGTTCGTGTCGATTAAAATATCTATTTTTGTTATAAAAAATTATACATTTTATTGCTATTTTTATCGATAACAGTTAACGATGATCATGTAAAATACAATTTTTAATTAAAAATAAAAAAATAATTAGAATTCCCACACAAAAATGTATGCTATTTAAACTTATTGACGAGTGGTCAATAAACTGATTATCATGACTCATTGAATCAAGTACTAATATAGAATATAAATCAATTCGTACTATCGAAAATGATTGTCTAATTGAATATATTAAAAGATTTGATTTACAGTTAAAGCGTTTTTTTGCGTATTCGTACAGTTACTTTATTTGCTCCTCAATTAATTTTTATCTAGCATAATTGAAATTTATTACAGTACTATTAGTGATAACACTGCAAGAAAGTTATTTTTTTTAATTAAATAAAACATTACAATTAGTTAATTGTACGTTTTATACAAAGCCCCTTTATTTGAGACAATTCAAGGGAGTTTATCTTCTGCTTCAGGGTTTAATTTATAAAGAACATTTAAAATCGGCTACTGATTAACGAAATAATAGCTTTACGGATTCAAACAATAATATCGTCATCGTTAATAACTATTTATCATTAGCTATATTTACTAATCAATTGTAACCGATTGTATGAAGTAATTTAATCGTTTTATCAATGCCGAATGACTACCTTGCCTCAGGTGGGAATGATTACACCTAAAAACCTCTTCCTTCAATAACAAAAAAAACACCCAAGTTTAATATGCTGGTATAAAGTGGCCTTCATCTTATCTGCCTGTTCAGCTATTGTAATTATTTCATTTATCAAATATTATTCGCACAGGCGAATACTCTACTCTGCTCTGAATCTACTTTACTCCGAATCTACTCTGTCCTGAATCTACTCTGCTTTGAATCTATTCTACTCTGAATGACTACACTGAATCTACTCTGCTCTGAATCTACTATACTCTGAATCTAGAGTAAAGTATTCTTAATCTTATACTTCGAGTCTACTTAGCTCTGAATCTACTCTACTCTGAATCTAGAGTAAAGTACTCTAAATCTACTTTAGTCCGAGTCTATAATTCTGCTCTGAATCTACTTTATACCAAATCTACACTGCTCTGAATCTAGAGTAAACTACTCTAATCTACTTAACTCCGAGTCTATAATTCTGCTCTGAATCTACTTTACACCGAATCTCCACTGCTCTGAATCTACTCTGCTCTGAATCAAGAGTAAAGTACTCTAAATCTACTTTACTCCGAGTCTATAACTCTGCTCTGAATCTACTTTACACCGAATCTACACTGCTCTGAATCTACTCTGCACTGAATCTAGAGTAAAGTACTCTAATCTACTTTACTCCGAGTCTATAACTCTGCTCTGAATCTACTTTACACCGAATCTACACTGCTCTGAATCTACTCTGCTCTGAATCTACTTTACACCGAATCTACACTGCTCTAATTCTACTCTACTCTGAATCTGTACTCTGCTCTGAGTCTACTAATTTAGTGTTCTACTTACTCTCAATAAGGGTCGCAAATTAGAATACAGGGTAGCAAATGGGCAGGGTCGCATCTGTCCCGACACTTTTGAGATTAAAAAGAAAAATTTTTACCTTGGAAATTGGCTTTTAAACTCGAGTTTCGTCATGTACAGAAAGGTATAAGCATGTTTCATTCAAACGACATCCTGCACGAGTAATTTCCTTTCGAGCATTTCGATAGATAGCCATCGATGTGTGAATATCAAAAGTACCATTCGGAAAGTTAATTACTCGTAATTTAATGCTATTTTCTGCAATATTTCGTATGTAATTTCGAACGGATGTTCGAGCTTAAACTTGGCATTTTTTATCTCGGTTTCGGTGTTGGGATATTTTCGTGGCTTCCTTATATAATTGTTTAAATTTAAATAAAACGACTAATTTCAAAATATGCAACATAAAAGTATCTATGTATATACAACTTTTGTAAAGAAGTTTTTTTTTATATTATCTGTTCAATATTATGTCACCCTGTATACAGGGTGAGTCATGAGGAATCGTACATACATAGGTTATTCCTCATGACTCGCCCTGTATAATTTATTTGCTAGAATACACATTTATGTAATTAAATTCTGTAGGTATTTTAATAATTTCTATAACATATTAATCATTCGAGAGACGCGAGTATAATCTTTGTGACTTTTTCATTGGCAGAGAACGTGTTAAAAAACGTTTTGCATCGTCAAGGACATGAAAAAAATTCGTCATATCGAACATGTTCCACATACCGGTCGTCCACAAGTATAATAACTGTAGAAAGTACCCACACATATTCATTCATAATTTGTATAGGATGGGTTAGTGATATTATAATTCGTTATTAATTCCTTTATTGATTGCCTATATTACTTCTACCCAAGAAATTACTTCATTTAAATTGGTTAATTTTATAACCATAATTCGTCTTTTATCCTAGTGTATTTTAATTGCAATTTTATTAGTTATCCCCTTTTATAAGTAATTAGTACACACTTAACATAATTTTTTAAATGCAGTATAATTGTATTTGATAAGATTAGATTATTAACAGGAAGCGGTCGAGCATTCTACGTAATATAAAATACAGTAGATTTTAATGTATTTTTAACCAAATTTGTGTCGTGAACATTGAAATGATCCATTAATTATAGTAATTAATCATTTTTTTACTGAATATTTTGTTTGCAATTTCTGTTCACCTTTCACCTGGGCTGGTTTGTTACATATTTTTTTACGGCCTATTTCGAAACTAATGCAAAAATTGAGGGTAACTTATTTGCCGAAAAACTACTTTCACATTATTTCTGATAAATTTTTAATGAGATCATAATACGCATATAGGTTATTGTGTAATTAATTGATAATTATCAAATATTCGGGTATACCTATAATGTTAGTAATAGGCGTATGGTATTTTTTATTACTTAACATTTGATATCCAATAAGTATTTTTTTCACGAATAAATTTACGTTTCCGTTTTATTTAACTGTTTTATCAGGCATTTTGCGTTGGTGGTCGGGAAATAAAATTTACTGATAAAAATCAAATGTAAAATCCCTTTTTTTGGGATAACAAAAATATACAGCTTTCCCCACAACTAAGTAATTTTTATTTCCAATGCATCACGTGTAGATCTGAATATTTATTAAACTTGCCATAAAGATTAATGGTAGAGATTGAAATTTTTTAATGATTTTATCATACTTTTGTTGAAAAATTGTTTGTGTACGCTATAAGTCGAAACAATTAAGTAATAAATGCCTGTTTTGAGGTAGAAATAAATTTTTATTTTTGACTAATTTCTAAAATTCAATCGATTCAGTACATTGGCACAAATCGGCGATTTCGTCATTTTATTGTCCATTGAATTCCTACATAATATGCTGTGCATTTAATAGTTTATAACTACGGTAAGAGATTAATCATGTTTTTTATCTACAAAAATTTATACAAGTACCTACAATGAAAAATGGTTGTTTTTTTTAAGAATATTCGCATGAAATTGACAGCTTTAGAATGTTTCTTCGGGGGCGAGTAAAATCACAATGTTTATTAAAATTTTTAAATTATTTCTATAAATATTTACATGAAATTAACACTTGATTATTTCGGTTTACTTTCATTCATTGATAATTGTTATTAAACAGTACATTTTTAGATATACAAATTACTTGTAGTGTTATTATCGCAGTGTAAGTACTTAATTTATTTCACACATTTCAATTATCTACTCATAGAAATTATTATTGTTGTTTCACCTACATACTTTCGCTTAATTATATTTTATCTACAAAATTTATCGACTTATTCATTAGGCATTGCAAAAGAAACACCTTCGATCTAAAAGAATAAAAAATAATTAAATGTTGTAAAAAAAAATTGATAAATCTCTTGTGATGTAATAAATAAAAATGGAAGTAGTATAAGAATGTTTCTGATATATCTATCAAATCGATTCGCAACCCGGAGCCGGGTACTCTACAAAATAAAATTAATTCGAATCAAAATTTAATTACAAACATCATATATCATGTTACTCAACGCCGACGCGTTTATGTAAAAAGCTGTCCTCCCAAACAGCAAGATGAATCTACTTTCTCATTGCTGGCAACAAGAAAGGTAATCGCCCGAAATTACAATCTTGATTTTGGATCCCTGTTATTTGGCAATGACTAATGTTTCCTCGTGTACGCACTGTAAATTTTTAACAGCGCGCCGATTTTATTTCTTTGCGAAATATACGTTTTTATAAAAATCGAAATCACTCGATGTATATAACAGTTATTTTTATTAACGCCCACCTCTAGTACAATGCAAAGTTCTCTATCAAAATGACATTTTAGACAGGTGTTAGAGGTGGAGTTTTTCGATTGGCAACAGTTATTAATTATCGGATTCTTTTATTAGAACGAATCGAATAGGAAAAAATTCCTCCGAATTTTGCATAATGTACCGCTTTGTATACGTGGGTAAAGCGGGCCTCGAAATGTTACACAACAAAAGCTTTATAATTAAATCTTCCCCGCGGACACTCCTTTTCCTTTTCCACTATTTGTTAGTTCAATTGATATATCGAATAGACCGGACAAACCGGGCAGGATGCGATGCACAAGGGCATGGAAAATTATAAGGGCCACTTATTATCACATACACTGACGGAAGGTTTTTTTATTTCTATTTTATTCGTATAGTGAAATTGTGCAAGATGCTGTTGCGAGGTCAATAACATCTAATTATATTTAACGTACACATGTTGAAGATT